TAGCTCCATCCAAAGTTGATGCAGTGGCATTGAACTGGTTTGAAGTCCGGCACTACAAGAAAACAGCGTGAAACTGATGGAGAAAATTGTCGATCAACCGTCGGAAACCATCTATATCGACGGATTTCCGACCGTTATAATTCGTCAATTACAAGTCGTCGGAAAAACAACATTCGTCGGAAATCCGTCGTAAATAACCGTCGGAATCCGTCGAAAATTATTAACGACGGATTACCGAGAGTTTATCGACAACCATCATGGTCGGGATGTTCATCAATAATCTGTCGATAGTAAGCCGTCGGAACCCGTCGAAACAGTTTCCCGGCGGAATACTGAGAGATTATCCGCAATGGTCCTGATCGGGAAATCTGTCGATAATCCGTCAGAAAATGATTCCGTCGGAAAGTCATCGCTTATTTTCTCAACGGAAATTTGTCGGAAATTTATCGCAAATATATCCGACGAATTGTAGACGGAATTAATCAAAATTTTCCCGACGGATTTTGTATTCCTCATTAAACCGTCGGAAATGTTTCCTGTGATTTACGACGGACTTCATGCCTGTTGAAACACTGTCGGAAATATTTCCCTATATACGATGGAAATAAAATTTGTCGCTAAACCATCGAAAATATCCCAATAATTCCGACGAGTTCTAATCCGTCGGAAATTGCCGACGGATTACCGACCGTTTTTGTGCTGTTGAAAACCGTCGGAAATCCATCGAAAAATTACTGGGGCGTGGTGGTGGAACATAAATGGGACCTTTAGCAAATCTGTAGAGGAAAGCTCCTTTGTATCCATTCCAAGTCTTGAAAGCATGTTGGGCGTTGAACTTAGCCCATTCTTTGGCTTGTCCAGCTAAGATAGTTGGAAAAGTTGTATCTTCTTGGGGTTATCTCCAAGTCCATAGTCGTGGCAAAGCTGCTCAAAGTTGCATAGATGCTCCTTTGCACACTCTGAAGTAGAATTGTAGAAAGGGTTTCTCTCCACATGCTTGATTAGCTCTTCAAGATGGGGTGGTATGCCTCCCCATTCTTCTTCTCACGCTCTCTCTCCAGCTGATGAGAGTAGTGATGGTACTTGGATTTGAAAGGTGGTAGCCTTGCAAATCTCTTCAAGAAAGCTTCTCTAAAATCGATCCATGACTCGATTGTAGAGAGTGGCTCATGCTGCGCCCAATCTAGTGCTGGTCCAGCTAGTGATGTGCTGAATAGCATCATCTTCTTCTCAAAGTCAAAAACTCCATAGGAATCACAAAGATTGTCAAAGTGATCTATGTGCTCCAGCGCATACTCTGAAAACAGATCATGGAATTGATCTCTCTTCACGAACTCAATCAGCTCAGGGTTAATCTCCTCTTCTGGTGTGGCTAGAAGGTGTTCTTCTTGGTGATGCGGCTTGGCTAGACGTCTCCAGGTCGGCTGCTTCAAGGTAGGGAAGAAGTTTCTTCTTTGTCTTCAAGGAGGATAGTTTTGGAGGACTATCCCAAGAAGGTGGTGGTGCTTGAGGGCTTGACATCTCTTGTTCGCTCAAGAGGTTTCTTTGAGGTGGTATTGGCGAAGTGGAATCGCCTTTATAGGAACAGGACTTGTGAATCCTTCTCCATATCTAACTAGGAAAACCTGAAAAAGATCAAAAACAAAAAGGAAAAACCAAATCAAAGAAAAAAGGAAAATAACAAAACTAAAAAGGAAAAAGATAAAACCCTAGACTAGCTCTCTTGCAGGAACTTGTAGGTGCGAATTGGTCCCCGGCAACGGCGCCAAAAACTTGATCGCGGGATCAGGTCTTCCCCTTTCCTATCCCTGATTCTGCAAGTGCACAGGTCAGAAGTAGTAAACGGGTATCGAACACGAGGACCAGATTGCACACTACAAGCTATGAGTTCGAGATCGAGCTAGGGCAAAAGTATAAGTTTGGTTGAGTGCAGAGAAAGTAAAGCATGCAAGTAATAGAATAAGATCAATAGGAGAGAAAGGCTAAGCAATAGGATAGTCTTAAGATAAGCAATTCATGAAGCATGAAATCAATCAATTAGGGTTACTGCAATTAGGTGCTAATCTAGAACTTGAAACACTATGGTATGATCATTCCACTGTCGAGGCTCCGACCCCTTTGTTAATCTACCTAGTCGCTAAACTTTTGGTATGTCCCTAGGTGATTAAATCAAGCATTAGTTCGATTAAGTTCAATTGTTCACAACCTACAAGTAGATCAACTTTCGCAGTCTAAAAGAGATTGCCCACCAAATACTAGTTCAGGCGAATGATACAGCACTGTCGAGGCTCAAATCAACCTAAAGGCATATGCTAATTGGCCAGATTAACAACAAGCATTAAGTATAAGCAAAGATGGAGATTATAAGTAAAACCCTAATTGTGATCAATCATCAAGCATACATGAATGCTATCCTTTGACTTCCTATCACTTAACAAGTAAACTACTCAGACATAGAGAAGGAACACGAATTCATATTCATAAGAACAGAGATTCGAATCCTCTCTAGAAAGAGTAACAAGCAAGAACAAAGTAAAAGCAAGCAAAACTTTATTAAAGATGTAAAATATATTGTGGTCTCTCTCCTTCTTGAGTTACAAGGCTAAAAAGAAGTATTTATAATGCACTAAGTATGAAAGGCGGCTAGACCTAATCTTGCTAGGTCGGCGCCGGCTTTGGGCTTGAATTGTGCGGATTGGGCTTCAAAAACGGCTTTGGGTCGACCGCGGCGTTCGGACGGTCGGTCGGGACGATCGGCCGGACAGTCGGGTTGTGGCCGTGTCGGAACGGTCGTGGCCGGATGATTTACGGTCGGCCGGTGTGGTCGGACGGTTGATGGAATGGTCGATGGTTTCTCGGCCGGACTGGGACGAGCCGGAACCATCGGCCGTGGTACGCGAGATAGGTTGCGCGGCCGCGAGGCTTTGTTTCCCGGCTCGCGCGGCATGGTCGTGCGCGGCGAGGCGTGGACGGTCGTGGCGTGGCCGACCGCGGGTCTTAGTTTCCCGGGTCGTGATGCATGATCGGCCGAACGGTTTTGAACTTTGGCCGAGACTTCAGACGGACGGACGCAATTTTGGCCGAGAGCGGAACATGCGTTCCTCGGCCGGCCGTTCTGCGCGGTTTGGGCGTCGATTCTCGATAGATCGGCTTTGGACAGTCTTCGCTCTTTTGGCTATAAGTCCTTTTCTACTCATCCAAATGAGGCCGTTCCAGTTGCGTTGGAAAGTTAACTCAATCAGAGCACGCAGGGAACTAGTCTTGATGAAATCCATTGAGTAGATCGTTTTCTAGCTCCATCCAAAGTTGATGCAGTGGCATTGAACTGGTTTGAAGTCCGGCACTACAAGAAAACAGCGTGAAACTGATGGAGAAAATTGTCGATCAACCGTCGGAAACCATCTATATCGACGGATTTCCGACCGTTATAATTCGTCAATTACAAGTCGTCGGAAAAACAACATTCGTCGGAAATCCGTCGTAAATAACCGTCGGAATCCGTCGAAAATTATTAACGACGGATTACCGAGAGTTTATCGACAACCATCATGGTCGGGATGTTCATCAATAATCTGTCGATAGTAAGCCGTCGGAACCCGTCGAAACAGTTTCCCGGCGGAATACTGAGAGATTATCCGCAATGGTCCTGATCGGGAAATCTGTCGATAATCCGTCAGAAAATGATTCCGTCGGAAAGTCATCGCTTATTTTCTCAACGGAAATTTGTCGGAAATTTATCGCAAATATATCCGACGAATTGTAGACGGAATTAATCAAAATTTTCCCGACGGATTTTGTATTCCTCATTAAACCGTCGGAAATGTTTCCTGTGATTTACGACGGACTTCATGCCTGTTGAAACACTGTCGGAAATATTTCCCTATATACGATGGAAATAAAATTTGTCGCTAAACCATCGAAAATATCCCAATAATTCCGACGAGTTCTAATCCGTCGGAAATTGCCGACGGATTACCGACCGTTTTTGTGCTGTTGAAAACCGTCGGAAATCCATCGAAAAATTACTGGGGCGTGGTGGTGGAACATAAATGGACCTTTAGCAAATCTGTAGAGGAAAGCTCCTTTGTATCCATTCCAAGTCTTGAAAGCATGTTGGGCGTTGAACTTAGCCCATTCTTTGGCTTGTCCAGCTAGATAGTTGGAAAAGTTGTATCTTCTTGGGGTTATCTCCAAGTCCATAGTCGTGGCAAAGCTGCTCAAAGTTGCATAGATGCTCCTTTGCACACTCTGAAGTAGAATTGTAGAAAGGATTCCTCTCCACATGCTTGATTAGCTCTTCATTCAGATGGGGTGGTATGCCTCCCCATTCTTCTTCATCACGCTCTCTCTCCAGCTGATGAGAGTAGTGATTGTACTTGGATTTGAAAGGTGGTAGCCTTGCAAATCTCTTCAAGAAAGCTTCTCTAAAATCGATCCATGACTCGATTGTAGAGAGTGGCTCATGCTGCGCCCAATCTAGTGCTGGTCCAGCTAGTGATGTGCTGAATAGCATCATCTTCTTCTCAAAGTCAAAAACTCCATAGGAATCACAAAGATTGTCAAAGTGATCTATGTGCTCCAGCGCATACTCTGAAAACAGATCATGGAATTGATCTCTCTTCACGAACTCGATCAGCTCAGGGTTAATCTCCTCTTCTGGTGTGGCTAGAAGGTGTTCTTCTCTGTGATGCGGCTTGGCTAGACGTCTCCAGGTCGGCTGCTTCAAGGTAGGGAAGAAGTTTCTTCTTTGTCTTCAAGGGATAGTTTGGAGGACTATCCCAAGAAGGTGGTGGTGCTTGAGGGCTTGACATCTCTTGTTCGTCCAAGAGGTTCTTTGAGGTGGTATGTGGCGAAGTGGATCGCCTTTATAGGAACAAGGACTTGTGAATCCTTCTCCATATCTAACTAGGAAAACCTGAAAAAGCAAAAACAAAAAGGAAAAACAAATCAAAAGAAAAAAGGAAAAATAACAAAACAAAAAGGAAAAGATAAAACCCTAGACTAGCTCTCTTGCAAGGCTTGTAGGTGCGAATTGGTCCCCGGCAACGGCGCCAAAAACTTGATCGCGGGATCAGGTCTTCCCCTTTCCTATCCCTGATTCTGCAAGTGCACAGGTCAGAAGTAGTAAACGGGTATCGAACACGAGGACCAGATTGCACACTACAAGCTATGAGTTGAGATCGAGCTAGGGCAAAAGTATAAGTTGGTTGAGTGCAGAGAAAGTAAAGCATGCAAGTAATAAAAGAATGAGATCAATAGGAGAGAAAGGCTAAGCAATAGGATAGTCTTGAGATAAGCAATTCAAGAAGCATGAAATCAATCAATTAGGGTTACCGCACTTAGGTGCTAATCTAGAACTTGAAACACTATGGTATGATCATTCCACTGTCGAGGCTCCGACCCCTTTGTTAATCTACCTAGTCGCTAAACTTTTGGTATGTCCCTAGGTGATTAAATCAAGCATTAGTTCGATAAGATCAATTGTTCACAACCTACAAGTAGATCAACTTTCGCAGTCTAAAAGAGATTGCCCACCAAATACTAGTTCAGGCGAATGATACAGCACTGTCGAGGCTCAAATCAACCTAAAGGCATATGCTAATTGGCCAGATTAACAACAAGCATTAAGTATAAGCAAAGATGGAGATTATAAGTAAAACCCTAATTGTGATCAATCATCAAGCATACATGAATGCTATCCTTTGACTTCCTATCACTTAACAAGTAAACTACTCAGACATAGAGAAGGAACACGAATTCATATTCATAAGAACAGAGATTCGAATCCTCTCTAGAAAGAGTAACAAGCAAGAACAAAGTAAAAGCAAGCAAAACTTTATTAAGATGTAAAATAGATTGTGGTCTCTCTCCTTCTTGAGTTACAAGGCTAAAAAGAAGTATTTATAATGCTCTAAGTATGAAAAGCGGCTAAACCTAATCTAGCTAGGTCGGCGCCGGCTTTGGGCTTGAATTGTGCGGATTGGGCTTCAAAAACGGCTTCGGGTCGACCGCGGCGTTCGGACGGTCGGTCGGGACGTCGGCCGGACAGTCGGGTCTTGGCCGAGTCGGAACGGTCGTGGCCGGATGATTTCGGTCGGCCGGTGGTCGGACGGGATGGAATTTGGCCGATGGTTTCTCGGCCGGACGTGGGACGGCTCGGACCATCGGCCGTGGTACGCGAGAAGGTTGCGCGGCCGCGAGGCTTGTTCCCGGCTCGCGCGGCATGGTCGTGCGCGGCGTGGCGTGACGTTGTGGCTTGGCCGACCGCGGGACAATGTTTCCCGGGTCGTGATGCGTGATCGGCCGAACGGTTTGAACTTTGGCCGAGACTTCAGTCGGACGGACGTTTTGGCCGAGCGCGGAACATTCGTTCCTCGGCCAGCCGGACTGCGCGTTCGGGCGCTGATTCTCGATATGGCTCTGGAGCAGTCTTCACTCTTTTGGCTATAACTCCTTTTCTACTCATCCAAATGAAGCCGTTCCAGTTGCGTTGGAAAGTTAACTCAATCAGAGCACGCAGGGAACTGGTCTTGATGAAATCCATTGAGTAGATCTTTTTCTAGCTCCATCCAAAGTTGATGCAGGGCATTGAACTGGTTTGAAGTCCGGCACTACAAGAAAACAGCGTGAAACTGATGGAGAAAATTGTCGATCAACCGTCGGAAACCATCTATATCGACGGATTTCCGACCGTTATAATTCGTCAATTACAAGTCGTCGGAAAAACAACATTCGTCGGAAATCCGTCGTAAATAACCGTCGGAATCCGTCGAAAATTATTAACGACGGATTACCGAAAGTTTATCGACAACCATCATGGTCGGGATGTTCATCAATAATCTGTCGATAGTAAGCCGTCGGAACCCGTCGAAACAGTTTCCCGGCGGAATACTGAGAGATTATCCGCAATGGTCCTGATCGGGAAATCTGTCGATAATCCGTCAGAAAATGATTCCGTCGGAAAGTCATCGCTTATTTTCTCAACGGAAATTTGTCGGAAATTTATCGCAAATATATCCGACGAATTGTAGACGGAATTAATCAAAATTTTCCCGACGGATTTTGTATTCCTCATTAAACCGTCGGAAATGTTTCCTGTGATTTACGACGGACTTCATGCCTGTTGAAACACTGTCGGAAATATTTCCCTATATACGATGGAAATAAAATTTGTCGCTAAACCATCGAAAATATCCCAATAATTCCGACGAGTTCTAATCCGTCGGAAATTGCCGACGGATTACCGACCGTTTTTGTGCTGTTGAAAACCGTCGGAAATCCATCGAAAAATTACTGGGGCGTGGTGGTGGAACATAAATGGACCTTTAGCAAATCTGTAGAGGAAAGCTCCTTTGTATCCATTCCAAGTCTTGAAAGCATGTTGGGCGTTGAACTTAGCCCATTCTTTGGCTTGTCCAGCTAGAGATAGTTGGAAAAGTTGTATCTTCTTGGGGTTGTCTCCAAGTCCATAGTCGTGGCAAAGCTGCTCAAAGTTGCATAGATGCTCCTTTGCACACTCTGAAGTAGAATTGTAGAAAGGGATTCTCTCCACATGCTTGATTAGCTCTTCATTCAAGGATGGGGTGGTATGCCTCCCCATTCTTCTTCATCACGCTCTCTCTCCAGCTGATGAGAGTAGTGGTGTACTTGGATTTGAAAGGTGGTAGCCTTGCAAATCTCTTCAAGAAAGCTTCTCTAAAATCGATCCATGACTCGATTGTAGAGAGTGGCTCATGCTGCGCCCAATCTAGTGCTGGTCCAGCTAGTGATGTGCTGAATAGCATCATCTTCTTCTCAAAGTCAAAAACTCCATAGGAATCACAAAGATTGTCAAAGTGATCTATGTGCTCCAGCGCATACTCTGAAAACAGATCATGGAATTGATCTCTCTTCACGAACTCGATCAGCTCAGGGTTAATCTCCTCTTCTGGTGTGGCTAGAAGGTGTTCTTCTCTGTAAGATGCGGCTTGGCTAGACGTCTCCAGGTCGGCTGCTTCAAGGTAGGGAAGAAGTTTCTTCTTTGTCTTCAAGGAGGATAGTCTTGGAGGACTATCCCATGAAGGTGGTGGTGCTTGAGGGCTTGACATCTCTTGTTCGCTCAAGAGGTTCTTTGAGGTGGTATGTGGCGAAGTGGATCGCCTTTATAGGAAAGGCTTGTGGCTCCTTCTCCATATCTAACTAGGAAAACCTGAAAAAGCTCAAAAACAAAAAGGAAAAACCAAATCAAAGAAAAAGGAAAAATAACAAAAACAAAAAGGAAAAGATAAAACCCTAGACTAGCTCTCTTGCAAGAACTTGTAGGTGCGAATTGGTCCCCGGCAACGGCGCCAAAAACTTGATCGCGGGATCAGGTCTTCCCCTTTCCTATCCCTGATTCTGCAAGTGCACAGGTCAGAAGTAGTAAACGGGTATCGAACACGAGGACCAGATTGCACACTACAAGCTATGAGTTGAGATCGAGCTAGGGCAAAAGTATAAGTTGGTTGAGTGCAGAGAAAGTAAAGGCATGCAAGTAATAGAAGTGAAGATCAATAGGAGAAAAGGGCTAAGCAATAGGATAGTCTTGAGATAAGCAATTCAAGAAGCATGAAATCAATCAATTAGGGTTACCGCACTTAGGTGCTAATCTAGAACTTGAAACACTATGGTATGATCATTCCACTGTCGAGGCTCCGACCCCTTTGTTAATCTACCTAGTCGCTAAACTTTTGGTATGTCCCTAGGTGATTAAATCAAGCATTAGTTCGATAAGATCAATTGTTCACAACCTACAAGTAGATCAACTTTCGCAGTCTAAAAGAGATTGCCCACCAAATACTAGTTCAGGCGAATGATACAGCACTGTCGAGGCTCAAATCAACCTAAAGGCATATGCTAATTGGCCAGATTAACAACAAGCATTAAGTATAAGCAAAGATGGAGATTATAAGTAAAACCCTAATTGTGATCAATCATCAAGCATACATGAATGCTATCCTTTGACTTCCTATCACTTAACAAGTAAACTACTCAGACATAGAGAAGGAACACGAATTCATATTCATAAGAACAGAGATTCGAATCCTCTCTAGAAAGAGTAACAAGCAAGAACAAAGTAAAAGCAAGCAAAACTTTATTAAAGATGTAAAATAATTGTGGTCTCTCTCCTTCTTGAGTTACAAGGCTAAAAAGAAGTATTTATAATGCTCTAAGTATGAAAAAGCGGCTAAACCTAATCTAGCTAGGTCGGCGCCGGCTTTGGGCTTGAATTGTGCGGATTGGGCTTCAAAAACGGCTTCGGGTCGACCGCGGCGTTCGGACGGTCGGTCGGGACGATCGGCCGGACAGTCGGGTTTGGCCGGTCGGAACGGTCGTGGCCGGATGATTTACGGTCGGCCGGCTGTGGTCGGACGGGATGGAATTTGGCCGATGGTTTCTCGGCCGGACGGGACGAGCCGGAACCATCGGCCGTGGTACGCGAGAAGGTTGCGCGGCCGCGAGGCTTGTTTCCCGGCTCGCGCGGCATGGTCGTGCGCGGCGAGGCGTGGACGGTCGTGGCGTGGCCGACCGCGGGCTTAGTTTCCCGGGTCGTGATGCGTGATCGGCCGAACGGTTTTGAACTTTGGCCGAGACTTCAGTCGGACGGACGCAATTTTGGCCGAGAGCGGAACATCGTTCCTCGGCCAGCCGGTCTGCGCGGTTGGGCGCTGATTCTCGATAGATGGCTGTCTGGAGCAGTCTTCACTCTTTTGGCTATAACTCCTTTTCTACTCATCCAAATGAGGCCGTTCCAGTTGCGTTGGAAAGTTAACTCAATCAGAGCACGCAGGGAACTGGTCTTGATGAAATCCATTGAGTAGATCTTTTTCTAGCTCCATCCAAAGTTGATGCAGGGCATTGAACTGGTTTGAAGTCCGGCACTACAAGAAAACAGCGTGAAACTGATGGAGAAAATTGTCGATCAACCGTCGGAAACCATCTATATCGACGGATTTCCGACCGTTATAATTCGTCAATTACAAGTCGTCGGAAAAACAACATTCGTCGGAAATCCGTCGTAAATAACCGTCGGAATCCGTCGAAAATTATTAACGACGGATTACCGAGAGTTTATCGACAACCATCATGGTCGGGATGTTCATCAATAATCTGTCGATAGTAAGCCGTCGGAACCCGTCGAAACAGTTTCCCGGCGGAATACTGAGAGATTATCCGCAATGGTCCTGATCGGGAAATCTGTCGATAATCCGTCAGAAAATGATTCCGTCGGAAAGTCATCGCTTATTTTCTCAACGGAAATTTGTCGGAAATTTATCGCAAATATATCCGACGAATTGTAGACGGAATTAATCAAAATTTTCCCAACGGATTTTGTATTCCTCATTAAACCGTCGGAAATGTTTCCTGTGATTTACGACGGACTTCATGCCTGTTGAAACACTGTCGGAAATATTTCCCTATATACGATGGAAATAAAATTTGTCGCTAAACCATCGAAAATATCCCAATAATTCCGACGAGTTCTAATCCGTCGGAAATTGCCGAATTACTGGGGCGTGGTGGTGGAACATAAATGGGACCTTTAGCAAATCTGTAGAGGAAAGCTCCTTTGTATCCATTCCAAGTCTTGAAAGCATGTTGGGCGTTGAACTTAGCCCATTCTTTGGCTTGTCCAGCTAAAGATAGTTGGAAAAGTTGTATCTTCTTGGGGTTATCTCCAACTCCATAGTCGTGGCAAAGCTGCTCAAAGTTGCATAGATGCTCCTTTGCACACTCTGAAGTAGAATTGTAGAAAGGGTTTTCTCCACATGCTTGATTAGCTCTTCAAGATGGGGTGGTATGCCTCCCCATTCTTCTTCTTCACGCTCTCTCTCCAGCTGATGAGAGTAGTGATTGTACTTGGACTTGAAAGGTGGTAGCCTTGCAAATCTCTTCAAGAAGGCTTCTCTAAAATCGATCCATGACTCGATTGTAGAGAGTGGCTCATGCTGCGCCCAATCTAGTGCTGGTCCAGCTAGTGATGTGCTGAATAGCATCATCTTCTTCTCAAAGTCAAAGACTCCATAGGAATCACAAAGATTATCAAAGTGATCCAAATGCTCCAGCGCATACTCTGAAAACAGATGATGGAATTGATCTCTCTTCACGAACTCAATCATCTCAGGGTTAATATCCTCTTCTGGCGTGGCTAGAAGGTGTTCTTCTCTGTAAGATGCGGCTTGGCTAGATGTCTCCAGGTCGGCTGCTTCAAGGTAGGGAAGAAGTTTCTTCTTTGTCTTCAAGGAGGATAGTTTTGGAGGACTATCCCAAGAAGGTGGTGGTGCTTGAGGGCTTGACATCTCTTGTATGTCCAAGAGGTTTCTTTGAGGTGGTATTTGGCGAAGTGGAATCGCCTTTATAGGAACAAGGACTTGTGAATCATTTTCCATATCTAACTAGGAAAGCCTGAAAAAGATCAAAAACAAAAAGGAAAAACCAAATCAAAAGGAAAAGGGAAAATAACAAAACTAAAAAGGAAAAAGATAAAACCCTAGACTAGCTCTCTTGCAGGAACTTGTAGGTGACGAATTGGTCCCCGGCAACGGCGCCAAAAACTTGATCGCGGGATCAGGTCTTCCCCTTTCCTATCCCTGATTCTGTAAGTGCACAAGATATTAGAAGGGTTCGCTAGGGTTTGCGCTATCTAGAACTCAGGTCACGATTGTATGATCTTTCCACTGTCGAGGCTCCGGCTCCTTTGTTAATCTACCTAGTCGCTAAACTTTTGGTATGTCCCTAGGTGATTAAATCAAGCATTAGAATGAATAGGTTCTGATACAGTTCACTAGATAGATCAACTTTCGCAGTCTAAGAAACCTAGCTTGTCAAAGAATATGTCCGGCGAATGATACAGCACTGTCGAGGCTCAAATCAACCTAAGATCGGATTACTAGATGCGCGGTAAAGCAATCAGCATTAGTTAAGTGCACAAGACGAGACAAAGACTCTATATAATCCCTAGCTAATCAAATATCAAAGATCATGCAACAACTCATTGATAGTAACCCTAGCAACCTAACTAGTGGATTACTCAGACATGATCAAAGCAAACACACATAGAGATGAAGAAAACATGATTGCAATAAAACTTAGAGTAGGAAATCGAAATACAAGGGCGGCTCTCTTTTCACAAGAGGCTAAAAAGCTATATATATAGTGCTAGGTCTTTTAGAGGCGGCTTAGGGTTAAGCCGGGCTTGAAAATATGAAATGGGCTTCAAAAAGGGCTTCGGGTCGACCGCGGCGTTGGGACGGTCGGTCGGGACGATCGGCCGGACATCGGGTCGTGGCCGAGTCGGAACGGTCGGGGTCGGACGGATTCGTGGTCGGCCGTGTGGTCGGACGGATGAAGATTGGCCGATGAAATTCTCGGCCGGACGCGGGACGTTTTTCCCGGCTCGGACGGATGCATCGGCCGTGGTACGCGAGAGGTTGCGCGGCCGCGAGGCTTGTTCCCGGCTCGCGCGCTTTGGTCGTGCGCGGCGTGGCGTGAGGTTGTGCTTGGCCGACCGCGGGACAGTTTCCCGGGTCGTGATGCGGCCGAACGGTTTGGAACTTTGGCCGAGACTTCAGACGGACGGACGAGATTTGGCCGAGCGTGAAACATTCGTTTCTCGGCCAGCCGGACTGCGCGGTTGGGCGCTGATTCTCGATAGAGCCGTCTGGACAGTCTTCACTCTTTTGGTTGTAACTCCTTTTCTACTCATCCAAATTAGGCCATTCCAGTTGCGTTGGAAAGTTAACTCAATCAGAGCACGCAGGGAACTGGTCTTGATGAAATCCATTGAGTAGATCTTTTTCTGGGCCCTCTTAAAGTTGGTGCTTGTGCATGGAGCTGCTTGAAGTGCAAATCCTATGGTTTTGCTCCAAAATGCATCATTTCACCTGTTTAGACTCTAGACACTATAAACACAGTAAAACTACCTTTTTAGATAGAAAACCTGCCAAAAACCATTAGAAAACAATGCTAAAACAGTATAAAAAGTGGGTAAATTAGAGGTATATCAACTCCCCCAGACTTAGATCTTTGCTTGTCCTCAAGCAAAAAGAATCTAAATCCGTGAAAGAGGTTTGAAAACGTGGAAGCTCCCTTGCTCTTTTGAATATCCTGTGAAAGGTTCCTTTCCTGTATTCCACTATGAACATAGACAACATAAGGTTAGCTTCACATACACCCTGCAAGTTTAGCGAACAATACCAACCCAACTAGTCTCATCCAGCAATCCAAACTCTCTATTGCTAACCTCTTGCATAAATTTAAAGCGTGAATTCTTTATCAAGGGGACATCGATCAATTGAACTTGTTCTTACCCACTTGATCTCTCCAAGATTGCCTCTTTAAGTGCAATGAGTTCTTTTCCTCTCTCTTTCTCACATCAGAACTTTGAAAGGTCAATTTCTCCCTACTTTTCTAGGGTATCATTTTATTTTTTCTATTGACCCTTCTTTCAACCACAGGATAAGTCTTTAGCTTGTTCCTTGTTTGACTAAGGTATTCCATAAGACATGAAGGTACAGACATATGCATTCCTCATGCTTACTTGTTTTCCTTGTGCTCTTTGAGCTTTTTCTCATAACATTACTTACCATTTGGGATGGGAGAGAGAGGAGAACTCTTTAAAGATTAGACAAATCTTATTGAAAATCAAGCAAGGAACTGTCGACATGTATGCCAACCCCCTTGACAAGAGTAATTAAGATTGATTAAGGGTGAGGTTAACTCTAGATTGCTTGGTTACCTTAGAAATTTTGCTGAGCTAGCATGTCGATCCACTGTAAGAGCTTCTGTTAGGCTTGTGCCTTTAGCTGGTTTCTGCTCTAGGGTCATGGATTGTTAGCACAACACTCTCAATTCTCAAAGCAAGTTCATAACTTCCGGACTGGTTTTTGACTCAATAAAACTTTTTGAAAAACATGAAACAAAATGACTAAAGCATAATGATATACCTCTATTTTACATGCGTTTTATACTGTTTTAGCATTGTTTTCTAATGGTTTTGGGCAGGTTTTCTATCTAAAAAGGTAGTTTTACTGTGTTTATAGTGTCTAGAGTCTAAACAGGTGAAATGATGCATTTTGGAGCAAAACCATAGGATTTGCACTTCAAGCCGCTTCATACACCAGCATCAACTTTAAGAGGTCCCAGAAAAAGATCTACTCAATGGATTTCATCAAGAACAGTTCCCTGCGTGCTCTGATTTAGTTAACTTTCCAACGCAACTGGAACGGCCTAATTTGGATGAGTAGAAACGGAGTTACAACCAAAAGAGTGAAGACTGCTCCAGACGGCTCTATCGAGAATCATCGTCCAAACCGCACAGACCGGCCGGCCGAGGAACGAATGTTCCGCGCTCGGCCAAAGTCACATTCGTCCGTCTGAAGTCTCGGCCAAAGTTCGAAACCGACCGGCCGATCGCAATACGACCCGGAGAACGCCCCGCCGTCGGCCAAGCTACAACCGTTTCACGCCACGCCGCGCACGACCACGCCGCCGCGACGACCGACCGTCCCAACGCCGCGGTCGACCCGAAGCCCTGTTTTGAAGCCCATTTCATATTTTCAAGCCCGGCTTAACCCTAAGCCGCCTCTAGAAGACCTAGCACTATATATATAGCTTTTTAGCCTCTTGTGAAAAGAGAGCCGCCTTGTATTTCGATTTCCTACTCTAAGTTTTATTGCAATCATGTTTTCTTCATCTCTATGTGTGTTTGCTTTGATCATGTCTGAGTAATCCACTAGTTAGGTTGCTAGGGTTACTATTCAATGAGTTGCTTGCATGATCTTTGATTTCAATGATTAGCTAGGGATTATATTAGAGTCTTTGTCTCGTCTTGTGCACTTAACTAATGCTGATTGCTTTACCGCGCATCTAGTAATCCGATCTTAGGTTGATTTGAGCCTCGACAGTGCTGTATCATTCGCCGGACATATTCTTTGACAAGCTAGGTTTCTTAGACTGCGAAAGTTGATCTATCTATATCTAGTGAACTGTATCAGAACCTATTCATTCTAAGCTTGATCTAATCACCTAGGGACATACCAAAAGTTTAGCGACTAGGTAGATTAGCAAAGGAGCCGGAGCCTCGAAAGTGGAATGGTTTTATATTCGTGATCTGTGTTCTAGATGGTTCTTAATATCCCAATATCCCTAATCAATTAATCTATCATTGTTTCATTGATCATTGCTTGCTTCTCTGCGATAGCCCCTATGACCTAGCGCTTTTCCTTTATTGATTTACAACCTCGTTATACTTGCTAGTTCGGTTCACCATTACAACCTCAATCATACTTTTGTTTTAGCTTGATCCAAAATCCATAGTTTCAAAGTGTACTCAATAGCCAGTCCTTGTGTTCGATACCCATACTTCCGCGATCTGTGCACTTGCAGAGGTCTAGGAGTTTGGTAAAACCTGACTCCACATCAAGTTTTTGGCGCCGTTGCCGGGGACTGCAGCAGTACCTTTGGAACTCGACTAGGATCTAGTCTAGAACCTTTTCCTGTTTTACTTTTCTTTTGCTTTTGAATTTTTAGTTTTTGATTTCTTTTCTTTGATTTTTGCTTTTGTTTTTGTTTTTCCCTTTTGATTTAGTTTGTTTCCAAGACTCTTTTCAGGTGCATGACTAGGAGGTCCAACAAGGACAACCTAGTTGAACATCCAGAGATAGACAAGCTTGAGAAGCAACTTAGGAAGCAAAAGCCCAAGAGATGGCCGACGAAGCAGCTCGCGCTCACGCCGCTGAAGTGGCGCGCGCTAAGAAGAAGGAAGAGATCCACCTCCTCCTCCTCCTAACCCTGCTGGAGATGTGAATGCACAACCTCAAGCTGGAGCACCTACAATCGGAGACTATGACTCTGCCGATGCTTTCTTCATGGATAGAAACCCTATCCATCCACCACTTCCTGCAAGGAATGACTATGAGATCAAGCCTCAGATCATAGCATTGGTTAGACAGAACCAATTCAATGGCCTTCCAGCTGAGCACCCTCTTGATCACATAGAAAACTTTGAAGAAATTTGCAGCACTACAAGATCCAATGGAGTCTCTGCTGACTACCTTAAGTGCAAGCTCTTTTCATTCTCTCTTGGCGACAAAGCTTCAAGATGGTTGAAGTCTCTGCCAGCTCACTCCATTACCACTTGGGATGAGTACAAGGCTGCTTTCATCAACCACTTCTACACCAAGCAAAGATCAATTTCTGTAAGGAACAAGATCTCCACTTTCGCCAAGCCAACAATGAATCTTTCTATGAGGCGCTAGATCGATTCAAGGAGTACATTAGGGACTGCCCTAATCATGGTTTCAATGAGGGAAACCTATGGAACATCTTCTATCGTGGCATAGACCACAAGTACAAGCTTTCATTGGACACAGCAAGCAATGGAAACTTCATGACCAAGACTGTTGATGAAGCTAAGGTTCTTATTGAGAATCTTGCAGCTAGTGATTGTAACAACTGTCCTGATTATGACCGCTCAAGCCGCACCACTACTAGCTCCCCTGATTCTTTTCAAATGACTGAACTCAAGAACATGATGGCTCAAGTTCTTAAGGGACAGCTCAAGCATATCAATGCAATAGAAGGGATGAGTGATGCTAATGAAGATTCATCAAGAGAATGCATGGGAGATTTCTCTAATGAAGCCAATGAAGAAGATGTGAACTACATTGGAAACTATGGGAACAAGGGATACAATCCAAGCTATCGCCCAAACCCCAACATGTCTTATAGAAACCCCAATGTGGAGAATCCTCAAGACCAAGTGTATCCTCCAAGGTATCCACAACAACAAAGACCTCCTTACCAATCTCAAGGAAGTCAATTTCAGCCAAGGCAAGGATATGAGCAGAGATCATCATATCCGCCCAAGGAGCCATATGCTTCTTCACCAAATCAAGCTCCTCCAAACCAACAAGGTGGGAGATTTGAAGGAATCCTCCAACAGATCATGGATGGCCAGAAGAGAAACACTAAAGAGATGTATGAGAAGATGGACACTTTGTTCAGCAATCTCAACACCAAGTATGATGCTGTTGCCACTCATGTGAAGAAACTAGAGACTCAAGTCACTCAAACTATGGAAGCTGTTAAGAGACAGGAAGCTGAATCCAAGAAGTCCTTTTGCAACTCAGCCGCCATAGAAGAAAGATTTGAAGACCAAGTTCCAGAATGGATGCTTTCAAAACCTACTGTTGATTGCATGATTTGGCCTGAAGAGAATTACCCAGAGAGAGAGTCCAATCGAGCTAGAAAGAGAAGACTCTTCCCAAAGATTATCCCCAAGACAGATAACTCAGGAAAGTTTGTTGTGCCTTGTATCATCAAAGGTAACATTCTTGAGCAATCTTTGTGTGACACAGGAGCCAATGTGAACATCATGTCTAAGAGGATAGCTGACAAGATAGGCCTCACCAAGATAGAGCCATCATCCATCTCCATCAACTATGCTGATTCATTCTCACAAACCCCCTATGGCTTTGTGCCTAATGTGATGGTGCAGATTGGAAATTGCTCTATCCCTACTGATTTCCAGATTGTGGAAATGAGAGAGAGTAGCCATAGACCTCTCATATTTGGAACCCCTTTCCTGTCTACTGTGGGTGCCATATTTGATTTCCCCAATCAAAGAATCTCTTTCAACAAGGTGAACAAGGGTATGTTCTTCCCTATGTGTTCAACAAAGAACTCTTTTGTTGACATGGTCCAAGAGGAGAAAGTTACTTTGAAGCCACCCCAAGAAGGAGAAACTGAAGAAACAATCAAGGAAGATCCCATTCCTAAGCCCAAGCAGCTTGCCAAACAAGCAAGGAGTAAGACTAAGGCCCCTACACCAAAACCGCCCAAGGGATCAACCAAGATTGAAGATGAGGCCAAGCCAAGAAGAAGGTTAGAAAGCCTAGGTCTGGCCGCAACATGAAGCTTCTATTCCCAAGGAGCTTATTGATGAGAATCTAGAAGGATTCAAGGAGAAAGTGACAAGAACTCTAAAGCTTTTTCCTAAGGCAGTAGTGCCAAGGGACATTCATGGAGAGATTGTCTATCCAGCTGTGAATCACCCACCAGATACTCATTGCAAGGAGAAAAGACTTGGAGGATCAAAGATGCCTCTTGTCTCCATCTTCTCCTGAGCGCCAAGCCTTACAGTCAAGCTAAAGACTTAAAACAAGCGCTGCATGGGAGGCAACCCATGAGGTACTTTTACTTTTCTTTCTTTAATTTTCTTAGTTTTTGTTTTGCTTTTGTGTTTTCTTTGTTTTAAGATAGGATAGAAGGAGAAAAAGGTGTGAAAACACAATCCGCGCCAAAACATTGGCCGCGGACGCGCAAAAAAGTTTTGGCCGAGCAATTTCCAACCGGGCCGACCGTCCGGTCGAGCCGGGAAGGAACGCTTATGCTCGGCCGGATTACTATCGTGCGACAAAACCGTTCGCGCGGCACGCACGAACCGGGAAGGTAATGCCGCGATCGGCCGGATTCGCGTATCGGAACGGACCGACCGTGCCGGTCGATCCGGGAAACAAATCGATCGGCCTCGGCCGAAATCTCTCGGCCATAACGAATTTGGCCGACCAAATCGCACGGCCGACAAAATCCATCGGCCATCGGCCCAAACTTTTCTCGGCCAAGGTAAGTCCCCTTTTCATTAATTCAAACCGGTTTTAACCAATCCTAAACCAACTTAAACCGGTTTTCAATCAAAATTCGAATTTGAAAAGGAAAATTATAGGAATCTTGAGCTTTATAACTTTACCTTTCCCTTGAAAACAACAAGAACCTCTCTTTCTTCTCCAAAACCCTAAACTCCATTAGAGGAACTCTAAGAGCTTTGATTTCAAAACTTTTACTGTTCATAACTCTAAATTGGAATTTACTTGCTCTTGCAACCTATTCACTTTTCAAGGTACCCAATGGCAAAGACAAAAGGAAATGAGAGTATGAAGAAGAAGAAGAACCCATTCATGGAACCACCAAAGAAGCAAATCAAGCTAGGGAGTAGTAGCTCCAATGCAAGAGCAGCAATACCAACTTCACCACATTCCATTGATGCAATCAAGAACATGTGGAGAGTCCAAGAAGAGGAGAAGATGATTGGGCACTTGTAACCTTTGTTGGAGAACAAAATCCAAGACCCAAGAAAGTGTAAGAAGGCAATGGAGAAGGTGAACATCGAGCCATGTGTGAAGATGGACACCCAAACCCTTGATCTTCTCAAGATAAGAGATGATGTCACATGGTACATAAGGAAGCTAGGCTTGAGCAAGCTCTTCAAGCTAGAGTGTAGTGAGTACTCACAACTCACCAAGGAGTTCCTCTCCACAGTAGCTCTTGCCTTTCCCAACCACAATGGAGACCAACCAGCTGGTGATGGACTCCTACTCTTCAAGATAGGCGATGCCAATGGGCGCATCTCCATCTCAGCTCTATGCCAACTCTTTGGACTTCCCAATGAGACAGCACATGACTTCAAGGAGAACTCAAAGAGGAAACAAGCTGCCTTTGCTGATTGGACACACTTTGCCAATGAACCATTCTTGCCTTCAAGGTCAAAGGTGTCTAGAATCACTCATCCAGCCATTCGCTATGTGCACCGCCTCATCTCCACCACTTTCCAATGCAAACAAGAAGCCAACAAGGTCACAACTGATGAGTTCTACATCCTCACCACACCATTCATCAAGCATGAGTACAAGGCCAACCTTGGACTTTTACTTGCCAAGACATTATCAATGTGAGGAAGCTAGCTCAAGACTTGGAAGGCAACAAGAAGCTTTGTGTTCGTTTTGGGAGGCTTATCACGGCCATAGTACAACATGTGGGGATTGACATTCCCAACTATGAGCCACTACCCAAGCCAACCCCTTTGGATCTCCATGCTCTTCAGCACATCCACTTCCTAAACCGTTGGACTAAAGACCCAACTCGGTTTTGCTATGAGTTTCCAATTGGTCCAGCCAACACTTCCCTTGTCTTGCTGCCACATGAAGACATCCCAAGCCTACGCTCAGGAGTTGTCACTTTCCAGCCCAATGAGGAAGACTTCTATGTTCCATCAAGTGAGAAACCATCATTCCCCATGCTCACCTATCGCACACTTCAGCATGCAGTCAAGACTCAACGCCGCCACCAAGAACGCCATGTTCTCACTACTGGCATGGCCGCGCACCAAGCTCTAGACCGTGTTAACAAGCTGGAGAAGATAGTGGAATGCCAATCTCGCTTCATCTCACGCCTAGTCGCGTAGTTCGCCACATTGCACCGGAGAGACTCTTTCGCCCTTCTTCCACCGCTAGAGAGCCATATGAGCCTGACCTTGGTGAGTTCTCACTAGACTCAGAGCTTGGTTCAGAAGGCGATGACCCCATAGATGAGGAAGAGAGTTCTTCTCACTGCCACACATAGTCATCTCAAGTGGTACTTAGTGCAATGGACACTTACAAATCTCCATTTTCTATCCCTATCTCATTTTAATGAATTTTTCTTTATTTTTCTTTTACTTTGAATATTACCTCTCACCTTAATGTGATTTGCTTTCACCGGGACGGTGCAAGTTAAGTCTGGGGGGAGTTTTATTGTGTTACTAATGCATTTTTCTTTCTTTTCTTATGTTTTATTCACTTTGTTTCATGTTTTTCAAAAAGTTTTATTGAGTCAAAAACCAGTCCGGAAGTTATGAACTTGCTTTGAGAATTGAGAGTGTTGTGCTAACAATCCATGACCCTAGAGCAGAAACCAGCTAAAGGCACAAGCCTAACAGAAGCTCTTACAGTGGATCGACATGCTAGCTCAGCAAAATTTCTAAGGTAACCAAGCAATCTAGAGTTAACCTCACCTTAATCAATCTTAATTACTCTTGTCAAGGGGGTTGGCATACATGTCGACAGTTCCTTGCTTGATTTTCAATAAGATTTGTCTAATCTTTAAAGAGTTCTCCTCTCTCTCCCATCCCAAATGGTAAGTAATGTTTATGAGAAAAAGCTCAAAGAGCACAAGGAAACAAGTAAGCATGAGGAATGCATATGTCTGTACCTTCATGTCTTATGGAATACCTTAGTCAAACAAGGAACAAGCTAAAGACTTATCCTGTGGTTGAAAGAAGGGTCAATAGAAAAAATAAAATGATACCCTAGAAAAGTAGGGAGAAATTGACCTTTCAAAGTTCTGATGTGAGAAAGAGAGAGGAAAAGAACTCATTGCACTTAAAGAGGCAATCTTGGAGAGATCAAGTGGGTAAGAACAAGTTCAATTGATCGATGTCCCCTTGATAAAGAATTCACGCTTTAAATTTATGCAAGAGGTTAGCAATAGAGAGTTTGGATTGCTGGATGAGACTAGTTGGGTTGGTATTGTTCGCTAAACTTGCAGGGTGTATGTGAAGCTAACCTTATGTTGTCTATGTTCATAGTGGAATACAGGAAAGGAACCTTTCACAGGATATTCAAAAGAGCAAGGGAGCTTCCACGTTTTCAAACCTCTTTCACGGATTTAGATTCTTTTTGCTTGAGGACAAGCAAAGATCTAAGTCTGGGGGAGTTGATATACCTCTAATTTACCCACTTTTTATACTGTTTTAGCATTGTTTTCTAATGGTTTTTGGCAGGTTTTCTATCTAAAAAGGTAGTTTTACTGTGTTTATAGTGTCTAGAGTCTAAACAGGTGAAATGATGCATTTTGGAGCAAAACCATAGGATTTGCACTTCAAGCCGCTCCATGCACAAGCACCAACTTTAAGAGGGCCCAGAAAAAGATCTACTCAATGGATTTCATCAAGACCAGTTCCCTGCGTGCTCTGATTGAGTTAACTTTCCAACGCAACTGGAACGGCCTAATTTGGATGAGTAGAAAAGGAGTTACAACCAAAAGAGTGAAGACTGTCCAGACGGCTCTATCGAGAATCAGCGCCCAACCGCGCAGTCCGGCTGGCCGAGGAACGAATGTTCCGCTCGGCCAAATCACATCCGTCCGTGAAGTCTCGGCCAAAGTCACACATCACGACCCGGGAAACATTGCCCGCGGTCGGCCAAGCACAACCGTCACGCCACGCCGCGCACGACCAGCGCGCGAGCCGGGAACAACCTCGCGGCCGCGCAACCCTCGCGTACCACGGCCGATGCATCCGTCCGAGCCGGGAAACGTCCCGTCCGGCCGAGAAACCATCGGCCAAATCTTCATCCGCCGACCACGCCGGCCGACCGTGAATCCATCCGGCCACGACCGTTCCGACTCGGCCACGACCCGATGTCCGGCCGATCGTCCCGACCGACCGTCCCAACGCCGCGGTCGACCCGAAGCCCGTTTTGAAGCCCATTTCATATTTTCAAGCCCGGCTTAACCCTAAGCCGCCTCTAGAAAGACCTAGCACTATATATATAGCTTTTTAGCCTCTTGTGAAAGAGAGCCGCCCTTGTATTTCGATTTCCTACTCTAAGTTTTATTGCAATCATGTTTTCTTCATCTCTATGTGTGTTTGCTTTGATCATGTCTGAGTAATCCACTAGTTAGGTTGCTAGGGTTACTATTCAATGAGTTGCTTGCATGATCTTTGATTTCAATGATTAGCTAGGGATTATATTAGAGTCTTTGTCTCGTCTTGTGCACTTAACTAATGCTGATTGCTTTACCGCGCATCTAGTAATCCGATCTTAGGTTGATTTGAGCCTCGACAGTGCTGTATCATTCGCCGGACATATTCTTTGACAAGCTAGGTTTCTTAGACTGCGAAAGTTGATCTATCTATATCTAGTGAACTGTATCAGAACCTATTCATTCTAATGCTTGATTTAATCACCTAGGGACATACCAAAAGTTTAGCGACTAGGTAGATTAACAAAGGAGCCGGAGCCTCGAAAGTGGAATGGTTTTATATTCGTGATCTGTGTTCTAGATGGTTCTTAATATCCCAATATCCCTAATCAATTAATCTATCATTGTTTCATTGATCATTGCTTGCTTCTCTGCGATAGCCCCTATGACCTAGCGCTTTTCCTTTATTGATTTACAACCTCGTTATACTTGCTAGTTCGGTTCACCATTACAACCTCAATCATACTTTTGTTTTAGCTTGATCCAAAATCCATAGTTTCAAAGTGTACTCAATAGCCAGTCCTTGTGTTCGATACCCATACTTCCGCGATCTGTGCACTTGCAGAGGTCTAGGAGTTTGGTAAAACCTGACTCCACATCAAGTTTTTGGCGCCGTTGCCGGGGACTGCAGCAGTACCTTTGGAACTCGACTAGGATCTAGTCTAGAACCTTTTCCTGTTTTACTTTTCTTTTGCTTTTGAATTTTTAGTTTTTGATTTCTTTTCTTTGATTTTTGCTTTTGTTTTTGTTTTTCCCTTTTGATTTAGTTTGTTTCCTAGACTCTTTTCAGGTGCATGACTAGGAGGTCCAACAAGGACAACCTAGTTGAACATCCAGAGATAGACAAGCTTGAGAAGCAACTTAGGAAGCAAAAGCCCAAGAGATGGCCGACGAAGCAGCTCGCGCTCACGCCGCTGAAGTGGCGCGCGCTAATGAAGAAGGAAGAGATCCACCTCCTCCTCCTCCTAACCCTGCTGGAGATGTGAATGCACAACCTCAAGCGGAGCACCTACAATCGGAGACTATGACTCTGCCGATGCTTTCTTCATGGATAGAAACCCTATCCATCCACCACTTCCTGCAAGGAATGACTATGAGATCAAGCCTCAGATCATAGCATTGGTTAGACAGAACCAATTCAATGGCCTTCCAGCTGAGCACCCTCTTGATCACATAGAAAACTTTGAAGAAATTTGCAGCACTACAAGATCCAATGGAGTCTCTGCTGACTACCTTAAGTGCAAGCTCTTTTCATTCTCTCTTGGCGACAAAGCTTCAAGATGGTTGAAGTCTCTGCCAGCTCACTCCATTACCACTTGGGATGAGTACAAGGCCGCTTTCATCAACCACTTCTACACCAAGCAGAGATCAATTTCTGTGAGGAACAAGATCTCCACTTTCGCCAAGCCAACAATGAATCTTTCTATGAGGCGCTAGATCGATTCAAGGAGTACATTAGGGACTGCCCTAATCATGGTTTCAATGAGGGAAACCTATGGAACATCTTCTATCGTGGCATAGACCACAAGTACAAGCTTTCATTGGACACTGCAAGCAATGGAAACTTCATGACCAAGACTGTTGATGAAGCTAAGGTTCTTATTGAGAATCTTGCAGCTAGTGATTGTAACAACTGTCCTGATTATGACCGCTCAAGCCGCACCACTACTAGCTCCCCTGATTCTTTTCAAATGACTGAACTCAAGAACATGATGGCTCAAGTTCTTAAGGGACAGCTCAAGCATATCAATGCAATAGAAGGGATGAGTGATGCTAATGAAGACCATCAAGAGAATGCATGGGAGATTTCTCTAATGAAGCCAATGAAGAAGATGTGAACTACATTGGAAACTATGGGAACAAGGGATACAATCCAAGCTATCGCCCAAACCCCAACATGTCTTATAGAAACCCCAATGTGGAGAATCCTCAAGACCAAGTGTATCCTCCAAGGTATTGATGTACTTGCATTTTACATAGTTTTAGCACATCTTTTATGCATCTTTTGCATAGTTTTAGCTTCCATTTGCATCATATCTTGTTCCTTTTCTCTTCTTATGCATTCATGTTAGTTTTAGGTTGCATTTGCATACATATGCATGTTTGGTCCTTTGAAATAGGTCTTTTGGAGCATTCTGGAGCATATGGGACATGAGGAGCATGGAGGGACTTGGCACATGGAAGCAGCTCAACTGGACACGCAAAGGAAGAAGGGAGAAGCCATCTTGAAGACCAGCTCGACCGTCTACTCGACCAACCGGTCGAGTTCCTCAACTCGACCGGCCAAGCTTCAACTCGATCGAGCTGGAGTCAAAGTCAAACCCGAAAAATGTTGCTTCCCCCTTGACTTTCCTTTGACCCTAAACCTAATCCTCTTGTATTTAAAGGCTCTAAGCCACGAAAAAACCACCAAGCTTTAGATTATTTTGTTTTAGCTTTCTTTAATTTATTGTCTTTACTTTTTAGAACTAATCCCATCTTTGTGTTCTTGAAGCTCTTGCTTCTTGAATCCTAGATCCTGGATTAATCTTCTTGTATTTGCACTTGCTTATTTCAATAAAAGTTGTTTAATTTCATCTCCTCTTTCTTATGATGTCTCTTTTATTGCATTTGCTTGTGTTTACATTCATGTGTAGTGAGTAGTTACCCATTGGGGTTTGAGATGGGATAGATTAGAGGTTTCATATGCTTAATCCTTCTAGCTTATGGTCTTAATCTAGATTCTCTCTCTTTTGGATAGATCTTAAGGCTACATGACCACTACCCCTGGCTTGTAAGTCCTTAGGCGACTCCCCACACGAAAGTGATGGCATTCGCTGGAAAAGATCCACTAAGAGCTCCAATATCTCTTGCTCTAGACAATAGAGGTCTAAGGGGTTGGATGGATTAGTTTGGGCAATGATCCTATAGCCTCCAAGGTTTGATTCTCACTGGCTAACCCCCTGTTTCTGAGATCATTCCTTGGTTGATAGCCTCCACCTTGGGAAAGGGTTGGCTAGGCATTGAGAAGCCCAATATCAAGAGAAGCCTTGATACAAGGAGTTTTAAGAGCTAGATTGATTAAGTGTAGATTCCTTTGATTGCAAAACCCTGTCTTGAACCCTAATTCTCTCTTTATCTTGTTAAAGTCGTCACCTTTAGCTTTGTTTGTCTCAACTCGATCGAGCTGGTACTTTGCTCTACTCGACTCGAGCTCTTGGTCGAGCTGACACTTCATTGCTTTCTTTTCATTATTTAGGTTGTTAGTGTTACTTCAAATCATAACTGCTTGCTTGACTTCCTGGTTGTTTCATATTCTCATAGAGTGACAAGTTTCCCATTTTGGATTGATAACCCTTTGTACTACAACTATCATGGTTAAAGGGAATTGTTGACTGTGTTTGTGTTTGCATCTTACCACCATCATATACCACTGATTGCATTCCACTCATCTCATTTCATTTCATATCTTTCCACTTACACACACAAAAACCTTTCATCAGGTATCCACAACAACAAAGACCTCCTTACCAATCTCAAGGAAGTCAATTTCAGCCAAGGAAAGGAGTATGAGCAGAGATTTAATCCACCCAAGGAGCCTTATGCTTCTTCACCAAATCAAGCTCCTCCAAACCAACAAGGTGGGAGATTTGAAGGAATCCTCCAACAGATCATGGATGGCCAGAAGAGAAACAATAAAGAGATGTATGAGAAGATGGACACTTTGTTCAGCAATCTCAACACCAAGTATGATGCTGTTGCCACTCATGTGAAGAAACTAGAGACTCAAGTCACTCAAACTATGGAAGCTGTTAAGAGACAGGAAGCTGAATCCAAGAAGTCCTTTTGCAACTCAGCCTCCATAGAAGAAAGATTTGAAGACCAAGTTCCATAATGGATGCTTTCAAAACCTACTGTTGATTGCATGATTTGGCCTGAAGAAAATTACCCAGAGAGAGAGTCCAATCAAGCTAGAAAGAGAAGACTCTTCCCAAAGATTATCCCCAAGACAGATAACTCAGGAAAGTTTGCTGTACCTTGTATCATCAAAGGTAACATTCTTGAGCAATCTTTGTGTGACACAGGAGCCAATGTGAACATCATGTCTAAGAGGATAGCAGAAAAGATAGGTGTAACACCCCCGGTTCGGTCTATGAATAGACTAAACCGCAGATGCCACAAGTGTCGAGGTTCATAAGATAGGCCGTCTTGGGTCTAAGAACAAATCAGAGCCCAAGTCAGCTAATCCGATGAATACGACCCTCTCGACCATCGGTTAAGGCTTTGCAACCTGCTCCTCCGGTCTTGAGTTGTGTTAGCTCCGGACAAGAGCTAATATCATTCGAGAGGCCAGATTTGTAAAAAGATAACTTTATATAATAACCTTGTCAAAACAAGTTCTTACAAAACTTTATACTATTTTGCCGGCAAGGCCTAGTGCCCAAAGCATAGCTATTGCATATAATAACCTGAAATCGAGTTTTACAAAAGCCAAGCCAATCTACTCCGGTCTTCAGCTGTTCTGCCTCCCGTCCACGGGCTTCAACTAAGGGTTACCTGTAAGACAAATAATCATCATGAGTAACCTAATGTTACTCAGTGAGTTCAGGACCCTCTATACAAAGGTTATTCCCCAAACCCAAACCCCAAAAGAAAAAGGCGGGATCTCATCCGCCACCTGCAACACAAAGCAATTATGCAATATTGTTGCTATAGCCTTAAGACTAACCGTACCCCAATCAAACAAGAACAGGTACGATCAATCCAAGACTATAACAACACTCAAACAAGCAATCAATCAATCAAGCAATGCACACAATCAATCTATATGCAAAGCAACCCTAATCAAGTAGCGGAATACTTGACTTCTACATGCAGTGAGGCCTCTAGGTGCATAAGCCACATTCTCAGCCCACGCCTGTGAAGGTTCACGCTCATCCGGAATCACACAGAAACTAGATGAACGCCTTCACCCGGGCACTACAGTCCATCGCGGTACCCGGTTCATCCTCCCATCTATTGGCCTTACTGGCGCACCATGCCAATGTCTGGTTGGATCCCATATCGTCATATGGTACCATACTCGGCCAAGGCAGCTGACCAGGTTATCCTCCGAGTCTTCCTCCCTTCATGCACAGCCTCCACGCTGCCAATCCGGTTGGGCTCTGACGTGCGAGAATGCGCTTGACTACACCTTCCTAAACAACATGTGGTTAGACACGCCACATGTTCTCAGTACTTAGCATATGGGCCTTTACGCACCACTATGCCTCATACCCTCGGTTCTGCGGCAGAGCTTCCCTTGCCTCGGAAGAGTACCCACACGAACCTCGAAAGATCTGGCGGCTCAGCCGTCCGTGATCTTTCCACATCGGAGTCATACTCAACATATGGGCCTTACGCACCACCATGTTAGCATGCACTCGAGGTTTAGCGGCATAGCCATGCTATAACCCCACAACCGATGCATCTATGAGATTTGGCGGCATAGCCATCCACAATCTCACATATGCCACCTACAAGTATGACATAGCCATCTATAACCCCACAAACAAGATCTGACGGCATAACCTTCCCCGAAGGTTACCCATCACAATCTTACACACAAAAGAGATCTGCCAGCATAACCTTCCCCGAAGGTTACCTGACACAACCTCACAACACAAGAGATCTGACGGCATAACTTCTCTCTCTAGAAGATTACCCGTCACAACCTCACAGAGATTTCTGCAGCATAACTCTCCACAATTTTTACTAAACTTATTGTTTAGAGAGTTATACCACATACTTATTAAACGATAGAAGGAAATAAACTATAACCTAGCTACCGGAACTCACAGATTTTAGACGACCCGGCTGACCCCGTTCCTAGCCTACCCCGCTCTAGCCCGAACCCGATCCGCCTCTGGATCTTCTCTTCTTCTTCTCCACCTTGTTCTTCTTCTTCTTCTTTCTTCTTCTTCCTCTTCTTCCTCTCTCTCTCTCTTTCTCTCTCTGTCTTTATCTCTCTAGATTTTCAGGTTTTGGTGTGAGTTGAAATGAAGGCTGAAGGGGCCTTTATATAGGTTTATGGGAAGCTCGAGGTGGCGTCTGAGGGCTTCAGAACGTGACACCTCTCCTCTGCATGCAACCAATGGCGTTGAGGCACGCCTGCAGCTGCTTCTCCCATCCCCATCCACTTGGATCGAATGGCACCTTCCCATTGGTCCATTATTCAAGCTGCTGGGTAGCTGAACGTGATTGGTCCATTGAAGATGAGCATCTCCTCCTTGATCCTATCTTCATGGAATGAGTGGCTTCTTCTATTGGCTCCTTCCCTCATCTGTTGAGTGTCATGGCCTGATTGGCCTGAAACTCCTTGATTCAGCATCTGAATGGCTCCGTTTGATTGGTCTGTTCTGGAAGCTGCTGTGTAGCTCCATTTGATTCGTCCATTTTTGGATAAGATAATCCAATCACAATGCTTATCCACGGCCTCACTCTCTCCCATCAGGTGGTGTTGACACACGATTGGTCCAACACAATTTCGTCCCATTCCAACAGCTCAATGTCTCTACGTGATTGGCTGAACGGTTTTGGCTCCATCTGAGTAGCTTGGTGTCTCCTCCTTACTGGTTTTCTTTATCCTCCTCAAGTAGCTGGTGTCACCACTTGATTGGCTTAGAACAAGATTGCTCCAAAATACGTTTCCTCGTCCAGAGGGTTTCGTACGTTTCCCTGTCCGGAGGGTTTCGTCCCCGTCATGTTTGAGAATTAAAATCTCCTATTTTAATCCTTCTCTCATTTCCATGTTTCTGAGCTTCCACATAGTTGCTTGGAAATGTGCGGAATACCTCCATCCCGAACATTTACGCTTCTTGCAGTCGTTGCGGGATAGATCTTGGGCGTTCGTCCCATCTCTCAATCTGCTCGTCCGATTTGCATTCTGCTTCGACCAAACTTCTTAGAATGGTTCTTATGTCGTCCAAACTCTTCTCTTCTTGATTTGGAGAACTTTGATATTTCGTCGTCCTGTTGACTCTTCCCATGTTCGTACAATGATCGTCCCACCTGGACAATCTTGTTGTATCTTCACTTCTGCTCGTTCGTTCTTGATCATGTCTTGATCCAAGTCTTCGTTGTGATCTCTGTATTAGATCCCACGTCTTTGTCTTCCAATCCCAGAGTGTTGATCTTCCCATCCCGGCCTTTGGGATGTTTTAGGTCTTGATACGGGGTATCACATTCTCCCCCCCTTAATAGAATTCGTCCCCGAATTCCAGTTGTAGAGAGTAGGAACGTAACATTGTTCCGGTGTCTCTCCCCATCTTTGAAGATGCCTTGCCTCCTCTTACTATGTCTTCACGTTGTCCCCTTGCAGACTCCTCTTCCACTGATCTCCTCTGATCCTCCTTGATGTTCTCTCTCTCCACGGATCCGCCTTGCTGTTCTCTCTCTCCACGGATCCTCCTTGTTCTATGCAGCTGTGTTCTGCGTAGAACTCGGGTTAGTTCTTCCGGAAGTTCTCTTCATCTTCCTAGATGATAACTTTCCAGTTTTGTCTTCCCCATAATACTTGAATATGTGGAATCTCGCGGTTCTTCAGCTTACGAACTCGTTGATCTCCAAGTCTGATTGGACCTTTCCGGGTAAGTAAGGTTTGACTGCAATCCTTCTACCCGTTCAGGTTCAATGGCGCTGGGGTCACGTATATGCTTCCGTAGCATTGATACGTGGAACACTGGATGTAGATTCATGTCCGCCGGTAGGTCTAGGCGATAAGGCACTTCTCCAACTCGCCCAATGACTTGGTATGGACCTATGAATCGTACTGCTAGCTTCCCGATCTTCCAAAACGATCTCTACCCTTTTGAGTGGATACTTTGAGGTATACCCAATCTCCAATGGTAAAGACTATCTCTCGCCGGTTTTAGTTCTCCATAACACTTGAATAGGCAGATCTTGAAGTAACCCTCCTGGTACTTGATGTTCCGCCTTGATCTCTTGACATTGGGAGTCATGTTGCGCCACTGCTCTCTTCATCCTTAGTGCTTCAAGGATGAATACTAAGTAAAGACTGGTGTGCCATCCTTAGTATCTCTTGTCTTAGATGCCCTCCTTCTGGAACGGTGATTCTCCCATGAAGTAGGATGGTCACATCTTCGGCTAGGTGATAGTCCTCATCAACGCCTTCGCCTTCTTCTTGAAAAACAATCCCGATGCTCATTAGGTCTTTTAGTTGTGTCTTCACTTCTCCTCATTTGGTTGGGGTCATACCGTATGGTACCCCTAATGCTGGCGTCGTTCCTGACTCCAGGCTTATAGTGAATGGATTCCTCCGTGGTAGGGATAATTCTGTCAGCGCCTCGAATGCATCCCCAAACTCTTGTACCACCAGGATATCCTCCACTTTCAACTTCTTGTCTTCTTTCTTTTCCACCACACCAATCACAAGGAGATATGCTTCTCCTCTCTCCATCTGCGTTTCCATTCGCAGATCTGATCCTAACAACATTGCCGTACTAGGACTGATTCCTTGGTACGCAATCCTCTATTGCTGAGACCCTTTGAAGATGATTCTTCTCTCTCACATTCTAGCTGAGCTTCATAGCTAGATAACCAATCCTTGCACAGGATTTCATTGAAGCGGGCTAGGGGTAGAACTAGTAGGTCAGCGCTGAAGGTCTCTTCCTGCAACACAACATAAACACTACACTATACTCAACGCTTTAAGGGTTTGGTCTCCTGAGGATAACACAAGATCCTCCACCCTTTCTACCTTAAAAGCGTCTCCTAAACAAGATGCTACTTCAGGAGTCACAATACCATGTGTTGCTCCCGAATCGAACAAAATATGTGTCAGGTTACCACCTACACATATTGTTCCTTAGCACCCTACCACAATACTAATATACTTACTAATCAAGCAAGCAATCACACAAAACAAACCCAAGCAATAACTTAAACAAGTTAGAGTTAGCACCCTTATCTTTCTATGGTAGGATCTTTTACCGATCCCAACGGGTTTTATGTTTCTGCGTCTAACGCGGACACCTCACCCGTGCTTGTCAGACGATTGGTCGGGGATCCGTTCATTGGTCAGGTCGACGCTTCTAGGTCTTGTCGCCACTTCAACGATCTTGTGAGGACAATTTGGGGAGAAATGTCCTTTCTCTCCACAGATGTAGCATGTCGCACGTATTGGAAGATCTGGCACTGAAATAGTACGGGGACAAGATCGAGCGAAATGTCCCTTTCCTCCACATGTGTAGCATGATTCGCCATCATTCCCGGATTTCTGGCCTCCTTTCTTTGACTTAGTTGCGGCTCTGGAATCCATTTTTCTTTTCTTCCAAGCGGCTTTCTCCTTTTGCAGATACGCCTCCACATCCACTGCTCTTTCTATCACTTCATGGAGACTACTGAAAGTGACTGACTGTAGTCGACTTTCTATCTCTGGTTTTAGTCCTTCCATGAACTGTCTCACTAGGGCTTTATCATCCACGTTGCAGTATGAGATATACTGCTGTAGTCTCATAAACTCCGCTTCATATTCTCGAACGCTCTTCTCGCCTTGGTTTAGTCGCATAAACTCATTGGCTAGGTGATCTCGTGCTTCGGATGGAAAGTATTTCTGTTCAAACTCCTTTTTGAACCCTTCCCATGTGTCGATGTGATACTCCTGCTGTCGATTCATGCTTTCCCACCAGCTTAACGCCTCCTTCTCTAGGTGATAGACTCCGACGTCCCTTTTAAAGTCGTCTGTACATCTGGTCGCTGAAAATTTCTTCTCCACACATTGTAGCCATGCATCCGCCTGGTAGTGGTCCGGCTCTCCATTGAATAGATAGGTTCTTAAGGTCTTCAAGATTGTTGCTATCTTGAGAAAGTCTGGTGGTAGAGCTACTCCGTTGCTTGTGCCTAGTATGGCCTGGTGCAACACTTGGGATGAAAGATCATGCACCATGGATAAAGTTGTATCGGCCCGTTGTTGATCTCCTGGTTCCGATGGTGCCTCAGCACCTTGTCGTGCTTGTTGATTGGCAGATCCGGAATGCTCAACTCGAACATTCCTAAGCGGTGGATGATGAGACCTCGTCCCTTGAGAGTGAATGGAGGATGAGTAAGGTGACATAGAGTAGTCCCTTCTCTCTGGATATTCGTAGTCCGGATTCTCAGCTTGCCCATCTGTCTTAAGCATGTTTTCATGCATCATCTCCTCATGCTGACCTTCTTCTTCATTGCTGTGCATAGCCACATCTGATGGCTCTCTTCCACTATCCTCTGGCGCACTCTGACCCTGACCCAATGATAAATCCCTCGACCTCTCGTGACCTCCTCTGTGGTTTAACATCTGCACCAGGTAATGGGTAAGTCCTAACTTACTAATCCTAATAGGCAGAACAAACCGGATTCCTAATTTGGCTTTTGCGACACATTTTGACTCGATAAAACAGCTTGTCCCGTGAGCATGACCATGAACCATGCTCTGATACCACCATTTGTAACACCCCCGGTTCGGTCTATGAATAGACTAAACCGCAGATGCCACAAGTGTCGAGGTTCATAAGATAGGCCGTCTTGGGTCTAAGAACAAATCAGAGCCCAAGTCAGCTAATCCGATGAATACGACCCTCTCGACCATCGGTTAAGGCTTTGCAACCTGCTCCTCCGGTCTTGAGTTGTGTTAGCTCCGGACAAGAGCTAATATCATTCGAGAGGCCAGATTTGTAAAAAGATAACTTTATATAATAACCTTGTCAAAACAAGTTCTTACAAAACTTTATACTATTTTGCCGGCAAGGCCTAATGCCCAAAGCATAGCTATTGCATATAATAACCTGAAATCGAGTTTTACAAAAGCCAAGCCAATCTACTCCGGTCTTCAGCTGTTCTGCCTCCCGTCCACGGGCTTCAACTAAGGGTTACCTGTAAGACAAATAATCATCATGAGTAACCTAATGTTACTCAGTGAGTTCAGGACCCTCTATACAAAGGTTACTCCCCAAACCCAAACCCCAAAAGAAAAAGGCGGGATCTCATCCGCCACCTGCAACACAAAGCAATTATGCAATATTGTTGCTATAGCCTTAAGACTAACCATACCCCAATCAAACAAGAACAGGTACGATCAATCCAAGACTATAACAACACTCAAACAAGCAATCAATCAATCAAGCAATGCAAACAATCAATCTATATGCAAAGCAATCCTAATCAAGTAGCGGAATACTTGACTTCTACATGCAGTGAGGCCTCTAGGTGCATAAGCCACATTCTCAGCCCACGCCTGTGAAGGTTCACGCTCATCCGGAATCACACAGAAACTAGATGAACGCCTTCACCCGGGCACTACAGTCCATCGCGGTACCCGGTTCATCCTCCCATCTATTGGCCTTACTGGCGCACCATGCCAATGTCTGGTTGGATCCCATATCGTCATATGGTACCATACTCGGCCAAGGCAGCTGACCAGGTTATCCTCCGAGTCTTCCTCCCTTCATGCACAGCCTCCACGCTGCCAATCCGGTTGGGCTCTGACGTGCGAGAATGCGCTTGACTACACCTTCCTAAACAACATGTGGTTAGACACGCCACATGTTCTCAGTACTTAGCATATGGGCCTTTACGCACCACTATGCCTCATACCCTCGGTTCTGCGGCAGAGCTTCCCTTGCCTCGGAAGAGTACCCACACGAACCTCGAAAGATTTGGCGACTCAGCCATCTGTGATCTTTCCACATCGGAGTCATACTCAACATATGGGCCTTACGCACCACCATGTTAGCATGCACTCGAGGTTTAGCGGCATAGCCATGCTATAACCCCACAACCGATGCATTGATACGCATCTACACAAACAAGATATGGTGGCTCAGCCGTCCGAGATCTTTCCACATCGGAGTGATACTCAACATATGGGCCTTACGCACCACCATGTTAGTATGCACTCGAGGTTTAGCGGCATAGCCATGCTATAACCCCACAACCGATGCATCTCTATGCACCTGCACAAACAGGATCTGACGGCATAACCTTCTCCGAAGGTTACCCATCACAATCTTACACACAAAAGAGATCTGCCAGCATAACCTTCCCCGAAGGTTACCTGACACAACCTCACAACACAAGAGATCTGACGGCATAACTTCTCTCTCTAGAAGATTACCTGTCACAACCTCACAGAGATTTCTGCAGCATAACTCTTCACAATTTTTACTAAACCTTATTGTTTAGAGAGTGATACCACATACTTATTAAACGATAGAAGGAAATAAACTATAACCTAACTACCGGAACTCACAGATTTTAGACGACCCGGCTGACCCCGTTCCTAGCCTACCCCGCTCTAGCCCGAACCCGATCCGCCTCTGGATCTTCTCTTCTTCTTCTCCACCTTGTTCTTCTTCTTCTTCTTTCTTCTTCTTCCAGGGCGTTCTCCTCTCTCTCTCTCTCTCTCTCTCTTTCTCTCTCTTTCTTTATCTCTCTAGATTTTCAGGTTTTCGTGAGTTGTAATGAAGGCTGAAGGGGCCTTTATATAGGTTTATGGGAAGCTGGAGGTGGCGTCTGAGGGCTTCAGAACGTGACACCTCTCCTCTGCATGCAACCAATATCGTTGAGGCACGCATGCATGTAACACCCCCAGTTCGGTCTATAGACATAGACTAAACCACATATGTCACAACTGTCGAGACTCATCAAATAGGCCGTTCCAGAACAGAGAACGAATCAAAGTCTAGATCAGCCCGTCCGGTGAATCCGACCCTCTCGACCGTAGCATAAGGCTTTGCAACCCGTACCATGGTCTTGAGTTGTGTCGGCTTGGACTAGCCTATTATCATTGAGTAACCGGGTTTAAAAGAAAACATTCTTTTATATATATCAAACTTGTAATACAAATTCTTACAAAACATTTTATACTTTATGTTGCAGCTGCGGCCTAATGCCAAAAGATAATTATACATACATTACCCGAAAACCGAGTTTTGCAAAAAGCCAACCAAACTACTCCGGTCTTCGACTGTTCTGCCTCCTGTTCACAGGATTCTACTCCGAGCTACCTGTAAGACAAATAATCATCATGAGTAACCTAATGTTACTCAGTGAGTTCAGGACCCTCTATACAAAGGTTATTCCCCAAACCCAAACCCCAAAAGAAAAAGGCGGGATCTCATCCGCCACCTGCAACACAAAGCAATTATGCAATATTGCTGCTATAGCCTTAAGACTAACCGTACCCCAATCAAACAAGAACAGGTACGATCAATCCAAGACTATAACAACACTCAAACAAGCAATCAATCAATCAAGCAATGCACACAATCAATCTATATGCAAAGCAACCCTAATCAAGTAGCGGAATACTTGACTTCTACATGCAGTGAGGCCTCTAGGTGCATAAGCCACATTCTCAGCCCACGCCTGTGAAGGTTCACGCTCATCCGGAATCACACAGAAACTAGATGAACGCCTTCACCCGGGCACTACAGTCCATCGCGGTACCCGGTTCATCCTCCCATCTATTGGCCTTACTGGCGCACCATGCCAATGTCTGGTTGGATCCCATATCGTCATATGGTACCATACTCGGCCAAGGCAGCTGACCAGGTTATCCTCCGAGTCTTCCTCCCTTCATGCACAGCCTCCACGCTGCCAATCCGGTTGGGCTCTGACGTGCGAGAATGCGCTTGACTACACCTTCCTAAACAACATGTGGTTAGACACGCCACATGTTCTCAGTACTTAGCATATGGGCCTTTACGCACCACTATGCCTCATACCCTCGGTTCTGCGGCAGAGCTTCCCTTGCCTCGGAAGAGTACCCACACGAACCTCGAAAGATCTGGCGGCTCAGCCGTCCGTGATCTTTCCACATCGGAGTCATACTCAACATATGGGCCTTACGCACCACCATGTTAGCATGCACTCGAGGTTTAGCGGCATAGCCATGCTATAACCCCACAACCGATGCATCTCTATGCACCTGCATAAACAAGATCTGACGGCATAACCTTCCCCGAAGGTTACCCATCACAATCTTACACACAAAAGAGATCTGCCAGCATAACCTTCCCCGAAGGTTACCTAACACAACCTCACAACACAAGAGATCTGACGGCATAACTTCTCTCTCTAGAAGATTACCCGTCACAACCTCACAGAGATTTCTGCAGCATAACTCTCCACAATTTTTACTAAACATTATTGTTTAGAGAGTTATACCACATACTTATGAAACGATAGAAGGAAATAAACTATAACCTAGCTACCGGAACTCACAACTTTTAGACGACCCGGCTGACCCCGACCCTAGCCTCCCCGCTCTAGCCCGATGCTGATCCGCCTCTGGATCTTCTTCTCTTCTCCTCTTTCTTCTTCTTTCTCTTCTCCTCCACGCCTTCTCACTTTCTCTTTCTAGTTTCTCTCTCTAGATTTCAGTTTGTGGTGTGGTTTGGAAATGAAGACCAAGGGGGCCTTTATATAGGTTTTTCGGAAGCTCGAGGTGGCGTCTGGTGGCTTCAGAACGCGACACCTTGCTTCCGCATGCAACCAATGGCATTGCTGCACGCCTGGAGCAGCTTCTTCCATCCCAATCCACTTGAGTCAAATGGCACCTTCCCATTGGTCCATTCCCCAAGCTGCTGGGTAGCTGAACGTGATTGGTTCGTTGAGGATGAGCATCTCCTCCTTGATCCTATCTTCCTGGATCAAGTGGCTCCTTCCCATTGGCTCATTGTTGATCAGATCAACAAGCTGCTGAGTGTCTAGACCTGATTCGTCCAACACATTCCTGTCTTCTCATGAGCAGCTGAGTGCTCACACCTGATTGGTGCAACACATTTTCGTCCCATATGAGCAGCTGAGTGCCCATACTTGATTGGTTAGCTTGAACTTATCCTTGATAAGTAGCTGGTGTCGCCATTCCATTGGCCTTGTGCTTCCTTCTACGTTTCCTCTTGCAGAAGGTTTCGTACGTTTCCCTGTACGGAGGGTTTCGTACGTTTCCTTGACTGGAGGGTTTCGTCCCGTCGTACTTGAGAATTAAAATCTCTCATTTTAATCCTTCCGTCATTTCCATGTTTCTGAACTTCCACATAGCTGCTTGGAAATGTGCGGGAAACCTCTATCCCGGGACATTTGCGTTTCTCGCGCTTGTCATGGGATGGATCCTCCGTGTAGTGGGATGGTCGTTTCTGGCCGTCCGTCCCGTCTATGTCTTGACCGTGCTTAGCTAGCATGAGGGATATTACACTGCAGCTGCTTCTCCCATCCCTATCCACTTGGATCGAATGGCACCTTCCCATTGGTCCATTCTTCAAGCTGCTGGGTAGCTGAACGTGATTGGTCCATTGAAGATGAGCATCTCCTCCTTGATCCTATCTTCATGGAATGAGTGGCTTCTTATTATTGGCTCCTTCCCTCATCTGTTGAGTGTCACGGCCTGATTGGCCAGAAACTCCTTGATTCAGCATCTGAATGGCTCCGTTTGATTGGTCGGTTCTGGAAGCTGCTGTGTAGTTCCATTTGATTTGTCCATTTCTGGATAAGATAATCCAATCACAATGCTTATCCACGGCCTCACTCTCTCCCATCAGGTGGTGTTGACACACGATTGGTCCAACACAATTTCGTCCCATTCCAACAGCTCAATGTCTCTGCGTGATTGGCTGAACGGTTTTGGCTCCATCTGAGTAGCTTGGTGTTCCTCCTTACTGGTTTAGACCATCTTTATCCTCCTCAAGTAGCTGGTGTCACCACTTGATTGGCTTAGAACAAGATTGCTCCAAAAGTACGTTTCCTCGTCCAGAGGGTTTCGTACGTTTCCCTGTCCGGAGGGTTTCGTCCCCGTCATGTTTGAGAATTAAAATCTCCTATTTTAATCCTTCTCTCATTTCCATGTTTCTGAGCTTCCACATAGTTGCTTGGAAATGTGCGGAATACCTCCATCCCGAACATTTACGCTTCTTGCAGTCGTTGCGGGATAGATCTTGGGCGTTCGTCCCATCTCTCAATCTGCTCGTCCGATTTGCATTCTGCTTCGACCAAACTTCTTAGAATGGTCTCTTATGTCGTCCAAACTCTTCTCTTCTTGATTTGGAGAACTTTGATATTTCGTCGTCCTGTTGACTCTTCCCATGTTCGTACAATGATCGTCCCACCTGGACAATCTTGCTGTATCTTCACTTCTGCTCGTTCGTTCTTGATCATGTCTTGATCCAAGTCTTCGTTGTGATCTCTGTATTAGATCCCACGTCTTTGTCTTCCAATCCCAGAGTGTTGATCTTCCCATCCCGGCCTTTGGGATGTTTTAGGTCTTGATACGGGGTATCACAATAGGCCTCACCAAGATACAGCCATCATCCATCTCCATCAACTATGCTGATTCATTCTCCCAAACCCCCTATGGCTTTGTGCCTAATGTGATGGTGCTGATTGGAAATTGCTCTATCCCTACTGATTTTCAGATTGTGGAAATGAGAGAGAATAGCCATAGACCTCTCATATTTGGAACCCCTTTCCTGTCTACTGTGGGTGCCATATTTGATTTCCCCAATCAAAGAATCTCTTTCAACAAGGTGAACAAGGGTATGTTCTTCCCTATGTGTTCAACAAAGAACTCTTTTGTTGACATGGTCCAAGAGGAGAAAGTTACTTTGAAGCCACCCCAAGAAGGAGAAACTGAAGCAAGAATCAAGGAAGATCCCATTCCTAAGCCCAAGCAGCTTGCCAAACAAGCAAGGAGTAAGACTAAGGCCCCTACACCAAAACCACCCAAGGGATCAACCAAGATTGAAGATGAGGCCAAGCCAAGAAAGAAGGTTAGAAAGCCTAGGTCTGGCCGCAACATGAAGCTTCTATTCCCAGAGGAGCTTATTGATGAGAATCTAGAAGGATTCAAGGAGAAAGTGACAAGAACTCTAAAGCTTTTTCCTAAGGCATTTGTGCCAAGGGACATTCATGGAGAGATTGTCTATCCAGCTGTGAATCACCCACCAGATACTCATTGCAAGGAGAAAAGACTTGGAGGATCAAAGATGCCTCTTGTCTCTATCTTCTCCTGAGTGCCAAGCCTTACAGTCAAGCTAAAGACTTAAAACAAGCGCTGCATGGGAGGCAACCCATGAGGTACTTTTACTTTTCTTTCTTTGATTTTCTTAGTTTTTGTTTTGCTTTTGTGTTTTCTTTGTTTTGAGATAGGATAGAAGGAGAAAAAGGTGTGAAAACACAATCCGCGCCAAACTATTGGCCGCGGACGAGCAGAAAAAGTTTTGGCCGAGCAATTTCCAACCGGGCCGACCGTGCCGGTCGAGCCGGGAAGGAACGACTTATGCTCGGCCGAAGTTACTATATCGCGCGACAATAACCGACCGCGCGGCACGCACGAACCGGAAGGAATGAGCCGCGCTCGGCCGGATTCGCGTATCGGAACGGACCGACCGTGCCGGTCGATCCGGGAAACAATCGATCGGCCTCGGCCGAAATCTCTCGGCCATAATCAAATTTGGCCGACCAAATCGCACGGCCATAACAAAATTCTCTCGGCCATCGGCCAAAAATTTTCTCGGCCAAGGTAACCCTTTTCATTTAATTCAAACCGGTTTTAACCTATCCTAAACCAACTTAAACCGGTTTTCAATCAAAATTCGAATTTGAAAAGGAAAATTTATAGAATCTTGAGCTTTATAACTTTACCTTTCCCTTGAAAACAACAAGAACCTCTCTTTCTTCTCCAAAACCCTAAACTCCATTAGAGGAACTCTAAGAGCTTTGACTTCAAAACTTTTACTGTTCATAACTATAAATTGGAATTTACTTGCTCTTACAACCTTTATTCACTTTTCAATACACAAGGTACCCAATGGCAAAGACAAAAGGAAATGAGAGTATGAAGAAGAAGAAGAACCCATTCATGGACCACCAAAGAAACAAATCAAGCTAGGGAGTAGTAGCTCCAATGCAAGAGCAGCAATACCAACTTCACCACATTCCATTGATGCAAGTCAAGAACATGTGGAGAGTCCAACAAGAGGAGAAGATGATTGGGCACTTGTAAGCTTTGTTGGAGAACAAATCCAAGACCCAAGAAAGTGCAAGAAGGCAATGGAGAAGGTGAACATGAACCTTGTGTGAAGATGGACACCCAAACCCTTGACCTTCTCAAGATAAGAGATGATGTCACATGGTACATAAGGAAGCTAGGCTTGAGCAAGCTCTTCAAGCTAGAGTGTAGTGAGTACTCACAACTCACCAAGGAGTTCCTCTCCACAGTAGCTCTTGCCTTTCCCAACCACAATGGAGACCAACCAGCTGGTGATGGACTCCTACTCTTCAAGATAGGCGATGCCAATGGGCGCATCTCCATCTCAGCTCTATGCCAACTCTTTGGACTTCCCAATGAGACAGCACATGACTTCAAGGAGAACTCAAAGAGGAAACAAGCTGCCTTTGCTGATTGGACACACTTTGCCAATGAACCATTCTTGCCTTCAAGATCAAAGGTGTCTAGAATCACTCATCCAGCCATTCGCTATGTGCACCGCCTCATCTCCACCACTTTCCAATGCAAACAAGAAGCCAACAAGGTCACAACTGATGAGTTCTACATCCTCACCACACCATTCATCAAGCATGAGTACAAGGCCAACCTTGGTCTTTTACTTGCCAAGACATTATCAATGTGAGGAAGCTAGCTAAAGACTTGGAAGGCAACAAGAAGCTTTGTGTTCGTTTTGGGAGGCTTATCACGGCCATAGTACAACATGTGGGGATTGACATTCCCAACTATGAGCCACTACCCAAGCCAACCCCTTTGGATCTCCATGCTCTTCAGCACATCCACTTCCTAAACCGTTGGACTAAAGACCCAACTCGGTTTTGCTATGAGTTTCCAATTGGTCCAGCCAACACTTCCCTTGTCTTGCTGCCACATGAAGACATCCCAAGCCTACGCTCAGGAGTTGTCACTTTCCAGCCCAATGAGGAAGACTTCTATGTTCCATCAAGTGAGAAACCATCATTCCCCATGCTCACCTATCGCACACTTCAGCATGCAGTCAAGACTCAACGCCGCCACCAAGAACGCCATGTTCTCACTACTGGCATGGCCGCGCATCAAGCTCTAGACCGTGTTAACAAGCTGGAGAAGATAGTGGATGCCAATCTCGCTTCATCTCACGCCTAGTTCGCGTAGTTCGCCACATTGCACCGGAGAGACTCTTTCGCCCTTCTTCCACCGCTAGAGAGCCATATGAGCCTGACCTTGGTGAGTTCTCACTAGACTCAGAGCTTGGTTCAGAAGGCGATGACCCCATAGATGAGGAAGAGAGTTCTTCTCACTGCCACACATAGTCATCTCAAGTGGTACTTAGTGCAATGGACACTTACAAATCTCCATTTTCTATCCCTATCTCATTTTAATGAATTTTTCTTTATTTTTCTTTTACTTTGAATATTACCTCTCACCTTAATGTGATTTGCTTTCACCGGGACGGTGCAAGTTAAGTCTGGGGGGAGTTTTATTGTGTTACTAATGCATTTTTCTTTCTTTTCTTATGTTTTATTCACTTTGTTTCATGTTTTTCAAAAAGTTTTATTGAGTCAAAAACCAGTCCGGAAGTTATGAACTTGCTTTGAGAATTGAGAGTGTTGTGCTAACAATCCATGACCCTAGAGCAGAAACCAGCTAAAGGCACAAGCCTAACAGAAGCTCTTACAGTGGATCGACATGCTAGCTCAGCAAAATTTCTAAGGTAACCAAGCAATCTAGAGTTAACCTCACCCTTAATCAATCTTAATTACTCTTGTCAAGGGGGTTGGCATACATGTCGACAGTTCCTTGCTTGATTTTCAATAAGATTTGTCTAATCTTTAAAGAGTTCTCCTCTCTCTCCCATCCCAAATGGTAAGTAATGTTTATGAGAAAAAGCTCAAAGAGCACAAGGAAAACAAGTAAGCATGAGGAATGCATATGTCTGTACCTTCATGTCTTATGGAATACCTTAGTCAAACAAGGAACAAGCTAAAGACTTATCCTGTGGTTGAAAGAAGGGTCAATAGAAAAAATAAAATGATACCCTAGAAAAGTAGGGAGAAATTGACCTTTCAAAGTTCTGATGTGAGAAAGAGAGAGGAAAAGAACTCATTGCACTTAAAGACAATCTTGGAGAGATCAAGTGGGTAAGAACAAGTTCAATTGATCGATGTCCCCTTGATAAAGAATTCACGCTTTAAATTTATGCAAGAGGTTAGCAATAGAGAGTTTGGATTGCTGGATGAGACTAGTTGGGTTGGTATTGTTCGCTAAACTTGCAGGGTGTATGTGAAGCTAACCTTATGTTGTCTATGTTCATAGTGGAATACAGGAAAGGAACCTTTCACAGGATATTCAAAAGAGCAAGGGAGTTTCCACGTTTTCAAACCTCTTTCACGGATTTAGATTCTTTTTGCTTGAGGACAAGCAAAGATCTAAGTCTGGGGGAGTTGATATACCTCTATTTACATGCTTTTTATACTGTTTTAGCATTGTTTTCTAATGGTTTTTGGCAGGTTTTCTATCTAAAAAGGTAGTTTTACTGTGTTTATAGTGTCTAGAGTCTAAACAGGTGAAATGATGCATTTTGGAGCAAAACCATAGGATTTGCACTTCAAGCCGCTCCATGCACAAGCACCAACTTTAAGAGGGCCCAGAAAAAGATCTACTCAATGGATTTCATCAAGACCAGTTCCCTGCGTGCTCTGATTGAGTTAACTTTCCAACGCAACTGGAACGGCCTAATTTGGATGAGTAGAAAAGGAGTTACAACCAAAAGAGTGAAGACTGTCCAGACGGCTCTATCGAGAATCAGCGCCCAACCGCGCAGTCCGGCTGGCCGAGGAACGAATGTTCCGCTCGGCCAAAGTCACATCCGTGTGAAGTCTCGGCACAATCACGACCCGGGAAACATTGCCCGCGGTCGGCCACAACGTCACGCCACGCCGCGCACGACCAGCCGCGCGAGCCGGGAACAAGCCTCGCGGCCGCGCAACCCTCGCGTACCACGGCCGATGCATCCGTCCGAGCCGGGAAACGTCCCCGTCCGGCCGAGAACATCGGCCAAATCTCATCCGCCGACCACGCCGGCCGACCGTGAATCCGTCCGGCCACGACCGTTCCGACTCGGCCCACGACCCGATGTCCGGCCGATCGTCCCGACCGACCGTCCCAACGCCGCGGTCGACCCGAAGCCCGTTTTGAAGCCCAAATTTCATATTTTCAAGCCCGGCTTAACCCTAAGCCGCCTCTAGAAGACCTAGCACTATATATATAGCTTTTTAGCCTCTTGTGAAAAGAGAGCCGCCCTTGTATTTCGATTTCCTACTCTAAGTTTTATTGCAATCATGTTTTCTTCATCTCTATGTGTGTTTGCTTTGATCATGTCTGAGTAATCCACTAGTTAGGTTGCTAGGGTTACTATTCAATGAGTTGCTTGCATGATCTTTGATTTCAATGATTAGCTAGGGATTATATTAGAGTCTTTGTCTCGTCTTGTGCACTTAACTAATGCTGATTGCTTTACCGCGCATCTAGTAATCCGATCTTAGGTTGATTTGAGCCTCGACAGTGCTGTATCATTCGCCGGACATATTCTTTGACAAGCTAGGTTTCTTAGACTGCGAAAGTTGATCTATCTATATCTAGTGAACTGTATCAGAACCTATTCATTCTAAGCTTGATTTAATCACCTAGGGACATACCAAAAGTTTAGCGACTAGGTAGATTAACAAAGGAGCCGGAGCCTCGAAAGTGGAATGGTTTTATATTCGTGATCTGTGTTCTAGATGGTTCTTAATATCCCAATATCCCTAATCAATTAATCTATCATTGTTTCATTGATCATTGCTTGCTTCTCTGCGATAGCCCCTATGACCTAGCGCTTTTCCTTATTGATTTACAACCTCGTTATACTTGCTAGTTCGGTTCACCATTACAACCTCAATCATACTTTTGTTTTAGCTTGATCCAAAATCCATAGTTTCAAAGTGTACTCAATAGCCAGTCCTTGTGTTCGATACCCATACTTCCGCGATCTGTGCACTTGCAGAGGTCTAGGAGTTTGGTAAAACCTGACTCCACATCACATAAGAAAAGAAATAAAAATGCATTAGTAACACAAAAAAACTCCCCCCAGACTTAACTTGCACCGTCCCGGTGAAAGCAAACCACATTAAGGTGAGAGGTAATATTCAAAGTAAAGAAATTTAAAGAAAGGAAATGAAAAGAAATGACCTTCAATGGGTTGCCTCCCATTCAGCGCTTTGTTTAAAGTCATTAGCTTGACTGTATGGCACTTCCTTAAGGATCTGGTGGATCGCCAAGAGCCAGTGTGGTCTCCTGTGGTATGGTAGTGGAAGCTAGGTAAGGTTTCAACCTCTGTCCATTTACTGTAAAGTCTCCTCCCATTGGGTCCCATAGTACCACTGCTCCATAGGGGCGAACTTCTTTAATCATGAATGGTCCTGACCATCTTGATCGAAGCTTTCCAAGTGGTGTTTTGAAGGCAGTGCGGTATGCCCATAGAGCATCATCTAATTTGGCACTCCAATCCTTCCTTGTCTTGCCTGTTGTCTTCTGAAGTATGCTCTTGAGTTCTCTGTTTGAGATTTCAACTTGTCCACTAGTTTGGGGGTGGTAAGGAGAGGCAACTTTGTGAGTGACTCCATGCTTCTTCAAAAGGTTGGCAAAGATTTTGTTTATGAAATGTGTACCTCCATCACTTATGACTATCCTAGGCACTCCAAACCTTGGAAAAATGATGGATTTAAACATCTTGATGACCACTTGTGCGTTATTAGTAGGGCTGGAAATGGCTTCCACCCATTTGGAGACATAATCAACTGCCACTAGAATGTATTCGTCGCCAAAAGAGGTTGGGAAGGGTCCCTGATGATAGGATTTTAGTGGATGTGTGATAAGATATGAGGTGGAATGCAAACAGGGGTGAATAAAGATGAATGGTATGGTGCAATCACAATCAATCAATTCCTCTTAACCATCATAGTCATGTAGTATAAGAGGTTATCAATCCAAAATGGGAAACTTGTCACTCTATGAGAATATGAAACAACCAGAAAGTCAAGCAAGCAGTAGATTGAAGTAACACTAACAACCTAAAAATGAAATGCAATGCAGAAATAAAAGTAAAGCAGTAGAGCAACAGCTCGACCAAGGACTCGAGTCGAGTGGAACAGAGTACCAGCTCGATCGAGTTTAGGGTCGAGTTGAGAAAAAGCTAAAGGTGACGACTTTAACAAGCTAAGAGAGAATTAGGGTTCAAGACAGGGTTTTGCAATCAAAGGAATCTACACTTAATCAATCTAGCTCTTAAAACTCCTTGTATCAAGGCTTCTCTTGATATTGGGCTTCTCAATGCCTAGCCAACCCTTTCCCAAGGTGAAGGCTATCAACCAAGGAATGATCTCAGAAACAGGGGGTTAGCCAGTGAGAATCAAACCTTGGAGGCATAGGATCATTGCCCAAACTAATCCATCCAACCCCTTAGACCTCTATTTCTAGAGCAAGAGATATTGGAGCTCTTAGTGGATCTTTTCCAGCGAATGCCATCACTTCCGTGTGGAGAATCGCCTAAGGACTTACAAGCCAGGGGTAGTGGTCATGTAGCCTTAAGATCTATCCAAAAGAGAGAGAATCTAGATTAAGACCATAAGCTAGAAGGATTAAGCATATGAAACCTCTAATCTATCCCATCTCAAACCCTAATGGGTAACTACTCACTACACATGAATGTAAACACAAGCAAATGCAATAAAAGAGACATCATAAGAAAGAGGAGATGAAATAAACAACTTTTATTGAAATAAGCAAGTGCAAATACAAAGAGATTATCCAGGATCTAGGATTCAAGAAGCAAGAGCTTCAAGAACACAAAGATGGGATTAGAGCTCTAAAAAGTAAAAGACAATAAATTAAAAGAAACTAAAACAAAATAATCTAAAGCTTGGTGGTTTTTTCGTGGCTTAGCCTTTAAATACAAAGAGGATTAGGTTTAGGGTCAAAGGAAAGTCAAGGGGGAAGCAACATTTTTCGGGTTTGACTGTTGACTTCTCAGCTCGATCGAGTTGAAGCTTGGCCGGTCGAGTTGAGGAACTCGACCGGTTGGTCGAGTAGACGGTCGAGCTGGTCTTCAAGATGGCTTCTCCCTTCTTCCTTTGCGTATCCAGTTGAGCTGCGTCCATGCCAAGTCCCTCCATGCTCCTCACGTCCCATATGCTCCAGAATGCTCCAAAAGACCTATTTCAAAGGACCAAACATGCATATGTATGCAAATGCAACCTAAAACTAACATGAATGCATAAGAAGAGAAAAGGAACAAGATATGATGCAAATGGATGCTAAAACTATGCAAAAGATGCATAAAAGATGTGCTAAAACTATGTAAAATGCAAGTACATCAACACCCCCAAACTTGAACTTTGCTTGCCCTCAAGCAAACAAATAGAACAAGAAAGAGATGAGGTTTGAAAACAAGCTGATTCAACACTTAAAAACATGTCCTCAAAAGCGATTTGCTAAATGTCCAACTTAGAGATTCTAGAATGCAACAAGGTGAGAGATATTCATTAAGATTTAACCATGCTTATCAACATCAATCCCACTTCACAGTCACTCAAACAATGCATTCAAATCAGCAAATCCCTTTAACATTCATTAAGCAAAAACAGTGAACCAAAAACATGCAAGATCAATCAACTCATTTGGTTTCAAGGGTTTATGGGTTAAGAGACAAAGAGGGTCTCTTTTGTATGGTGGTTTAGTAACAGGGATCTCTCAAGAAAGTGGCTTTGCTTTGGCAGAAGGCTAAGTGTTAGAACCAAAGATGATGCAAGAACAGCAGCTCGAGCCGCCTAATCCTAACTCGATCGAGTTCAACACTTAGAGCTTTTTAGAACAAAATCCTAACTACCCTTTTTGGCATTTCGCCTTTGAAACTGAGGAGCTTTGCTCACTTTTCTTTTAAGAACTTCCTAGGGAGAGGCTTCTTGAGGTAACATCTAGCGGTTTGGGATTTTCTAAACACTTAGGGAACTTTTCTTTCTTTTTGACACTTGAGGCTTTGCCTTCTTTTCATTCTACTTAGAACCCTTTTTACTTCCTTTTTTAACTTCCCAAACCTTTACTAGACCCTTTTTAACACTGCCAACTCCCTGGACTTAACTAAACTCTTTTTCCTTTGGGTTTTTCCCAACTTTTACCACTTTTCTGGTTTTTACACCCAACTCGATCGAGCTCGAGTTGGCACCCCCAAACTTAGCCTGAAAACAATCCCAAGAGAACTAGACAACTAGAACTACTGCCCCTGCCGGTTTAAACACAACACCTTATGCTAAGCAAAGCCAAGAAAGGTTCTCACATTCGCACAAGAGATAATATGGGGTTTGAAATGAAAAGGCTTAGGTTTAAGGTGTGGTAACTGTCTCAAAGATAGAGATCAGCTATCTGGACAAGCAAAGGGATATGAAAATAGGTAAAGAATGTCCAGATATGTATGTGGTAGCCATGAGTTGAAATCAAATGCAAGCATTGGTAATTAAAGATCAAGTTATGGTTCAAATAGATAGGGAAATGCATCAAATCACAGCAATGGTTGAATGAGATGTGCATGCAGTGATATGATCAAGATAAACATGGTTCTTGCTGCTCAATCAATCTCACCCTAATGCACAAAAGAATCTAAAAACAGGGCACTCAAGAAATCGCAAATGATGACAAGTTTTCAAAGTCAAATCAACAATGCAAGTGAAAAATGCAATCCTAAACAAGTCTAACAAATATGAATGCAAAAAGATGAAAATATTTTTGGATTTTTTGAAAATTTTATGATTTTTTTGGTTTTTCTATGCAAAAGATGAATGAAAAACTAAGAACAAAGAAAACAAGGTTAAATCATCTCTTGAACCCTCCCCCAAACTTAAATCACACAGTCCCTTGTGTGAGAAAAATTTAGTGAAAGATTCAAGAGGGCAAAACCAAGAAAAACAAGAACAAATGCAAGAAAATATGAAATGGTATATACAAGGGTTGGTGTTTGGATACCTCAGTGCCCCCCAAAGAACTGGGAGCTAGGTCGTGGTCTGGAGATGGAGACGGCCATCAGGAGCACTCCACTCGACTTTGTGTCACTCGATCGAGCTTGCTCTTGCTCGATCGAGTTGTGCCTCGAGTTGGCTCTTCCTTCCTAAAACCTGCTCCTGCAAGACTTAGCCAAGAAAAATCAGATAAAAGGATAAAGCGATATGTATAAGATAGACATGGGAATTCCTCCCAAGTGAGCTTGTTTTAGGTCTCTTAGCTTGACCTTACCCCTTTTAGGCCGGGGTTGGATCTTCTAGAGGAGTGATGATCTCCTCTGTGGGGGTCATTCCTAGATATGGCTTGCATCTATGTCCATTCACTGTGAATTCCTTCCCCTCTTGATTGAGCAGAGTGAGGGATCCATAGGGTAGAACTTCGTGAATCTTGAATGGTCCCGCCCACTTTGACCTCAGCTTCCCGGGAAACAACCTTAGCTTGGAGTTATACAAGAGCACACTGTCCCCAACCTTGAAGTCCTTAAGGCGAATCAGTTTGTCGTGGGCTGCCTTGGTTCTCATCTTGTAAATCCTAGAGTTCTCATAGGCATTCATTCTTATTTCCTCCAGCTCAAACAAGTTCATTACCCTCCTTTCTTGTGCTGCCTTTATATCAAAGTTCAGCATCTTTACTGCCCATAAAGCCTTGTATTCGACCTCCACAGGTAAGTGGCAGTCCTTCCCATATAGCAAATTGAAAGGAGACCTTCCAATGGGGGTTTTGTAAGCTGTTCTATAAGCCCAAAGTGCTCATCAAGCCTTGCTGCCCAGTCCTTTCCTAGTGAAGCTCACAGTCTTCTCCAATATGGCCTTATCTGTCTGTTGGAGACTTCAACTTGCCCACTGGTTTGAGGGTGATAGGCGTGGCGACCTTGTGCTTGACTCCATAACTTCTCATCAACTTTTCAAACACCTTGTTGATGAAATGGGAGCCTCCATCCGAAATAACAACCCTTGGGATGCCGAATCTTGGAAAGATGATGGTTCTGAAAGCTTGACAACCACCTTGGCATCACAGGTTGGGCAGGGAATGGCTTCAATCCATTTGGATACATAGTCTACAGCAACCAAAATGTAGTTGTGCCCGTTTGAAGAAGGTTTGAAAGGTCCCATGAAGTCTATTCCCCATACATCAAAGATCTCAACTTCTAGAATTGGGTTTAGTGGCATCTCATCCCTCTTGGTGATCCCTCCTTTCCTTTGGCATGGATCACACTTGGCAATGTACTGCTGCATCCTTAAACAAAGTAGGCCACCATAAACCAGATTGCAAAACCTTAGTTGCTGTTTTGAATGTAGCAAAGTGACCTCCATAAGCTGACCCATGGCAATGCTCTAGAACTCCTTGTACATCCTCTTCAGCTATGCATCTCCTGTAAATGCTGTCTGGTCCTCTCTTGTACAAGTAAGGCTCATCCCAATAGTAATGCCTAGCATCCTTGAAGAATTTCTTCCTCTTGTAAGCATCAAAACTACTAGGGACTTCTCCGGACACCATGAAGTTCACTATATCAGCATACCATGGCAAATTCTCATCACGCAGAGCCTTAACTTCTTCCAGCCTGACTTTCTCATCAAAACTCTTTCAAGATCATGATTGCCATAAGCTGTTCTTCAGGCATAGAATCATTGATGGGGATCATGTCTTCAACTCGCATCCTAGAGAGATGATCAGCAACTCCATTTTCTACTCCCTTTTTGTCCACAACTTCTATGTCAAACTCTTGAAGCAAAAGGATCCATCTGAGAAGTCTTGGCTTTGTATCTTTCTTAGCGAAGATGTGCCTAAGGGCAGCATGGTCAGTGTGCACAATCACCTTGGATCCAACTATATAGCTTCGAAACTTCTCAAAGGCAAAGACTATGGCAAGGAGCTCCTTCTCTGTGGTTGCATACTTGCACTGAGCATCATCCATAGTCTTGCTTGCATAGTAGATGACATTGAGTTTCTTGTCTATCTTTTGGCCAAGCACTGCTCCTACTGCATAGTCAGATGCATCACACATAATCTCAAATGGGTGATCCCAGTTTGGAGCTTGTACTATTGGCGCAGATACCAGAGCATCCTTCAGCAAGGTCCAAGACTTGTGGCATTCTTCATCAAACTCAAAATCTGTCTCCTTGCACAGAAGCCTTGTCAAGGGTCTTGCTATCTTTGAGAAATCCTTGATGAATCTTCTGTAGAACCCTGCATGACCCAGAAAACTCCTTATGTCCTTCACAGTCTTGGGAACAGGGAGCTGCAACATGACATCCACCTTAGCTCGATCGAGCTCGATCCCTTTCTCGGAAATCTTGTGTCCAAGCACAATCCCTTCTCGAACCATGAAGTGGCACTTCTCCCAGTTGAGTACTAGATTGGTCTCCTCACACCTCTGCAACACCCTGCACAAGTTAGACAAACATGAGGAGAAGGATGCTCCATAGACTGAGAAATCGTCCATGAAGACTTCTACCATCTCCTCTATCAGATCTGAAAAAATGGAGGTCATGCACCTCTGGAAAGTAGCTGGAGCATTGCACAGCCCAAATGGCATCCTTCGATAAGCAAAGGTGCCATAAGGGCATGTGAAAGTGGTCTTCTCCTGATCATTAGGGTGGATCGGGATTTGGAAGAAACCACTGTAGCCATCAAGAAAACAATAAAAGGGTGGTTTGCCAATCTTTCTAACATCTGATCAATGAAAGGGAGAGGGAAATGATCCTTTCTAGATGCTGAATTTAGCTTCCTATAGTCAATACACATGCGATGCCCCACTATTGTTCTAGTGGGAATCAGCTCCTCTTTGTCGTTTTTAATGACAGTGATCCCCCCTTTCTTTGGGACGCAATGAACTGGAGATATCCAAGTGCTATCACTGATGGGATAGATTATCCCAGCATCAAGCAACTTGAGTATCTCTTTCTTCACTACTTCCTTTAGATTGGGGTTCAATCTCTCTGAGGTTCAATGCTTGACTTACTTTCATCCTCTAGATGAATCCTATGGATGCATAGGTCAGGGGAGATCCCCTTGATATCATCTAGAGTGTAACCTATTGCCTTTCTGTACTTTCTCAATTCAACAAGCAAAGCACTCAACTGTTCAGGTTCCAAATCAGAGTTCACAATGACAGGGTAAGTTGAGTTTTCACCCAGAAATGCATACCTGAGGCCCTCAGGCAAAGGTTTGAGGTCGACTTTAGGCGCCTTGAGCTCAGACCAATCTCCTTGAGCTTGCTCCTTGCATTCAGTCCCCAGCTCGATCGAGTTCGTTTGTTCGAAACTCGACTCGATCGAGTTCTTGATCGAGCTCACTGCCATGACTTCGCAAACTGGCCTGTCCAACCCCTCAATGCTCAGAATGTTTGGAACTGGTCTGAAGGTGTCAAGGAGCTTCTTGTACTCATCAGTTTCTGAGCTCACATATCCTTCTGAAGAATCCTTGGTCAAAGCAACTTGTAGGGATCCTCTGTTGATACTCTTCTAAAAGCTCATCTGCCAACTGATCCATTTCCTCAACATAAAAGAGCTGACCTTCTATTGTTGGTTTCCTCATTGTATCCTTGATGTCAAACTTCATCTTAGGTCCTTTCCCAAGTTTAGCTCAATTGTTCCTTCACAGACATCTATCATTGCTCTTGCTGTAGCTAGGAATGGCCTTCCTAGAATCAATGGATCTGTTGGTTCCTCATCCATCTCAAGCACAATGAAGTCGGTGGGGATTTCTACATTCCCTATCCTCAAAGGCAGGTCTTCAAGCATCCCAGTTGGTAACCTTATCGATCTATCTGCCAAGACTAGTGAGATTCCGCAGGCTTGGTACTTGTGATATCCCAGTCTCTTTGCTACAGACAAAGGCATGAGGCTGACAGATGATCCTAGATCGCAGAGGCTGTTTTTGAAAGATAGGGGTCCCAACATGCAGGGCAAAGTGAAACTCCCCGGATCTTCCTTTTTGTCGGAGATGACCTTCCGCTGAATGATTGCACTGCACTCACGAGTCAACACTACCATCCCTTGTGCTTCCCTGGTTCTTTGCTGAACAGCATCCTTCAGAAATTTCTGATAAGGTGGAATGAGCATCAAGGCGTCGATGAAGGGCAACTTCAACTCAAGCTGTCTCATTAGTTCATCAAACTTGGCCTTGTGTGCTTCCAACAGTTGTTTCTTGAACCTTCCTGGAAAGGGTAGAGGGGGTTGTATGGTGGTGGTCCTGCTGGAGTGTCTTTCTTCTTTGCAACAGGTTTAGCTGGTTGGCTGGAGTTTGCTTTGTCTGCTCTTTCTCAGCTCGATCGAGCTCTGGTTTGTCTTGCAGTCTCGGTTTCTCCAGCTCGATCGAGTTCTGGTTCAGGGTTTTGTTCCAGCTCGATCGAGTTCGGGGTCGAGTTATCAGCATACTCGACTAAATCCTCCCCTTCCTCGTCATCGATGTCCACAGCGATTTGGGGTGGGCTACCTCTCTGCTTGGAATTGTCCCACTTCTTAGTGTAACTGCTTGGGCATACTCTTGTGGTGAAGAGGATGATGCACTTGAAGACTCAATGATTTGGACTCTTGAAGTCAATGACTCTAGTTTAGAGTGTATCTCAACCAGCTTGTTGTTCATTTCCAGAGAACCTTTGGCTTGCCCTTGTAAAAGTTGTTGGAGCATTTCCTTCATATCCCAATCTTGAGTTGGTTGGGTATGAGTAGTCCTTGGTTGAAACCTTGTGGAACACTTTGTTGTTGGTGCGGCCAGGGGGCTTGATAATTGTTGTATCTCCCTTGTTGAGGATTCCTATAGCTTCCTTGTCTATTTTGAATGTAGCAAACCTCTTGTGTTGTCTCCTCCCCTTCCTGGTCCTTGACTAGGTTTGTTCTGAGACATAGTTGACATGCTTGGCAGGGAATTGGGCTAGGATCAGTTTGTCCAACTTCGAGTTGAGTGCAAGCATGTCTTTTCTCATCTGAGCGTCCAGCTCGATCGAGTGCGCGGTCGAGCTCCATCTGTACTTTCATAGTGCTCTCCATAGCATTCTGTTGATATGGCCATGTTCTCCACAAGTTGCCAGCCATCATCTACATCCTGGTTGAGGAAGTTCCCATTGCTAGCTGTGTCTAGCATCTCCCTATACCTAGGCAAGCATTGGTGGCGGTTTGGAGCATCTCCTTGACCAATCGGTCGAGTTTGCCTAGCTCGACCGAGTCCATTCCCAAAGGGTTTCCATTCCCCTCTGGTACATCCATTGTATCAGCAACAAGCACCTCAGGTTCCTCTTGTACCCTCTGTGACCTCTGAACCCTCTTTCTACCCGTTGTAAGTCTAGCTCGACCAAGTCTCTGTAGACCGACTCGATCGAGTTCGCATACACCTGCAAAAAGAGACAAAAACCCAGCAGTACAATAGAACAGGGGTGGTATAGCTTGATCGTCCAAGTATGTTTGAAACTCAAATGCAACAAAAATAATCCCAAATCGGCAACGGCGCCAAATTGATGATAGGATTTTGTGATGTGTGAAAGATATGAGGTGGAATGCAAACAGGGGTGAATAAAGATGATGGTAAGATGCAACACAATCAATCAATTCCTCTTAACCATCATAGTCATGTAGTATAAGAGGTTATCAATCCAAAATGGGAAACTTGTCACTCTATGAGAATATGAAACAACCAGAAAGTCAAGCAAGCAGTATGATATGAAGTAACACTAACAACCTAAAAATGAAATGCAATGCAATAAAAGTAAAAAAGCAGTAGAGCAACAGCTCGACCAAGGACTCGAGTCGAGTTGGAACAAGTACCGAGCTCGATCGAGTTTAGGGTCGAGTTGAAGTAAAAAGCTAAAGGCAGCGACTTTAACAAGCTAAGAGAGAATTAGGGTTCAAGACAGGGTTTTGCAATCAAAGGAATCTACACTTAATCATCTGCTCTTAAAACTCCTTGTATCAAGGCTTCTCTTGATATTGGGCTTCTCAATGCCTAGCCAACCCTTTCCCAAGGTGGAGGCTATCAACCAAGGAATGATCTCAGAAACAGGGGGTTAGCCAGTGAGAATCAAACCTTGGAGGCTATAGGATCATTGCCCAAACTAATCCATCCAACCCCTTAGACCTCTATTTCTAGAGCAAGAGATATTGGAGCTCTTAGTGGATCTTTTCCAGCGAATTTGCCATCACTTCCATGTGGAGAATCGCCTAAGGACTTACAAGCCAGGGGTAGTGGTCATGTAGCCTTAAGATCTATCCAAAAGAGAGAGAATCTAGATTAAGACCATAAGCTAGAAGGATTAAGCATATGAAACCTCTAATCTATCCCATCTCAAACCCTAATGGGTAACTACTCACTACACATGAATGTAAACACAAGCAAATGCAATAAAAGAGACATCATAAGAAAGAGGAGATGAAATAAACAACTTTTATTGAAATAAGCAAGTGCAAATACAAAGAGATTATCCAGGATCTAGGATTCAAGAAGCAAGAGCTTCAAGAACACAAAGATGGGATTAGAGCTCTCAAAAGTAAAAGACAATAAATTAAAAGAAACTAAAACAAAATAATCTAAAGCTTGGTGGTTTTTTCGTGGCTTTTAGCCTTTAAATACAAAGAGGATTAGGTTTAGGGTTGATATACCTCTAATTTACCCACTTTTTATACTGTTTTAGCATTGTTTTCTAATGGTTTTTGGCAGGTTTTCTATCTAAAAAGGTAGTTTTACTGTGTTTATAGTGTCTAGAGTCTAAACAGGTGAAATGATGCATTTTGGAGCAAAACCATAGGATTTGCACTTCAAGCCGCTCCATGCACAAGCACCAACTTTAAGAGGGCCCAGAAAAAGATCTACTCAATGGATTTCATCAAGACCAGTTCCCTGCGTGCTCTGATTGAGTTAACTTTCCAACGCAACTGGAACGGCCTAATTTGGATGAGTAGAAAAGGAGTTATAACCAAAAGAGTGAAGACTGTCCAGACGGCTCTATCGAGAATCAGCGCCCAACCGCGCAGTCCGGCTGGCCGAGGAACGAATGTTCGCGCTCGGCCAAAACTGTCCGTCCGTCTGAAGTCTCGGCCAAAGTCCAAACCACTCGGCCGATCACGCATCACGACCCGGGAAACTGCCCGCGGTCGGCCGCCACAACGCCACGCCACGCCGCGCACGACCAAAGCGCGCGAGCCGGGAAAAGCCTCGCGGCCGCGCAACTCCTCGCGTACCACGGCCGACGCTCCGTCCGAGCCGGGAGAACGTCCCGCGTCCGGCCGAGAATTTCATCGGCCAAATCTATCCGCCGACCACGCCGGCCGACCGTGAATCCATCCGGCCCCGACCGTTCCGACTCGGCCACAACCCGATTGTCCGGCCGATCGTCCCGCACGACCGTCCCAACGCCGCGGTCGACCCGAAGCCCTTTTTGAAGCCCAAACTTATATTTTCAAGCCCGGCTTAACCCTAAGCCGCCTCTAGAAAGACCTAGCACTATATATATGGATTTTTAGCCTCTTGTGAAAAGAGAGCCGCCCTTGTATTTCGATTTCCTACTCTAAGTTTTATTGCAATCATGTTTTCTTCATCTCTATGTGTGTTTGCTTTGATCATGTCTGAGTAATCCACTAGTTAGGTTGCTAGGGTTACTATTCAATGAGTTGCTTGCATGATCTTTGATTTCAATGATTAGCTAGGGATTATATTAGAGTCTTTGTCTCGTCTTGTGCACTTAACTAATGCTGATTGCTTTACCGCGCATCTAGTAATCCGATCTTAGGTTGATTTGAGCCTCGACAGTGCTGTATCATTCGCCGGACATATTCTTTGACAAGCTAGGTTTCTTAGACTGCGAAAGTTGATCTATCTATATCTAGTGAACTGTATCAGAACCTATTCATTCTAATGCTTGATCTAATCACCTAGGGACATACCAAAAGTTTAGCGACTAGGTAGATTAGCAAAGGAGCCGGAGCCTCGAAAGTGGAATGGTTTTATATTCGTGATCTGTGTTCTAGATGGTTCTTAATATCCCAATATCCCTAATCAATTAATCTATCATTGTTTCATTGATCATTGCTTGCTTCTCTGCGATAGCCCCTATGACCTAGCGCTTTTCCTTTATTGCTTACAACCTCGTTATACTTGCTAGTTCGGTTCACCATTACAACCTCAATCATACTTTTGTTTTAGCTTGATCCAAAATCCATAGTTACAAAGTGTACTCAATAGCCAGTCCTTGTGTTCGATACCCATACTTCCGCGATCTGTGCACTTGCAGAGGTCTAGGAGTTTGGTAAAACCTGACTCCGCATCAAGTTTTTGGCGCCGTTGCCGGGGACTGCAGCAGTACCTTTGGAACTCGACTAGGATCTAGTCTAGAACCTTTTCCTGTTTTGCTTTTCTTTTGCTTTTGAATTTTTAGTTTTTGATTTCCTTTTCTTTGATTTTTGCTTTTGTTTTTGTTTTTCCCTTTTGATTTAACTTGTTTCCAAGACTCTTTTCAGGTGCATGACTAGGAGGTCCAACAAGGACAACCTAGTTGAACATCCAGAGATAGACAAGCTTGAGAAGCAACTTAGGAAGCAAAAGCCCAAGAGATGGCCGACGAAGCAGCTCGCGCTCACGCCGCTGAAGTGGCGCGCGCTCAAGAAGAAGGAAGAGATCCACCTCCTCCTCCTCCTAACCCTGCTGGAGATGTGAACGCACAACCCCAAGCTGGAGCACCTACAATCGGAGACTATGACTCTGCCGATGCTTTCTTCATGGATAGAAACCCTATCCATCCACCACTTCCTGCAAGGAATGACTATGAGATCAAGCCTCAGATCATTGCATTGGTTAGACAGAACCAATTCAATGGACTTCCAGCTGAGCACCCTCTTGATCACATAGAAAACTTTGAAGAAATTTGCAGCACTACAAGATCCAATGGAGTCTCTGCTGACTACCTTAAGTGCAAGCTCTTTTCATTCTCTCTTGGCGACAAAGCTTCAAGATGGTTGAAGTCTCTGCCAGCTCACTCCATCACCACTTGGGATGAGTACAAGGCTGCATTCATCAACCACTTCTACACCAAACAGAGATCAATTTCTGTAAGGAACAAGATCTCCACTTTCGCCAAGCCAACAATGAATCTTTCTATGAGGCGCTAGATCGATTCAAGGAGTACATTAGGGACTGCCCTAATCATGGTTTCAATGAGGGAAACCTATGGAACATCTTCTATCGTGGCATAGACCACAAGTACAAGCTTTCATTGGACACTGCAAGCAATGGAAACTTCATGACCAAGACTGTTGATGAAGCTAAGGTTCTTATTGAGAATCTTGCAGCTAGTGATTGTAACAACTGTCCTGATTATGACCGCTCAAGCCGCACCACTACTAGCTCCCCTGATTCTTTTCAAATGACTGAACTCAAGAACATGATGGCTCAAGTTCTTAAGGGACAGCTCAAGCATATCAATGCAATAGAAGGGATGAGTGATGCTAATGAAGATTCATCAAGAGAATGCATGGGAGATTTCTCTAATGAAGCCAATGAAGAAGATGTGAACTACATTGGAAACTATGGGAACAAGGGATACAATCCAAGCTATCGCCCAAACCCCAACATGTCTTATAGAAACCCCAATGTGGAGAATCCTCAAGACCAAGTGTATCCTCCAAGGTATCCACAACAACAAAGACCTCCTTACCAATCTCAAGGAAGTCAATTTCAGCCAAGGCAAGGATATGAGCAGAGATCATCATATCCGCCCAAGGAGCCATATGCTTCTTCACCAAATCAAGCTCCTCCAAACCAACAAGGTGGGAGATTTGAAGGAATCCTCCAACAGATCATGGATGGCCAGAAGAGAAACACTAAAGAGATGTATGAGAAGATGGACACTTTGTTCAGCAATCTCAACACCAAGTATGATGCTGTTGCCACTCATGTGAAGAAACTAGAGACTCAAGTCACTCAAACTATGGAAGCTGTTAAGAGACAGGAAGCTGAATCCAAGAAGTCCTTTTGCAACTCAGCCGCCATAGAAGAAAGATTTGAAGACCAAGTTCCAGAATGGATGCTTTCAAAACCTACTGTTGATTGCATGATTTGGCCTGAAGAGAATTACCCAGAGAGAGAGTCCAATCGAGCTAGAAAGAGAAGACTCTTCCCAAAGATTATCCCCAAGACAGATAACTCAGGAAAGTTTGCTGTGCCTTGTATCATCAAAGGTAACATTCTTGAGCAATCTTTGTGTGACACAGGAGCCAATGTGAACATCATGTCTAAGAGGATAGCTGACAAGATAGGCCTCACCAAGATAGAGCCATCATCCATCTCCATCAACTATGCTGATTCATTCTCACAAACCCCTATGGCTTTGTGCCTAATGTGATGGTGCAGATTGGAAATTGCTCTATCCCTACTGATTTCCAGATTGTGGAAATGAGAGAGAGTAGCCATAGACCTCTCATATTTGGAACCCCTTTCCTGTCTACTGTGGGTGCCATATTTGATTTCCCCAATCAAAGAATCTCTTTCAACAAGGTGAACAAGGGTATGTTCTTCCCTATGTGTTCAACAAAGAACTCTTTTGTTGACATGGTCCAAGAGGAGAAAGTTACTTTGAAGCCACCCCAAGAAGGAGAAACTGAAGAAACAATCAAGGAAGATCCCATTCCTAAGCCCAAGCAGCTTGCCAAACAAGCAAGGAGTAAGACTAAGGCCCCTACACCAAAACCGCCCAAGGGATCAACCAAGATTGAAGATGAGGCCAAGCCAAGAAGAAGGTTAGAAAGCCTAGGTCTGGCCGCAACATGAAGCTTCTATTCCCAAAGGAGCTTATTGATGAGAATCTAGAAGGATTCAAGGAGAAAGTGACAAGAACTCTAAAGCTTTTTCCTAAGGCAGTAGTGCCAAGGGACATTCATGGAGAGATTGTCTATCCAGCTGTGAATCACCCACCAGATACTCATTGCAAGGAGAAAAGACTTGGAGGATCAAGATGCCTCTTGTCTCCATCTTCTCCTGAGCGCCAAGCCTTACAGTCAAGCTAAAGACTTAAAACAAGCGCTGCATGGGAGGCAACCCATGAGGTACTTTTACTTTTCTTTCTTTAATTTTCTTAGTTTTTGTTTTGCTTTTGTGTTTTCTTTGTTTTAAGATAGGATAGAAGGAGAAAAAGGTGTGAAAACACAATCCGCGCCAAAACATTGGCCGCGGACGCGCAAAAGAATTTTGGCCGAGCAATTCTCATGGCCGACCGTACGGTCGAGCCGGGAAGGAATAGCCGTGCTCGGCCGGATTATCTATTGCGCGACAGAAACCGTTCGCGCGACGCACGAACCGGGAAGAAATAGGCCGCGATCGGCCGATTTTGTATCGGAACGGACCGACCGTGCCGGTCGATCCGGGAAACAAACTCGGCCTCGGCCGAAATCTCTCGCCAAACGAATTTGGCCGACCAAATCGCTCGACCGCGAATCGGCCATCGGCCCAAAACTTTTCTCGGCCAAGGTAAGTCCCCTTTTCATTAATTCAAACCGGTTTTAACCAATCTAAACCAACTTAAACCGGTTTTCAATCAAAATTCGAATTTGAAAAGGAAAATTGATAGGATTAGATCTTATTTACTTTACCTTTCCCTTGAAAACAACAAGAACCTCTCTTTCTTCTCCAAAACCCTAAACTCCATTAGAGGAACTCTAAGAGTTTTGATTTCAAAACTTTTACTGTTCATAACTCTAAATTGGAATTTACTTGCTCTTGCAACCTTATTCACTTTTCAACACACAAGGTATGTCTTCTAACTCTAATCCTATGTTTATGCAAGATCGAAATTCTCAATAAGTTTCATGTTTGGTCTAAACTCTTGTCTAAACTTGAAATTAGCATCCTTATAGTCTTGTAATGAACTTGCTAGGTGGAACCTAGGTGGTTTAGAGTTAATTTGAAGTTTAATTTCACAATTGAATAGTTTTTCACAAAACTTATTGGGCATTCCAAACCCCTTATTCAAAGGTGAAATTGCTTAGGCATACTTCAATTCATTAGTTTATCTAGTGATTACTTGGATTAGAAACTCAATTTCTCTTGATTTGCTGAAAATTTTGATTTTAAGCACCATAATCTTGGGATGAACAGTAAAATCCGAAAATTAACTTTGAAAAAGTGAAATTTCTATTTTGTCTCTTTGATTCATGATTAAGCCTTGAGTTGTTCCTTTATTCCATATCATTATTACAACTCAATTAGCTTATTCTTCTTTTGCATTAATCACAAACTCATATTTCTTCCCAAGAATTTGCTCTTGTAGGTACACAATGGCAAAGACAAAAGGAAATGAGAGTATGAAGAAGAAGAAGAACCCATTCATGGAACCACCAAAGAACAAATCAAGCTAGGGAGTAGTAGCTCCAATGCAAGAGCAGCAATACCAACTTCACCACATTCCATTGATGCAATCAAGAACATGTGGAGAGTCCAAGAAGAGGAGAAGATGATTGGGCACTTGTAACCTTTGTTGGAGAACAAAATCAAGACCCAAGAAAGTGTAAGAAGGCAATGGAGAAGGTGAACATCGAGCCATGTGTGAAGATGGACACCCAAACCCTTGATCTTCTCAAGATAAGAGATGATGTCACATGGTACATAAGGAAGCTAGGCTTGAGCAAGCTCTTCAAGCTAGAATGTAGTGAGTACTCACAACTCACCAAGGAGTTCCTCTCCACAGTAGCTCTTGCCTTTCCCAACCACAATGGAGACCAACCAGCTGGTGATGGACTCCTACTCTTCAAGATAGGCGATGCCAATGGGCGCATCTCATCTCAGCTCTATGCCAACTCTTTGGACTTCCCAATGAGACAGCACATGACTTCAAGGAGAACTCAAAGAGGAAACAAGCTGCCTTTGCTGATTGGACACACTTTGCCAATGAACCATTCTTGCCTTCAAGGTCAAAGGTGTCTAGAATCACTCATCCAGCCATTCGCTATGTGCACCGCCTCATCTCCACCACTTTCCAATGCAAACAAGAAGCCAACAAGGTCACAACTGATGAGTTCTACATCCTCACCACACCATTCATCAAGCATGAGTACAAGGCCAACCTTGGACTTTTACTTGCCAAGACATTCATCAATGTGAGGAAGCTAGCTAAAGACTTGGAAGGCAACAAGAAGCTTTGTGTTCGTTTTGGGAGGCTTATCACGGCCATAGTACAACATGTGGGGATTGACATTCCCAACTATGAGCCACTACCCAAGCCAACCCCTTTGGATCTCCATGCTCTTCAGCACATCCACTTCCTAAACCGTTGGACTAAAGACCCAACTCGGTTTTGCTATGAGTTTCCAATTGGTCCAGCCAACACTTCCCTTGTCTTGCTGCCACATGAAGACATCCCAAGCCTACGCTCAGGAGTTGTCACTTTCCAGCCCAATGAGGAAGACTTCTATGTTCCATCAAGTGAGAAACCATCATTCCCCATGCTCACCTATCGCACACTTCAGCATGCAGTCAAGACTCAACGCCGCCATCCAAGAACGCCATGTTCTCACTACTGGCATGGCTGCGCACCAAGCTCTAGACCGTGTTAACAAGCTGGAGAAGATAGTGGAATGCCAATCTCGCTTCATCTCACGCCTAGTCCGTGTAGTTCGCCACATTGCACCGGAGAGACTCTTTCGCCCTTCTTCCACCGCTAGAGAGCCATATGAGCCTGACCTTGGTGAGTTCTCACTAGACTCAGAGCTTGGTTCAGAAGGCGATGACCCCATAGATGAGGAAGAGAGTTCTTCTCACTGCCACACATAGTCATCTCAAGTGGTACTTAGTGCAATGGACACTTACAAATCTCCATTTTCTATCCCTATCTCATTTTAATGAATTTTCTTTATTTTTCTTTTACTTTGAATATTACCTCTCACCTTAATGTGATTTGCTTTCACCGGGACGGTGCAAGTTAAGTCTGGGGGGAGTTTTATTGTGTTACTAATGCATTTTTCTTTCTTTTCTTATGTTTTATTCACTTTGTTTCATGTTTTTCAAAAAGTTTTATTGAGTCAAAAACCAGTCCGGAAGTTATGAACTTGCTTTGAGAATTGAGAGTGTTGTGCTAACAATCCATGACCCTAGAGCAGAAACCAGCTAAAGGCACAAGCCTAACAGAAGCTCTTACAGTGGATCGACATGCTAGCTCAGCAAAATTTCTAAGGTAACCAAGCAATCTAGAGTTAACCTCACCTTAATCAATCTTAATACTCTTGTCAAGGGGGTTGGCATACATGTCGACAGTTCCTTGCTTGATTTTCAATAAGATTTGTCTAATCTTTAAAGAGTTCTCCTCTCTCTCCCATCCCAAATGGTAAGTAATGTTATGAGAAAAAGCTCAAAGAGCACAAGGAAAACAAGTAAGCATGAGGAATGCATATGTCTGTACCTTCATGTCTTATGGAATACCTTAGTCAAACAAGGAACAAGCTAAAGACTTATCCTGTGGTTGAAAGAAGGGTCAATAGAAAAAATAAAATGATACCCTAGAAAAGTAGGGAGAAATTGACCTTTCAAAGTTCTGATGTGAGAAAGAGAGAGGAAAAGAACTCATTGCACTTAAAGAGGCAATCTTGGAGAGGATCAAGTGGGTAAGAACAAGTTCAATTGATCGATGTCCCCTTGATAAAGAATTCACGCTTTAAATTTATGCAAGAGGTTAGCAATAGAGAGTTTGGATTGCTGGATGAGACTAGTTGGGTTGGTATTGTTCGCTAAACTTGCAGGGTGTATGTGAAGCTAACCTTATGTTGTCTATGTTCATAGTGGAATACAGGAAAGGAACCTTTCACAGGATATTCAAAAGAGCAAGGGAGCTTCCACGTTTTCAAACCTCTTTCACGGATTTAGATTCTTTTTGCTTGAGGACAAGCAAAGATCTAAGTCTGGGGGAGTTGATATACCTCTAATTTACCCACTTTTTATACTGTTTTAGCATTGTTTTCTAATGGTTTTTGGCAGGTTTTCTATCTAAAAAGGTAGTTTTACTGTGTTTATAGTGTCTAGAGTCTAAACAGGTGAAATGATGCATTTTGGAGCAAAACCATAGGATTTGCACTTCAAGCCGCTCCATGCACAAGCACCAACTTTAAGAGGGCCCAGAAAAAGATCTACTCAATGGATTTCATCAAGACCAGTTCCCTGCGTGCTCTGATTGAGTTAACTTTCCAACGCAACTGGAACGGCCTAATTTGGATGAGTAGAAAAGGAGTTACAACCAAAAGAGTGAAGACTGTCCAGACGGCTCTATCGAGAATCAGCGCCCAACCGCGCAGTCCGGCTGGCCGAGGAACGAATGTTCCGCGCTCGGCCAAAACATCCGTCCGTCTGAAGTCTCGGCCAAAGTCCAAACCACTCGGCCGATCACGCATCACGACCCGGGAAACTGCCCGCGGTCGGCCACGCCACAACGCCACGCCCACCGCGCACGACCAAAGCGCGCGAGCCGGGAAAAAGCCTCGCGGCCGCGCAACCCTCGCGTACCACGCCGACGCTCCGTCCGAGCCGGGAGAACGTCCCGCGTCCGGCCGAGAATTTCATCGGCCAAATCATCCGCCGACCACGCCGGCCGACCGTGAATCCGTCCGGCCCCGACCGTTCCGACTCGGCCACGACCCGATTGTCCGGCCGATCGTCCCGACGACCGTCCCAACGCCGCGGTCGACCCGAAGCCCGTTTTGAAGCCCAAATTTCATATTTTCAAGCCCGGCTTAACCCTAAGCCGCCTCTAGAAAGACCTAGCACTATATATATGGATTTTTAGCCTCTTGTGAAAAGAGAGCCGCCCTTGTATTTCGATTTCCTACTCTAAGTTTTATTGCAATCATGTTTTCTTCATCTCTATGTGTGTTTGCTTTGATCATGTCTGAGTAATCCACTAGTTAGGTTGCTAGGGTTACTATTCAATGAGTTGCTTGCATGATCTTTGATTTCAATGATTAGCTAGGGATTATATTAGAGTCTTTGTCTCGTCTTGTGCACTTAACTAATGCTGATTGCTTTACCGCGCATCTAGTAATCCGATCTTAGGTTGATTTGAGCCTCGACAGTGCTGTATCATTCGCCGGACATATTCTTTGACAAGCTAGGTTTCTTAGACTGCGAAAGTTGATCTATCTATATCTAGTGAACTGTATCAGAACCTATTCATTCTAATGCTTGATCTAATCACCTAGGGACATACCAAAAGTTTAGCGACTAGGTAGATTAGCAAAGGAGCCGGAGCCTCGAAAGTGGAATGGTTTTATATTCGTGATCTGTGTTCTAGATGGTTCTTAATATCCCAATATCCCTAATCAATTAATCTATCATTGTTTCATTGATCATTGCTTGCTTCTCTGCGATAGCCCCTATGACCTAGCGCTTTTCCTTTATTGCTTACAACCTCGTTATACTTGCTAGTTCGGTTCACCATTACAACCTCAATCATACTTTTGTTTTAGCTTGATCCAAAATCCATAGTTCAAAGTGTACTCAATAGCCAGTCCTTGTGTTCGATACCCATACTTCCGCGATCTGTGCACTTGCAGAGGTCTAGGAGTTTGGTAAAACCTGACTCCACATCAAGGGTCAAAGGAAAGTCAAGGGGGAAGCAACATTTTTCGGGTTTGACTATTGACTTCTCAGCTCGATCGAGTTGAAGCTTGTCGGTCGAGTTAAGGAACTCAACCGGTTGGTCGAGTAGACGGTCGAGCTGGTCTTCAAGATGGCTTCCTCCTTCTTCCTTTGCGTGTCCAGTTGAGCTGCGTCCATGCACCAAGTCCCTCCATGCTCCTCACCTCCTATATGCTCCATAATGCTCCAAAAGACCTATTTCGAAGGCCAAACATGCATATGTATGCAAATGCAACCTAAAACTACTATGAATGCATAAGAAGAGAAAAGGAACAAGATATGATGCTAATGGATGCTAAAACTATGCAAAAGATGCATAAAAGATGTACTAAAACCATGTAAAATGCAAGTACATCAGTCTGATGCGGGATCAGGTTTTTCTCTTTCTTATCCCTGATTCTGCAAGTGCACAGATCAGAAGTAGTAAACGGGTATCGAACACAAGGAGCAGATAAGTATACTTCGAATTATGCAAGTCTAATGTAGCTAGAAAACAAGTATGATTTGGGGTTTTCGATTGTGTAACAAAATTAATCAAACAGCAGAATAAACGGTTTATGAAAATTAATAAAGGGAAACGCATAAATTCAAGGTTAACAAGATAATAGAAGGATTTGCTAGGGTTTGCGCTATCTAGAACTCAGGTCACGATTGTATGATCTTTCCACTGTCGAGGCTCCGACCCCTTTGTTAATCTACCTAGTCGCTAAACTTTTGGTATGTCCCTAGGTGATTAAATCAAGCAATAGTTCGTTCAAGACCCAATTGTTCACAACCCCGCATAGATCAACTTTCGCAGTCTATGAAGATTTGCTCACCAAATACTTAGTTCAGGTTATATATCAAGCTTTTGGAGAGTATATGAAACCTAAGATCTGATGCTAGTTGATTAGAAAAGCAAGCAGCAATGAATTCAAGCAGAGGCGAAGATCAGATGTGCGGGATCAGGTCTTCCCCTTTCCTATCCCTGATTCTGCAAGTGCACAGGTCAGAAGTAGTAAACGGGTATCGAACACAAGGACCAGATTGCACACTACAAGTTATGAGTTTGAGAACAAGCTAGGGCAAAAGTATAAGTTGGTTGAGTGCAGAGAAAGTAAAGCATGCAAGTAATAAAGAGTGAGAATTCAATAGGAGAGAAAGGCTAAGCAATAGGATAGTCTTGAGATAAGCAATTCAAGAAGCATGAAATCAATCAATTAGGGTTACCGCACTTAGGTGCTAATCTAGAACTTGAAACACTATGGTATGATCATTCCACTGTCGAGGCTCCGACCCCTTTGTTAATCTACCTAGTCGCTAAACTTTTGGTATGTCCCTAGGTGATTAAATCAAGCATTAGTTCGATCAAGATCAATTGTTCACAACCTACAAGTAGATCAACTGTCGCAGTCTAAAAGAGATTGCCCACCAAATACTAGTTCAGGCGAATGATACAGCACTGTCGAGGCTCAAATCAACCTAAAGGCATATGCTAATTGGCCAGATTAACAACAAGCATTAAGTATAAGCAAAGATGGAGATTATAAGTAAAACCCTAATTGTGATCAATCATCAAGCATACATGAATGCTATCCTTTGACTTCCTATCACTTAACAAGTAAACTACTCAGACATAGAGAAGGAACACGAATTCATATTCATAAGAACAGAGATTCGAATCCTCTCTAGAAAGAGTAACAAGCAAGAACAAAGTAAAAGCAAGCAAAACTTTATTAAGATGTAAAATAGATTGTGGTCTCTCTCCTTCTTGAGTTACAAGGCTAAAAAGAAGTATTTATAATGCTCTAAGTATGAAAGCGGCTAAACCTAATCTAGCTAGGTCGGCGCCGGCTTTGGGCTTGAATTGTGCGGATTGGGCTTCAAAAACGGCTTCGGGTCGACCGCGGCGTTCGGACGGTCGGTCGGGACGGTCGGCCGGACAGTCGGGTCTTTGGCCGAGTCGGAACGGTCGTGGCCGGATGATTTCACGGTCGGCCGGCTGGTCGGCGGATGAATTTGGCCGATGGTTTCTCGGCCGGACGTGGGACGTTCTTCCCGGCTCGGACGGATGCATCGGCCGTGGTACGCGAAGTGAGTTGCGCGGCCGCGAGGCTTGTTCCCGGCTCGCGCGCATGGTCGTGCGCGGCGTGGCGTGGCGTTGGCTTGGCCGACCGCGGGACAATGTTTCCCGGGTCGTGTGTGTGATCGGCCGAGTGGTTTGGACTTTGGCCGAGACTTCAGTCGGACGGAATACGGTTTTGGCCGAGCGCGGAACATTCGTTCCTCGGCCAGCCGGTCTGCGCGTTCGGCGCTGATTCTCGATATGGCCGTCTGGAGCAGCCTTCACTCTTTTGGCTATAACTCCTTTTCTACTCATCCAAATGAGGCCGTTCCACTTGCGTTGGAAAGTTAACTCAATCAGAGCACGCAGGGAACTGGTCTTGATGAAATCCATTGAGTAGATCTTTTTCTAGCTCCATCCAAAGTTGATGCAGGGGCATTGAACTGGTTTAGAGTCCAAATCTCCTGTTTTGCTCCATAATGCACCTTTTTACCTAAAATGACTCTTTGCACTATAAATCCATAAAAACTACCTTTTAACACAAGAATCCACTAGAAAACCATTAGAAAACCATAGTAAAATAGCATAAAAAGTAGGTAAAATAGAGGTATATAAGAAGGGTTCGCTAGGGTTTGCGCTATCTAGAACTCAGGTCACGATTGTATGATCTTTCCACTGTCGAGGCTCCGACCCCTTTGTTAATCTACCTAGTCGCTAAACTTTTGGTATGTCCCTAGGTGATTAAATCAAGCAATAGTTCGTTCAAGACCCAATTGTTCACAACCCCGCATAGATCAACTTTCGCAGTCTATGAAGTTTTGCTCACCAAATACTTAGTTCAGGTTATATAGCAAGCTTTTGGAGAGTATATGAAACCTAAGATCTGATGCTAGTTGATCAGAAAAGCAAGCAGCAATGAATTCAAGCAGAGGCGAAGATGCGATATAATAAACCCTATGTGATTCTAACAACCTATCAAACCATGAACTCTTTGATAGATCTCACAACCTAACTAGTGAATTACTCAGACATAATCAAAGCAAAAACACAAAGAGATGAAGAAAACATGATTGCAATGAAATCGTAATACAAGGCGGCTCTCTTTTCACAAGAGGCTAAAAAGCTATATATATAGTGCTAGGTCTTTTGAGGCGGCTTAGGGTTAAGCCGGGCCTTGAAAATATGAAATCGGGCTTCAAAACGGGCTTCGGGTCGACCGCGGCGTTGGGACGGTCGGCCGGAATCGGGTCGTGGCCGGTCGGATCGATCGGTCGTCGTGGCCGGACGGATGCGTGGTCGGCCGCTGTGGTCGGACGGATGAAGACTTGGCCGATGGAATCTCTCGGCCGGACGGAGGCGTAGTTCCCCGGCTCGGACGGAGCGTTCGTACGTGGTACGTGAGACAAGTTGCGCGGCCGCGAGGCGTTGCTTCCCGGCTCGCGCGCGTCGATCATGCGCGGCTGTGGCGTGAGTTGTGGCGTGGCCGACCGCGGGCTTATGTTTCCCGGGTCGTGATTTGCGCGGCCGAACTGTTTTGGACTTTGGCCGAGACTTCAGACGGACGGACAGATTCTGGCCGAGCGTGAAACAATAGTTTCTCGGCCAGCCGGTCTGCGCGGTTGGGCGCTGATTCTCGATAAGCCGTCTGGACAGTCTCCACTCTTTTGGTTATAACTCCGTTTCTACTCATCCAAATTAGGCCGTTCCAGTTGCGTTGGAAAGTTAACTCAATCAGAGCACGCAGGGAACTGGTCTTGATGAAATCCATTGAGTAGATCTTTTTCTGGGCCCTCTTAAAGTTGGTGCTTGTGCATGGAGCGGCTTGAAGTGCAAATCCTATGGTTTTGCTCCAAAATGCATCATTTCACCTGTTTAGACTCTAGACACTATAAACACAGTAAAACTACCTTTTTAGATAGAAAACCTGCCAAAAACCATTAGAAAACAATGCTAAAACAGTATAAAAAGTAGGTAAAATAGAGGTATATCATGCTCTTGGTACATAGGGAGTTCTTCCTCCTCCTCTTGTGGCTCAGTCTCCTCCATGGGCTCATCTTGGTTACTCTCTTGCTCACTCTCATCAACCAATTGATTCACCTCCTCTCCTTCTTCTTCACTCTCAGACTCATCACTTCCTTCTTCACTTGGAGAGCCATCACCCTCCTCTTGAACAAGGTTCACCCCAATCTCAAACTCTCCTTGCTCACTCTCACTACTAATGGGGTCATTCCTCTTCTTGGTTCTCCTTTCCTCCCTCAATCTCTCGCTCTCAGACTCCTCCTCAGAGTAGACATACTCCTCTGCATCAGACTCTTCCATCCTTTGAGTCATTGCTTCCAACTTGGCTTGCATTTTTAGCCTTCTCTCCCTTGCATTGCTTGATTCACCCTCAACCATTCTCCTTTGTGAAGCACGACTTCCCTCACTGTTTGTCATCTTTGTTACTGTTTCTCCACTAAGGTTCATGAAATGCATCAAAGATTACTAAGAATTAGAGTTGTAATGATCGGTTTGGTCAACTCGACACTCAGCTCGATCGAGTCAAAAAACTCGAGTGACAAACTCGATCGAGCTAGGTGAAAACAGAGTTTAACCGAACCTAATTCAAGTAATAAGAGTTGGAAAGAATGCTTGTCAATCAAATCGAACCAAAAACAACAAGTAAATGGAAAAATGAGCAATTCTAGTGAGTACCAAAGCATCTTAACCAATACCAAACTCAAATTCAATGTTTTAGGCACATGCAACAAGTTCTAATGGTAAAACAGAGGTGAGGTGAGACAAATTCACAAAACTATACAACAGGAAAATTATATGAAGGCAATTACTCAAGAACAAGCCCACAAGGGGCACATGCAATCAAAAATCAAAGAGGAAACAAGTAATAGAGAGGAATCGAGATGAAGGATTGAAGGGTTTTAGGGTTCATACCTTGCTTGAATGATGAATTGAAGTACAGTAACTAGAACCCAAACAAATCAAGATGATGAACAATGAACAATCGAAAAACTTAAGAGAGGATGAGAGAATTTCGGATTTTTCTTAGGGTGAAGAGAGAGATGGATGATTTTCAGAATTTTTAGATTGTGGGAGAGGGAGAAGGGGGTTCGATTGAGTTATGGGGAAGAGGGAGTGTAACACCCCCGAACCGTCCTAGGCACAGACGTTCCGAGAAGCGCCACAAAATGTCGATGTTCGCCGAATAGGCCATCCCAGACTAAGAACAAATCAGAGCCCAGGTCAGCCCGTCCCACGAACTCGACCCTCTTGACCAAAGCCTAAGGCTTGCCAACCCGTACTTCGGTCAGGAGTTGTGTTAGCCCGGACCAAGCTAATATCATTGGAACATAAGGTCTTTACATAAAACTTTCCTTTATTAAAATATCAGAGTGCTTACAAAATCCGACTTAAAAACATGCGGATCGATCCTTAGTTCCAAACCAAACAACAAACCATAATTTTACAAAAACATACCACAAAACTATTCTGGCGCCTACTGCCTGCAGCGGTCCGCTCTACTTCACACCTCTACGGTCACCTGAAAACATTAAACAAAAGGAATGAGTAATCTAATATTACTCAGTGAGTCTAGGACCTCTATACAAGGGGGATTCCCTAAACTCCAAACACAAACGCCGCGGGCTTGTAATCCCGCCTCCACCTGCATTGAGGTTAGCACAACACAACATATGCAATCACATGCATTATTGATGCTATAGTCTTAAGACTAACCGTACCCCAATCAAACAAGAACAGGTACGATCAACCCAAGACTATAACAACAATCAAACAATCTATATGCAATGCCCATGCAAACCTAGACAAGTATCTAATACTTGTTTTCTATATGCAATAAGGCGCCTAGGTGCATTAGCCACATTCTCTGCCCACGCCTGTGAAGGTTCACGCTCATCCGGAATCACACAGAAACTAGATGAACGCCTTCACCCGGGCACTACAGTCCATCGCGGTACCCGGTTCATCCTTCCATCTATTGGCCTTACTGGCGCACCATGCCAATGTCTGGTTGGATCCCATATCGTCATATGGTACCATACTCGGCCAAGGCAGCTGACCAGGTTATCCTCCGAGTCTTCCTCCCTTCATGCACAGCCTCCACGCTGCCAATCCGGTTGGGCTCTGACGTGCGAGAATGCGCTTGACTACACCTTCCTAGACAACATGTGGTTAGACACGCCACATGTTCTCAGTACTTAGCATATGGGCCTTTACGCACCACTATGCCTCATACCACCGGTTCTGCGGCAGAGCTTCCCTTGCCTCGGAAGAGTACCCACACGAACCTCGAAAGATCTGGCGGCTCAGCCGTCCGTGATCTTTCCACATCGGAGTCATACTCAACATATGGGCCTTACGCACCACCATGTTAGTATGCACTCGAGGTTTAGCGGCATAGCCATGCTATAACCCCACAACCGATGCATCTATGAGATTTGGCGGCATAGCCATCCACAATCTCACATCACCTAATGTATAGATATGCATCTACACTAACAAGATCTGATGGCATAACCTTCCCCGAAGGTTACCCATCACAATCTTACACAGAAAAGAGATCTGTTGGCATATCCTTCCCCGAAGGTTACCCAACACAACCTCACACACAAAAGAGATCTGGCGGCCTAACCTTCCCCGAAGGTTACCCGACACAACCTCACAACACAAGAGATCTGATGGCATAACTTCTCTCCCTAGAAGATTACCCATCACAACCTCACAACAATGCAAACCTGCATATAAACACACAAGAGATTTGACGGCATAACTTCTCTCCTAGAAGATTACCCATCACAACCTCATAACACATTATATAAATTTCTGCAGCATAACTCTCCACAATTTTTACTAAACCTTATTGTTTAGAGAGTTATACTACAGAACCAATAACCAATATGAACAGAAAGCATCTCCTATGCTTTGGTGTTCATACAACCTGCATACACAATAGATCCAAAAACTAAAACTATAACACCAAGACTCACCACTTTAAGAAGACTTCAAGATCCTCCTAGCTTTCCTTAAGCTTTGATCTTGACCTACTCTAATCTTCCACTAACCTCACTTAATTAAGAAAACTTTCTTAATTACTCTCTAATCACTTTTCAGGTGCTCTCTAGCTTTGGGAATGGAATGGTTTGGACTTGGGGCTGGAGGAGCGTATTTATAGGAGTTCAGGAGGCTGCCTGGCTTCTTGGGACGTCTCCAGTCATGCGCAGACACATGGAGACCTAGGCCTAGCATAGCTTTGCTTGGTGGCGACCTACACTGCCTCAGAACGCGACATCCAGGCGGTCTAGGCTAGGTAGCTTTGATTGGTGGCCTCTAGGGCGTCTCAGGACATGACACACGTCATTCCTATCCCCTCTCAATGCTCATCCAATAGGCCGACTTCCCCTAAGCATGTGGTGTAGTCGTGCCATTGGATATAACCCATCTTATCCATTAAGATGCTGGGTGCTTCTGTCTGATTGGTCAGCTCTTGATCCAATCCGTTTCTGCATCTCTCCACTTGCTTCTCATCCACTCCTGAAGCTTATACTCTCTCTCAGTAGTTGGTGTTGCATCCTGATTCGTCCAAGTCTATTTCGTCTCCATTTATCACCTCAATGTCTTCGTCTGATTGGTTAGGACGATTCTTGTCTCTCATGAGCAGCTGGGTGTCTCTCCCTGATAGCATTAGATCTTCTTGGAGCTTATCCACGCCTCTCTCCTCTTTAGCAGCTGGTGTCGTTGCCCAATTGGCTTAGGCTTGCTTCGTCTTCATTCGGTAGCTGGATGTTGCTACATGATTGGCTGAATGGTTTTGGCTCCATCTGAGTAGCTGCATGTCTTCTCCATATTGGTTATGATCATCCTTATCTTCTCCAAGTAGCTGGTGTCACCACTTGGTTGGCTTAGAACAAGATTGCTCCAAATGTACGTTTCCTCGTCCAGAGGGTTTCGTACGTTTCCCTGTCTGGAGGGTTTCGTCCCCGTCGTGCTTGAGAATTAAAATCTCCTATTGTGATCCTTCTCTCATTTCCATGTTTCTGAGCTTCCACATAGTTGCTTGGAAATGTGCGGAATATCTCCATCCTGAACATTTTCGTTTCTTGCAGTCGTTGCGGATAGATCTTGGGCGTCCGTCCCATCTCTCAATCTGCTCGTCCGATTTGCATTCTGCTTCGACCAAACTTCTTAGAATGGTCTCTTATGTCGTCCAAACTCTTCTCTTCTTGATTTGGAGAACTTTGATATTTCGTCGTCCTGCTCTTCCCATGTTCGTACAATGATCGTCCCACCTGGACAATCTTGTTGTATCTTCAGTTCTGCTCGATCGTTCTTGATCCTGTCTTGATCCAAGTCTTCGTTGTGATCTCTGGTTTAGATCCCACGTCTTTGTCTTCCAATCCCAGAGTGTTGATCTTCCCATCCCGGCCTTTGGGATGTTTTAGGTCTTGATACGGGGTATCACAGGGAGTGTTTGAGATGTGTGGTTGAGATTAAAAGATGAATTGAAGAGGGGACAAAAGCTAGGGATTTTTCTGATCGAATTTAGGGTAGTGGGGGACCAAAATCAGCTTGTGGGACCCACTCCCTTGACCAAGAAAACGGTTAGAATTTGAAATTCAAAAACTTACCTCGGTCGAGTTGTGGAACTCGATCGAGTTACCCTCTAGCTCGATCGAGTTTCTAGCTCGATCGAGCTGTCGGTCGAGCTGGCTCCTTTGTCACCTAAACTTAACTTATTGAAAGACACAAAATAGATAGAAATTGCATAAAGAATATGTACAAGGATAAACATGGGACTTCCTCCCAAGTGAGCTTGTTTAAGGTCCCATAGCTTGACCTTTACCTTTTAGGCATTGGTTGAGCTAGTCCCACCATCAAGGGTGATAGTGAGGACTTGAGACAGAAGCTCCTTTAGCTTGGTTGGGTCCCTGGATTGTTCTGAAGTCACCAAGGCCTTGGCTCTAGAGAATGGCCTTGATCTCCCCTTGTACCTTATCTTGTACTCAATCTTCCCATTTTCAAACTTGGTGGGGAACAAAGTCATTGTGAGCTGAGATGGCTTGACTGAAGGGGCCTGAGCTGGTGGATCCTTTCTTTTATCACCTGGTCTTGCCTTAGAGGCTACATCCTCCCCTTCTTTTAGAGCCCTTCCTAGTGGCTCATCAAACAAAGCTTGAAGGCTCTCTTCATCAAGCACACAAGGGGCTTGAACAAGTCTATCAGCTCGTGGCCTATCAGACGTGGTTTCTCAACTCTAGCCCTCTCAAGACGTGGCTTCTCAATCCTTGGTCCTCCTTCTCAACCTTATCCTTCCCAACTCTTGGTTCTTTGTCAACCTTTCCTTCACAACCTTTGTAGCTTCATGACTCTTAGAACTGAGAGTGGTACTGTCAATTGTGGCACAAAAGTCTGAACCTCTAGGCTGCAAGCGATATGACACCAAACTATTCACCTTGTGAAGAATCACTTCTTGCTTGTGAAAGTCTATTGAAGCGCCAACTGTACTAAGGAATGGGTTCCCAATACAGAGGTAGATCCTTCTCTTCTTCCATTTCCATGACAGTGAGATCAGTTTGGATGATGCATTCTCCAATTTTCAAGTGATAGTTCTTGAACACTCCAAGAGGAGACTTAGAAGTTGCATCTCCAAACATGATTGAAGTAGTAGGGCGCTGCAAGCTCCAGCAATGCCTAGCTTCTCTGCCATTGAGAGAGAGATCAGATTGATGCTTGCTCCAGAATCCACAAGGCATTGTCAAGCTCAAGATGCCCAAGTGTGCAAGGGAGAGTGAATTTCCCTTGATCCTTCACCTTTGGTAAGAAAGTTGGTGAAGTGAGTGATGCGGAGTCAGGTTTTACCAAACTCCTAGACCTCTGCAAGTGCACAGATCGCGGAAGTATGGGTATCGAACACAAGGACTGGCTATTGAGTACACTTTGTAACTATGGATTTTGGATCAAGCTAAAACAAAAGTATGATTGAGGTTGTAATGGTGAACCGAACTAGCAAGTATAACGAGGTTGTAAAGCAATAAAGGAAAAGCGCTAGGTCATAGGGGCTATCGCAGAGAAGCAAGCAATGATCAATGAAACAATGATAGATTAATTGATTAGGGATATTGGGATATTAAGAACCATCTAGAACACAGATCACGAATATAAAACCATTCCACTTTCGAGGCTCCGGCTCCTTTGCTAATCTACCTAGTCGCTAAACTTTTGGTATGTCCCTAGGTGATTAGATCAAGCATTAGAATGAATAGGTTCTGATACAGTTCACTAGATATAGATAGATCAACTTTCGCAGTCTAAGAAACCTAGCTTGTCAAAGAATATGTCCGGCGAATGATACAGCACTGTCGAGGCTCAAATCAACCTAAGATCGGATTACTAGATGCGCGGTAAAGCAATCAGCATTAGTTAAGTGCACAAGACGAGACAAAGACTCTAATATAATCCCTAGCTAATCATTGAAATCAAAGATCATGCAAGCAACTCATTGAATAGTAACCCTAGCAACCTAACTAGTGGATTACTCAGACATGATCAAAGCAAACACACATAGAGATGAAGAAAACATGATTGCAATAAAACTTAGAGTAGGAAATCGAAATACAAGGGCGGCTCTCTTTTCACAAGAGGCTAAAAATCCTATATATATAGTGCTAGGTCTTTCTAGAGGCGGCTTAGGGTTAAGCCGGGCTTGAAAATATAATTGGGCTTCAAAAGGGCTTCGGGTCGACCGCGGCGTTGGGACGGTCGTGCGGGACGATCGGCCGGACAATCGGGTTGTGGCCGAGTCGGAACGGTCGGGCCGGATGGATTCACGGTCGGCCGGCGTGGTCGGCGGAGAGATTTGGCCGATGTTTCTCGGCCGGACGTGGGACGTTCTTTCCCGGCTCGGACGGATGCATCGGCCGTGGTACGCGAAGGGTTGCGCGGCCGCGAGGCTTGTTCCCGGCTCGCGCGCTTTGGTCGTGCGCGGCGTGGCGTGGACGTTTGGCTTGGCCGACCGCGGGACAATGTTTCCCGGGTCGTGTTGCGTGATCGGCCGGTGGACTTTGGCCGAGACTTCAGACGGACGGATATGATTTGGCCGAGCGCGGAACATCGTTTCCTCGGCCAGCCGGACTGCGCGGTTGGGCGCTGATTCTCGATAGAGCCGTCTGGACAGTCTTCACTCTTTTGGTTATAACTCCTTTTCTACTCATCCAAATTAGGCCGTTCCAGTTGCGTTGGAAAGTTAACTCAATCAGAGCACGCAGGGAACTGGTCTTGATGAAATCCATTGAGTAGATCTTTTTCTGGGCCCTCTTAAAGTTGGTGCTTGTGCATGGAGCGGCTTGAAGTGCAAATCCTATGGTTTTGCTCCAAAATGCATCATTTCACCTGTTTAGACTCTAGACACTATAAACACAGTAAAACTACCTTTTTAGATAGAAAACCTGCCAAAAACCATTAGAAAACAATGCTAAAACAGTATAAAAAGTGGGTAAATTAGAGGTATATCAACTCCCCCAGACTTAGATCTTTGCTTGTCCTCAAGCAAAAAGAATCTAAATCCGTGAAAGAGGTTTGAAAACGTGGAACTCCCTTGCTCTTTTGAATATCCTGTGAAAGGTTCCTTTCCTGTATTCCACTATGAACATAGACAACATAAGGTTAGCTTCACATACACCCTGCAAGTTTAGCGAACAATACCAACCCAACTAGTCTCATCCAGCAATCCAAACTCTCTATTGCTAACCTCTTGCATAAATTTAAAGCGTGAATTCTTTATCAAGGGGACATCGATCAATTGAACTTGTTCTTACCCACTTGATCTCTCCAAGATTGCCTCTTTAAGTGCAATGAGTTCTTTTCCTCTCTCTTTCTCACATCAGAACTTTGAAAGGTCAATTTCTCCCTACTTTTCTAGGGTATCATTTTATTTTTTCTATTGACCCTTCTTTCAACCACAGGATAAGTCTTTAGCTTGTTCCTTGTTTGACTAAGGTATTCCATAAGACATGAAGGTACAGACATATGCATTCCTCATGCTTACTTGTTTTCCTTGTGCTCTTTGAGCTTTTTCTCATAACATTACTTACCATTTGGGATGGGAGAGAGAGGAGAACTCTTTAAAGATTAGACAAATCTTATTGAAAATCAAGCAAGGAACTGTCGACATGTATGCCAACCCCCTTGACAAGAGTATTAAGATTGATTAAGGTGAGGTTAACTCTAGATTGCTTGGTTACCTTAGAAATTTTGCTGAGCTAGCATGTCGATCCACTGTAAGAGCTTCTGTTAGGCTTGTGCCTTTAGCTGGTTTCTGCTCTAGGGTCATGGATTGTTAGCATAACACTCTCAATTCTCAAAGCAAGTTCATAACTTCCGGACTGGTTTTTGACTCAATAAAACTTTTTGAAAAACATGAAACAAAGTGAATAAAACATAAGAAAAGAAAGAAAAATGCATTAGTAACACAATAAAACTCCCCCCAGACTTAACTTGCACCGTCCCGGTGAAAGCAAATCACATTAAGGTGAGAGGTAATATTCAAAGTAAAAGAAAAATAAAGAAGAAATTCATTAAAATGAGATAGGGATAGAAAATGGAGATTTGTAAGTGTCCATTGCACTAAGTACCACTTGAGATGACTATGTGTGGCAGTGAGAAGAACTCTCTTCCTCATCTATGGGGTCATCGCCTTCTGAACCAAGCTCTGAGTCTAGTGAGAACTCACCAAGGTCAGGCTCATATGGCTCTCTAGCGGTGGAAGAAGGGCGAAAGAGTCTCTCCGGTGCAATGTGGCGAACTACACGGACTAGGCGTGAGATGAAGCGAGATTGGCATTCCACTATCTTCTCCAGCTTGTTAACACGGTCTAGAGCTTGGTGCGCGGCCATGCCAGTAGTGAGAACATGGCGTTCTTGGACGCGGCGTTGAGTCTTGACTGCATGCTGAAGTGTGCGATAGGTGAGCATGGGGAATGATGGTTTCTCACTTGATGGAACATAGAAGTCTTCCTCATTGGGCTGGAAAGTGACAACTCCTGAGCGTAGGCTTGGGATGTCTTCATGTGGCAGCAAGACAAGGGAAGTGTTGGCTGGACCAATTGGAAACTCATAGCAAAACCGAGTTGGGTCTTTAGTCCAACGGTTTAGGAAGTGGATGTGCTGAAGAGCATGGAGATCCAAAGGGGTTGGCTTGGGTAGTTGATGCGATCATGGATGAGGAGGTTCAGGAAAAGCAGCTTTTGGCCGAGGAAGGAGATGGAATGGAGCAGCTTGAAGCCGAGGAGGGACTTGAAGCCACACAACTTGAACCTGATGGAGCTAAACATATGGAGCTGGAACCTGACGGAATTAAAGAGCTTGCAGCTGAGAAGGAGCTTGTTTCCAAGGATTCTGTAGCTGCGCCAATGGAACTGATTACTCATTCTGGAGTTAATCTTGAGCCAAGATGGAGAAGACATGATCCTAAACCTCCCTGGTTTTTGATCCAAGCTCAAGAGATCAGCAAATGGGCATGTGTCTCATTTGTACTCTTTTTCCCTTGTCAAGTTTTGTCCCAATGGGTTTTCTTGACAAGGTTTTTAATGAGGCAAATGGGTCACATACAAATCACCCATTTAGCTGATCAAGACCAAGGCCCATCAATAAAGAAGACCAAAAACGTGGCCATGAAGATCAAGGGTCATATTTGTGTTCAAACTTTGTTTTAATTGTGTTTGCTTTTCCGAGATAGTCTTTGGAGCTTGTTCCTTGACTCATCTCTTCCTCTTCCCTTCTTCTGTTTCCCCTTTATATAGTACTGGACGAAATCCTTTTCAGTTTATCAATCAATCTATTATCAAAAACCTCTCTTTTATTTGATCACTTTTTCTGTCCACTTGTTGTGCGTAATATCAACTAAGTCCACAGAATTATCCTCTCACTTGTTGTGCGTAATATCAACACGTTGGAGGCGGTGTTAGAGTTTTCTTTCCGCTGGAACTCTAGTATAGCCAATCGATCCATTCATCCTTTTCCATTCACTTTCATCCATCATTGGTTCCTTTGTGATCCAATCCGCTCAAACACTTAGCTTTCAAGCCGATCTACTCCAGGGGCGTATCAGTTGGTATCAGAGCCCCTTGAAGCTAAGTGATTTCATCTCTATGATTTTTCTTAGTTTTGTCTGTTCATCTTCTCATTTAGAAAGTCATAGATCTACTCATCATCATTATTCCCCTGATCATTTCCTTGTTACCATCAGCATATCGGCTACTCTATTGCATTTTCCAACCATTGAATCATCATTCTGAGCATATTAGATCTGGCTGTTCATCTTCTGTTCTTGAATCATCATAGATCTAGTTGCTGGAATTATTTTCGTATTTTTTTTGAGCATTCTGGCATCATATCCTGGTTCATTAGCACCTTATCTGTATTTTAGAATTTATTTCATAATTTTTAAAATTGTTTACATAATTTTTCGGAATTGTTTGCTTGTTTCTGTGAACTAGTGACTGCCGAGATTTTTGTTTGCAATTTTCAGGTGCTATGGCCTCAGAAGAAGAAGAAGAGGAAACAAGCCGAGAATCACCATCAAGCCTCAACGAAGCCATGCTTGAACAGATCAAGAAGATGATGATTGAGGAGTTTGATCGGAGAGAAAAGATTAAAGAAGGAAAGCGGAAGCAACCTAAGGATCCTGTCACATCTAAGAAGAAGCCGATTGAGGATCTTAGTGGTTACATGATGATTCCGCCATTCCATGGGAACAATGATCCGGATGTATATCTGATGTACTGCATTTTAATAGTTTTAGCACATCTTTTATGCATCTTTTGCATAGTTTTAGCTTCCATTTGCATCATATCTTGTTCCTTTTCTCTTCTTATGCATTCATGTTAGTTTTAGGTTGCATTTGCATACATATGCATGTTTGGTCCTTTGAAATAGGTCTTTTGGAGCATTCTGGAGCATATGGGACATAAGGAGCATGGAGGGACTTGGCACATGGAAGCAGCTCAACTGGATACGCAAAGGAAGAAGGGAGAAGCCATCTTGAAGACCAGCTCGACCGTCTACTCGACCAACCGGTCGAGTTCCTCAACTCGACCGGCCAAGCTTCAACTCGATCGAGCTGGAAGTCAAAGTCAAACCCGAAAAATGTTGCTTCCCCCTTGACTTTCCTTTGACCCTAAACCTAATCCTCTTTGTATTTAAAGGCTCTAAGCCACGAAAAAACCACCAAGCTTTAGATTATTTTGTTTTAGTTTCTTTTAATTTATTGTCTTTTACTTTTTAGAGATCTAATCCCATCTTTGTGTTCTTGAAGCTCTTGCTTCTTGAATCTTAGATCCTGGATAATCTCTTTGTATTTGCACTTGCTTATTTCAATAAAAGTTGTTTAATTTCATCTCCTCTTTCTTATGATGTCTCTTTTATTGCATTTGCTTGTGTTTACATTCATGTGTAGTGAGTAGTTACCCATTAGGGTTTGAGATGGGATAGATTAGAGGTTTCATATGCTTAATCCTTCTAGCTTATGGTCTTAATCTAGATTCTCTCTCTTTTGGATAGATCTTAAGGCTACATGACCACTACCCCTGGCTTGTAAGTCCTTAGGCGACTCCCCACACGAAAGTGATGGCATTCGCTGGAAAAGATCCACTAAGAGCTCCAATATCTCTTGCTCTAGACAATAGAGGTCTAAGGGGTTGGATGGATTAGTTTGGGCAATGATCCTATAGCCTCCAAGGTTTGATTCTCACTGGCTAACCCCCTGTTTCTGAGATCATTCCTTGGTTGATAGCCTCCACCTTGGGAAAGGGTTGGCTAGGCATTGAGAAGCCCAATATCAAGAGAAGCCTTGATACAAGGAGTTTTAAGAGCTAGATTGATTAAGTGTAGATTCCTTTGATTGCAAAACCCTGTCTTGAACCCTAATTCTCTCTTATCTTGTTAAAGTCGTCACCTTTAGCTTTGTTTGTCTCAACTCGTCCCTAAACTCGATCGAGCTGGTACTCTGTTCCTACTCGACTCGAGTCCTTGGTCGAGCTGCTTGTTTACTGCTTTGTTTACTTTTATTGCACTGCATTTTCATTTTTAGGTTGTTAGTGTTACTTCAAATCTATTACTGCTTGCTTGACTTCTGGTTGTTTCATATTCTCATAGAGTGACAAGTTTCCCATTTTGGATTGATAACCTCTTATACTACATGACTATGATGGTTAAGAGGAATTGATTGATTGTGATTGCACCATACCATATCATCTTTATTCACCCCTGTTTGCATTCCACCTCATTTCATATCACACACCCCACAAAATCCTATCATCAATATCTGGATTGGGAGAGGAAGTGCGAGATTATCTTCAACCGACATAACATAGCTGACATCAACCGAGTCACATTAGCAGCTATGGAGTTCAAGTATTATGCTCTAAGTTGGTGGAAACAGGTTGAGACAGCACGAGCTTATAGTGGGGCTTATGAGATATCTACTTGGGGAGAAATGAAAAGGGTTATGAGGCAGCGGTTCGCTCCCAATCATTATCAGCGTGAACCTCATTCCAAGATAAGGAAGCATAGCCAAGGAACTCGTTCGGTTGAGGAGTACTATAGTAGCCATGGGAAGACGAAACCGAAGCAGCCTGACAAGATCACAAAGCCTTATCCAAGACGTTTCTCTAAAGAGACCAGTCCTGAACCACAAGAAAGCATTCAAAGCAAAGGAAAGCATTCTGTTTCTCAACAATTACAAGAATTAACCTTTTGCAGGACCAGGAACAGAGACCATGATGCTAAGGAGCTCCCAAGCAAGGTGATCCCTTCCTCTATTAGTCCAAAGCCTCTGGCAGCAGAAAGTGTCAAAGAAGTGCCAAAGGATCACGCAGAGAAAAGTTTAGGTGCCAAAGATGTTTCAGTCCAAACCTCCTGTTACAAACTTCAAGGCAACAAGAAACAAGAAATTGTTTCAGTCTCTAACAATGGAAAGGTACAAGTTAAACTTTCTCAAACTGTTTATGATGATTCCATGACTGGTATAATGCACTTGTCTTTCTCCAAAAGTGTTGAGACAGGTACAGGGTTTAATGGAGAACAAATGGAGAAAGCAAATCAAGAAGAGGAGATTCAACCAAACCTGGATCCGCCAGAATCTAAACCACCAGACCAACAACTACAAGACCATGAGTTCAATCCAGAAGGACCAGAACCGAACAACAAGAGGAAGTCAAAATCAGAACAAGAATACAGTCAAGCCATGCCTACTTCTAAGCTAAGTGAATTCTTAAACCAACACATTCATCCTGTCTTTTTAACTGTCTTAATGCACTTGTCTTGGTTTAAAGAAGTTGAGAAAGGTACAGGTGAGCAAGAGAGACGCCTAGAAGCTCACAAAGCTTTAACTTGCCATACCAAGAAGGAGTATGAGCAACATGTTCTTAAGCCAATTGCCGCAGCTGATTCACTAATGAGCGTTTTGAATAGTACACAGGTAAGTGAAGCTCAATACTTGATTTACTATTGGGATCATTTCATGATACATCAGAAACTTCAGAATTTTGTTTTTGAAATTCCCATTTCAAGTATAATGCACTTGTTCTTTTCCTTGAGTGTCAAAAAAGGATCAGGTTTTATGAAGAAGCATAAGGAACTGGAAGAAGCAGCATCAAAGAACAACATATTCTCATCTCACGTTCATCTCATTCCCTGTTCACCTATGGTTATTTGTTTGAGTTCTCTATTTACCAAAGGCGAGGCAACACTGAACCAAAATCAAGAAGAGTGGCTCACATTTTCCAATCCAATTCCAGAGAAACCACCAGACTCTTATCTAGGATATCTAAAGAAGCAAACCCAAGGTAAGTATCTAGATTCCCAAAGGCGTATGAGACCTAATTTGCTTTCTTTTGGTACAGGTCAACTAGTTTTGAGGACAAAACTTTTTCAAGAGGGAGGGGATGATGCGATCATGGATGAGGAGGTTCAGGAAAAGCAGCTTTTGGTCGAGGAAGGGGATGGAATGGAGCAGCTTGAAGCCGAGGAGGGACTTGAAGCCGCACAACTTGAACCTGATGGAGCTAAACATATGGAGCTGGAACCTGACGCAATTAAAGAGCTTGCAGCTGAGAAGGAGCTTGTTTCCAAGGATTCTGTAGCTGCGCCAATGGAACTGATTACTCATTCTGGAGTTAATCTTGAGCCAAGATGGAGAAGACATGATCCTAAACCTCCCTGGTTTTTGATCCAAGCTCAAGAGATCAGCAAATGGGCATGTGTCTCATTTGTACTCTTTTTCCCTTGTCAAGTTTTGTCCCAATGGGTTTTCTTGACAAGGTTTTTAATGAGGCAAATGGGTCACATACAAATCACCCATTTAGCTGATCAAGACCAAGGCCCATCAATAAAGAAGACCAAAAATGTGGCCATGAAGATCAAGGGTCATATTTGTGTTCAAACTTTGTTTTAATTGTGTTTGCTTTTCCGAGATAGTCTTTGGAGCTTGTTCCTTGACTCATATCTTCCTCTTCCCTTCTTCTGTTTCCCCTTTATATAGTACTGGACGAAATCCTTTTCAGTTTATCAATCAATCTATTATCAAAAACCTCTCTTTTGTTTGATCACTTTTTCTGTCCACTTGTTGTGCGTAATATTAACTAAGTCCACAGAATTATCCTCTCACTTGTTGTGCGTAATATCAACACGTTGGAGGCGGTGTTAGAGTTTTCTTTCCGCTGGAACTCTAGTATAGCCAATCGATCCATTCATCCTTTTCCATTCACTTTCATCCATCATTGGTTCCTTTGTGATCCAATCCGCTCAAACACTTAGCTTTCAAGCCGATCTACTCCAGGGGCGTATCAGTAGTGGCTCATAGTTGGGAATGTCAATCCCCACATGTTGTACTATGGCCGTGATAAGCCTCCCAAAACGAACACAAAGCTTCTTGTTGCCTTCCAAGTCTTTGAGCTAGCTTCCTCACATTGATGAATGTCTTGGCAAGTAAAAGTCCAAGGTTGGCCTTGTACTCATGCTTGATGAATGGTGTGGTGAGGATGTAGAACTCATCAGTTGTGACCTTGTTGGCTTCTTGTTTGCATTGGAAAGTGGTGGAGATGAGGCGGTGCACATAGCGAATGGCTGGATGGGTGATTCTAGACACCTTTGACCTTGAAGGCAAGAATGGTTCATTGGCAAAGTGTGTCCAATCAGCAAAGGCAGCTTGTTTCCTCTTTGAGTTCTCCTTGAAGTCATGTGCTGTCTCATTGGGAAGTCCAAAGAGTTGGCATAGAGCTGAGATGGAGATGCGCCCATTGGCATCGCCTATCTTGAAGAGTAGGAGTCCATCACCAGCTGGTTGGTCTCCATTGTGGTTGGGAAAGGCAAGAGCTACTGTGGAGAGGAACTCCTTGGTGAGTTGTGAGTACTCACTACATTCTAGCTTGAAGAGCTTGCTCAAGCCTAGCTTCCTTATGTACCATGTGACATCATCTCTTATCTTGAGAAGATCAAGGGTTTGGGTGTCCATCTTCACACATGGCTCGATGTTCACCTTCTCCATTGCCTTCTTACACTTTCTTGGGTCTTGATTTTGTTCTCCAACAAAGGTTACAAGTGCCCAATCATCTTCTCCTCTTCTTGGACTCTCCACATGTTCTTGATTTGCATCAATGGAATGTGGTGAAGTTGGTATTGCTGCTCTTGCATTGGAGCTACTACTCCCTAGCTTGATTTGTTTCTTTGGTGGTTCCATGAATGGGTTCTTCTTCTTCTTCATACTCTCATTTCCTTTTGTCTTTGCCATTGTGTACCTACAAGAGCAAATTCTTGGGAAGAAATATGAGTTTGTGATTAATGCAAAAGAAGAATAAGCTAATTGAGTTGTAATAATGATATGGAATAAAGGAACAACTCAAGGCTTAATCATGAATCAAAGAGACAAAATAGAAATTTCACTTTTTCAAAGTTAATTTTCGGATTTTACTGTTCATCCCAAGATTATGGTGCTTAAAATCAAAATTTTCAGCAAATCAAGAGAAATTGAGTTTCTAATCCAAGTAATCACTAGATAAACTAATGAATTGAAGTATGCCTAAGCAATTTCACCTTTGAATAAGGGGTTTGGAATGCCCAATAAGTTTTGTGAAAAACTATTCAATTGTGAAATTAAACTTCAAATTAACTCTAAACCACCTAGGTTCCACCTAGCTAAGTTCATTACAAGACTATAAGATGTAATTTCAAGTTTAGACAAGAGTTTAGACCAAACAGAAACTTATTGAGAATTTCGATCTTGCATAAACATAGGATTAGAGTTAGAAGACATACCTTGTGTGTTGAAAAGTGAATAAGGTTGCAAGAGCAAGTAAATTCCAATTTAGAGTTATGAACAGTAAAAGTTTTGAAATCAAAACTCTTAGAGTTCCTCTAATGGAGTTTAGGGTTTTGGAGAAGAAAGAGAGGTTCTTGTTGTTTTCAAGGGAAAGGTAAAGTATAAGATCAAGATCCTATCAATTTTCCTTTTCAAATTCGAATTTTGATTGAAAACCGGTTTAAGTTGGTTTAGATTGGTTAAAACCGGTTTGAATTAATGAAAAGGGGACTTACCTTGGCCGAGAAAATTTTGGGCCGATGGCCGATGGATTTGTCGCGGTCGAGCGATTTGGTCGGCCAAATTGTTTGGCCGAGAGATTTCGGCCGAGGCCGATCGTTTGTTTCCCGGATCGACCGGCACGGTCGGTCCGTTCCGATACAAAATTTCGGCCGATCGCGGCCGTTTCTTCCCGGTTCGTGCGTGCCGCGCGAACGGTTTCTGTCGCGCGAAGTAATCCGGCCGAGCACAAGCCATTCCTTCCCGGCTCGACCGTAACGGTCGGCCAGAAGAGAATTGCTCGGCCAAAATCTTTTGCGCGTCCGCGGCCAATGTTTTGGCGCGGATTGTGTTTTCACACCTTTTTCTCCTTCTATCCTATCTTAAAACAAAGAAAACACAAAAGCAAAACAAAAACTAAGAAATTAAAGAAAGAAAAGTAAAAGTACCTCATGGGTTGCCTCCCATGCAGCGCTTGTTTTAAGTCTTTAGCTTGACTGTAAGGCTTGGCGCTCAGGAGAAGATGGAGACAAGAGGCATCCTTGATCCTCCAAGTCTTTTCTCCTTGCAATGAGTATCTGGTGGGTGATTCACAGCTGGATAGACAATCTCTCCATGAATGTCCCTTGGCACTACTGCCTTAGGAAAAAGCTTTAGAGTTCTTGTCACTTTCTCCTTGAATCCTTCTAGATTCTCATCAATAAGCTCCTTTGGGAATAGAAGCTTCATGTTGCGGCCAGACCTAGGCTTTCTAACCTTCTTCTTGGCTTGGCCTCATCTTCAATCTTGGTTGATCCCTTGGGCGGTTTTGGTGTAGGGGCCTTAGTCTTACTCCTTGCTTGTTTGGCAAGCTGCTTGGGCTTAGGAATGGGATCTTCCTTGATTGTTTCTTCAGTTTCTCCTTCTTGGGGTGGCTTCAAAGTACTTTCTCCTCTTGGACCATGTCAACAAAAGAGTTCTTTGTTGAACACATAGGGAAGAACATACCCTTGTTCACCTTGTTGAAAGAGATTCTTTGATTGGGGAAATCAAATATGGCACCCACAGTAGACAGGAAAGGGGTTCCAAATATGAGAGGTCTATGGCTACTCTCTCTCATTTCCACAATCTGGAAATCAGTAGGGATAGAGCAATTTCCAATCTGCACCATCACATTAGGCACAAAGCCATAGGGGTTTGTGAGAATGAATCAGCATAGTTGATGGAGATGGATGATGGCTCTATCTTGGTGAGGCCTATCTTGTCAGCTATCCTCTTAGACATGATGTTCACATTGGCTCCTGTGTCACACAAAGATTGCTCAAGAATGTTACCTTTGATGATACAAGGCACAACAAACTTTCCTGAGTTATCTGTCTTGGGGATAATCTTTGGGAAGAGTCTTCTCTTTCTAGCTCGATTGGACTCTCTCTCTGGGTAATTCTCTTCAGGCCAAATCATGCAATCAACAGTAGGTTTTGAAAGCATCCATTCTGGAACTTGGTCTTCAAATCTTTCTTCTATGGCGGCTGAGTTGCAAAAGGACTTCTTGGATTCAGCTTCCTGTCTCTTAACAGCTTCCATAGTTTGAGTGACTTGAGTCTCTAGTTTCTTCACATGAGTGGCAACAGCATCATACTTGGTGTTGAGATTGCTGAACAAAGTGTCCATCTTCTCATACATCTCTTTAGTGTTTCTCTTCTGGCCATCCATGATCTGTTGGAGGATTCCTTCAAATCTCCCACCTTGTTGGTTTGGAGGAGCTTGATTTGGTGAAGAAGCATATGGCTCCTTGGGCGGATATGATGATCTCTGCTCATATCCTTGCCTTGGCTGAAATTGACTTCCTTGAGATTGGTAAGGAGGTCTTTGTTGTTGTGGATACCTTGGAGGATACACTTGGTCTTGAGGATTCTCCACATTGGGGTTTCTATAAGACATGTTGGGGTTTGGGCGATAGCTTGGATTGTATCCCTTGTTCCCATAGTTTCCAATGTAGTTCACATCTTCTTCATTGGCTTCATTAGAGAAATCTCCCATGCATTCTCTTGATGAATCTTCATTAGCATCACTCATCCCTTCTATTGCATTGATATGCTTGAGCTGTCCCTTAAGAACTTGAGCCATCATGTTCTTGAGTTCAGTCATTTGAAAAGAATCAGGGGAGCTAGTAGTGGTGCGGCTTGAGCGGTCATAATCAGGACAGTTGTTACAATCACTAGCTGCAAGATTCTCAATAAGAACCTTAGCTTCATCAACAGTCTTGGTCATGAAGTTTCCATTGCTTGCAGTGTCCAATGAAAGCTTGTACTTGTGGTCTATGCCACGATAGAAGATGTTCCATAGGTTTCCCTCATTGAAACCATGATTAGGGCAGTCCCTAATGTACTCCTTGAATCGATCTAGCGCCTCATAGAAAGACTCATTGTTGGCTTGGCGAAAGTGGAGATCTTGTTTCTTACAGAAATTGATCTCTGTGGAGGTGGATCTCTTCCTTCTTCTTGAGCGCGCGCCACTTCAGCGGCGTGAGCGCGAGCTGCTTCGTCGGCCATCTCTTGGGCTTTCTGCTTCCTAAGTTGCTTCTCAAGCTTGTCTATCTCTGGATGTTCAACTAGGTTGTCCTTGTTGGACCTCCTAGTCATGCACCTGAAAAGAGTCTTGGAAACAAGTTAAATCAAAAGGAAAAACAAAAACAAAAGCAAAAATCAAAGAAAAGAAATCAAAAACTAAAAATTCAAAAGCAAAAGAAAAGCAAAACAGGAAAAGGTTCTAGACTAGATCCTAGTCGAGTTCCAAAGGTACTGCTGCAGTCCCCGGCAACGGCGCCAAAAACTTGATGCGGAGTCAGGTTTTACCAAACTCCTAGACCTCTGCAAGTGCACAGATCGCGGAAGTATGGGTATCGAACACAAGGACTGGCTATTGAGTACACTTTGAAACTATGGATTTTGGATCAAGCTAAAACAAAAGTATGATTGAGGTTGTAATGGTGAACCGAACTAGCAAGTATAACGAGGTTGTAAAGCAATAAAGGAAAAGCGCTAGGTCATAGGGGCTATCGCAGAGAAGCAAGCAATGATCAATGAAACAATGATAGATTAATTGATTAGGGATATTGGGATATTAAGAACCATCTAGAACACAGATCACGAATATAAAACCATTCCACTTTCGAGGCTCCGGCTCCTTTGTTAATCTACCTAGTCGCTAAACTTTTGGTATGTCCCTAGGTGATTAGATCAAGCATTAGAATGAATAGGTTCTGATACAGTTCACTAGATATAGATAGATCAACTTTCGCAGTCTAAGAAACCTAGCTTGTCAAAGAATATGTCCGGCGAATGATACAGCACTGTCGAGGCTCAAATCAACCTAAGATCGGATTACTAGATGCGCGGTAAAGCAATCAGCATTAGTTAAGTGCACAAGACGAGACAAAGACTCTAATATAATCCCTAGCTAATCATTGAAATCAAAGATCATGCAAGCAACTCATTGAATAGTAACCCTAGCAACCTAACTAGTGGATTACTCAGACATGATCAAAGCAAACACACATAGAGATGAAGAAAACATGATTGCAATAAAACTTAGAGTAGGAAATCGAAATACAAGGCGGCTCTCTTTTCACAAGAGGCTAAAAATCTATATATATAGTGCTAGGTCTTTCTAGAGGCGGCTTAGGGTTAAGCCGGGCTTGAAAATATGAAATTGGGCTTCAAAAGGGCTTCGGGTCGACCGCGGCGTTGGGACGGTCGTCGGGACGATCGGCCGGACAATCGGGTTGTGGCCGAGTCGGAACGGTCGGGCCGGATGGATTCACGGTCGGCCGGCGTGGTCGGGGGACGAGATTTGGCCGATGTTTCTCGGCCGGACGTGGGACGTTATTTCCCGGCTCGGACGGATGCATCGGCCGTGGTACGCGGAACGGGTTGCGCGGCCGCGAGGCTTGTTCCCGGCTCGCGCGCATGGTCGTGCGCGGCGTGGCGTGACGTTTGGCTTGGCCGACCGCGGGACAATGTTTCCCGGGTCGTGTTGCGTGATCGGCCGGTTTTGAACTTTGGCCGAGACTTCAGACGGACGGATATGATTTGGCCGAGCGCGAAACATAGTTTCTCGGCCAGCCGGACTGCGCGGTTGGGCGCTGTTCTCGATAGAGCCGTCTGGACAGTCTTCACTCTTTTGGTTGTAACTCCTTTTCTACTCATCCAAATTAGGCCGTTCCAGTTGCGTTGGAAAGTTAACTCAATCAGAGCACGCAGGGAACTGGTCTTGATGAAATCCATTGAGTAGATCTTTTTCTGGGCCCTCTTAAAGTTGGTGCTTGTGCATGGAGCGGCTTGAAGTGCAAATCCTATGGTTTTGCTCCAAAATGCATCATTTCACCTGTTTAGACTCTAGACACTATAAACACAGTAAAACTACCTTTTTAGATAGAAAACCTGCCAAAAACCATTAGAAAACAATACTAAAACAGTATAAAAAGTGGGTAAATTAGAGGTATATCAGTGAGCACGTTGATTTGATGAGTAGACTCCTGTAGGACCTCTGAAACTTTATCACTGTTGGCATAACATCCTTGACCATTTGCATTTGATCAAATGCCTCACTCATGCTATCCATAGGGGCAACTCAATTCCAATCCCACTGAGATCTCTTCTGAACTTGTGAATCACTTCCTTGTGACCTTGACTAAGTAGGCGAGACGAGGAAGGGCAACCGGTTGGTAAGGATCAAGCAAATCGGCTTTGGGACAGATGAGGTCGGACTCGATCGAGCTAGAGTTGACTCGATCGAGCTGCCGATCGAGCTTGTTGTGCGAGCTCAACTGGTGAAGTGTGAATGGCCACAGTAGGTGCCTGCACTTCTGGTTGATCAATCTGGACTCCAGGAGCCTCAGCAGCAACAATCTCATCATCATTCAGCAGTAAACAAAAATCTTCAATGACCCTTTCTTGATCCTCTTCTTCAACAAGTCCTTCTTGAGTGAAGATGACCTTGCACTGTTCCTTGGGGTTCTGAATAGCTTTACCAGGTAGTTGTCCTTGCTTTGTAGCAGCAGCAACAGAAGAAGCATGATTCTCCAGAGAGTAAACCCTTGTGTTGAGATTCTCGATCTTGGAGTTTATTTCAGCTAGCTTCTTGCTTGTGTCCACTACCCCATCAGCTTGCCCTTGAAGTAGTTGCTTTAGCATTGCCTTGAGCTCATTCTCTTGTGAAGGTGCAGGCTGGGGTGGTTGGTGGGGAAAGCCTGGTGGGATATTCATTTGTTGTCCAGGGAAAGTCCTTGGGTCCTTGGTAATTGTTCTTTTGACCATACCCATGTTGTGGCTTGACTCGATCGAGCTGCTTGTTGTTGAGGATATACTTGGTCCTGAGGGTTAGCAACATCAGTGTTGCGGTATGACATGGCAGGGTTGGACTTGTAATTATAGTATCCTTTGTTGTAACCTCCTTGCCCATTGCTCATGTAGCACACCTCAGCAAATTGTGTATCCTCCCCTTCTTGGACTGGTTCCATCTCTCAGCAGACACAAAGTTGACTTTCTTCATTGTGGACTGAGCTAAGATCAGCTTATCCAACTTCTCATTCAATGCCTTAACATCTTTTCTCAACTTTTCGTCTGACTCGATCGAGTGGTGGGTCGAGCTCCGGTTGGTGCGATCATACTCTTCTCCATAGCTTCCATTTGAGTTAGCTATGTTCTCCACAAGTTGCCAGCCATCATCTACATCCTGGTTGAGGAAGTTCCCATTGCTAGCTGTGTCTAGCATCTCCCTATACCTAGGCAAGCATCCTCTATAAAGAGTGGAGAGTAGGATTCATTGTTGAATCCATGGTGTGGGCACTGACTTGTGTAGCCTTTGAACCTCTCCCAAGCCTCTGCGAATGTCTCATTGTTTCGCTGGATGAAGCTGGATATCTCTCCTCTAAGCTTGGCTGTGCGACCGGTGGAGAAAAACTTAGCAAGAAAGGCCTTCTTGCATTCATCCCAAGTGGTGATTGTGCCATGGGGCAAGCTCTTCTCCCATTGGTGAGCTTTGTCAGCTAGAGACATAGGAAAGAGTCTCAGCTTGATGGCATCTTCAGAGACACCATTGATCTTTGTCAAATCACAAAGCCTATCAAACTCATCAAGGTGGTCAATGGGGTCTTCACTTGGCAATCCATGGAACATCTTGTTCTGGACAAGGTTGATCATTCCCAGCTTGATCTCAAAGTTGTGGTTCTGCACTGGTGGTGGAACAATCCCTTGTCTCTGTTGGTGGCGGTTTGGAGCATCTCCTTGACCAATCGGTCGAGTTTGCCTAGCTCGACCGAGTCCATTGCCCAAAGGGTTTCCATTCCCCTCTGGTACATCCATTGTATCAGCAACAAGCACCTCAGGTTCCTCTTGTACCCTCTGTGACCTCTGATGTTGTAAGTCTAGCTCGACCAAGTCTTCTGTAGACCGACTCGATCGAGTTCGCATACACCTGCAAAAAGAGACAAAAACCCAGCAGTACAATAGAACAGGGGTGGTATAGCTTGATCGTCCAAGTGTGTTTGAAACTCAAATGCAACAAAAATAACCCAAATCGGCAACGGCGCCAAATTGATGATAGGATTTGTGTGTGTGTGAAAGATATGAAATGAGATGTGGTGGAATGCAACAGTGGTATATAAGATGAGGTGGTAAGATGCAAACACAAACACATCAACAATTCCCTTTAACCATCATAGTCATTAGTATATCAAAGGGTATCAATCCAAAATGGGAAGTTGTCACTCTATGAGAATATGAAACAACCAGGAAGTCAAGCAAGCAGTAAATGATATTGGTAACACTAACAACCTAAAAATGAAATGCAATGCAGTAAAAGAAAGAAAAGCAGTAAAGCAACAGCTCGACCAAGTTTAGGGTCGAGTTGAAGTAAAAAGCTCTTTGTAGCCATAGTAACCGTTTTGATAACCTCTTTGTCCATTCTTAATGTAGCACACTTCAGCAAACTGATTTTCCTCCTCTTCTTTGCCTTGAACCATCTCTTCTTTAGAAACAAAGTTGGCCTTCTTCATTGTGGATTGAGCAAAGATAAGCATATCCAACTTTTCATTGAGTGCCTTGACATCATTTCTCAGCTTACTATCAGACTCGATCGAGTTGGAGGTCGAGCTTCTATTTGTGCGATCATACTCGTCCCCATAACTCCCATCTGAGATAGCAATGTTCTCCACAAGCTGCGAGACATCATCTACATCTTGATTGAGGAAGTATCCATTATTGGCTGTGTCCAACATCTCTCTGTATCTTGGCAAAACTCCTCTGTAAAGTGTGGAAAGCAAAGACTTATTCCTGAAGCCATGATGAGGGCATTGACTGGTGTAACCCTTGAATCTCTCCCAAGCTTCAGCAAATGTCTCATTGTTCCTTTAAGTGAAACCAGATATCTCACTCCTCAGCTTAGCAATGCGACCAGTAGAGAAGAACTTGGCAAGAAATACCTTCTTGCAATCCTCCCATGTAGTGATTGATCCATGAGGTAAAATCTTCTCCCATTGATGGGCCTTCTCACCAAGAGATAGTGGAAAGAGGCGCAGTTAATAGCATCTTCATAGACACCATTAATCTTTGTCAAATCACACAGCCTATCAAACTCATCCAAGTGATCAATGGGATCTTCACAAGACAATCCATGGAACATCTTGTTCTGGACTAAGGTAATCATCCCCAGCTTGATCTCGAAATTGTGGTTCTGGACAGGAGGTGGGACAATCCATCTTCTTTGTTGGTGCCGGTTTGGTGCATCTCCAAGCCCAATCGGTCGAGTCTGCCTAGCTCGACCATTTCCATTACCCAAAGGGTTTCCATTACCCTCTGATATATCCATAGTATATGTAACAAGCACTGATATATCCATATATTTCATGCTTTTACTAAGGTTTTCACTATGTTTTCAATACAAATAATGTGGTTTTTAGCCCAAGAGGTAGTTTTCTTGTATATTCTGGTTTTGAGCATCATTCAGGTCAAAATAGCAAAGAAGAGTCAAAATGGAGCAAAAAGAGTCAAATCACCAAGTTCCCAAGTCTAGAGCACCAAATCTACATTTCTCGCTAAAGACCAAACCGGAGCATCCGAAGTACGACCGCATATTCATGCCTTCCCGACGTCCAAAAGTCATGATTCTTATATGGAAAGATAGATATTTGAGTCATGACCCGCGGCGAAGTGGAAAGAGGTCATTTGGATCACTCGTTGGACCGGAACTTATTTTCTACCAAGACATGTCCGACGAGCGCCTAAGTAGAGCCCATGGAGACTTTGATGGATCAAGAGGCCCGACCACCGCGCCCAAGGCCTTGGCTCGTCTTGACACTAGCATAACTCAATCCAGAAGCTTCCATTGGCCTGAACTCGGCCCATTCAAGAACTTGGAGAGCAAGCTCAAGCGGCTAAAGAGAAATGGAAACTTTCCTCTTCTGCGCGCGCTCAACTTTGCCGACCTAGACCCGCTCTCTACCTATATATACTTGCTTTTAGCCTCTTGTAATAAGACCAGCCGCATAACAAGAAACACTTATTCAATAAAGTTCGGAGCCACTTAGGTGGTCTCCTTCTTCTTTCTTTTCTTCTTTTGCATTTGTATATAGCTTGCATGTTTCAATTTATATAGTCTAGAAGTAGAGATTTCTCCCTAAGGGTGAGGCGGTTTAGTCATATATTCCGCCGCCTCTCTCTCTAAGGATTCATGAGACTTCATCTACTATCTATGACTCATTGTTGAATTATGGATCCTTCCAATGAGGACGTGATATAATGGCCATCGAAAATCGATTGTTAAAAGGGGAAACCCTATGGTTCTCCATCTTTATTTATGCTTAATGCTTGTTGCTAGAGTAGCTAACTAGTGACTTGATTTTAGGTTGATATACTCTCCAAAAGCTTGTTATATCTCCGGATATAGTATTTGATGGGCAAATCGTTTTAGGCTACGAAAGTAGACCTAAAGAGTTTTGTGAACAATCATTACTTGGATGTAATGCATGTCTCACTCTACAATGACCAACGAAAGCTGAGCCCATTGGTTTAAGAGACATAGGGGATTGGAACCACGAAAGTGGAATAATCCTTCCTTAGTGTTTTGAGTTCAAAAGAATCGGATTTTAACAAACTTTTCAATCGACTTGGCTCATGTTTTCAAAAGAGTTTTCAATAGTTCAATAATGTTGCTTGTATAGAATTGCATTGTTCTTTCTTTTGCGTGTTCTAAACAAACACAAACCCTTGCATCTTTTGATTTAGCTTAGATGATATGATCATGGAGGAGGTTGCTGGGAACTTGGACCAGGAAGCAGCTGGAGAGCTTGTAGCAGAGGAGGAGCAGCTTGAACCTGAGGAAGCTTTGGAAGCCTTGGCCTTACCAACTGGTCCCATCACAAGGTCCCAGACTAAGATGCTCAACCAAGACATTGGAAGAGTACTTAGCCGTTTGAGTCGGCATGATCAGGAGCTTAAACATTCCACTTTGGTTTGTTTGAGAGCCCAACACTTGGGATAAAGAAGCAAGTGGATTTTAGTGTGCTCTTTTTCCCTGCCAAGGTTTTGTCCCTTTGGGTTTTACTTGGCAGGTTTTTAACGAGGCCTAAAGTCCACTTCCCATCACTTCTTTATTTCATGTTGTTTGGGTCCGGCCCATCTCTCTTCATTTTGAACTTTGCTGCCGGCAACTGAAGAGTCCTTTTTCTTGTTTCAAACTTGTCTTTAATGTTTGTGTGTTTCCAAGATGGTCATGGAGCCTGTTCCATTGACTCATCTCTCTTCTTCTCTCTTCTCTCCTCTCCTTTATATGTTCTGGACGAATCTCCTTTCTTTTTTATGCAACCTTGAATGAAAAACCCTTTTCCTTTGTTTAATCAAAGATCTCTTAGTGTGATTCTAAGAACCCTTTCTCTTGGTGTGTTGAATCCGAGAAATCCCTTTAGATTAGTTGTGAGTTGTATCAACTATTTTAGAGGTGGTGTTGGAGATTCCTTTCCATTGGATCTCTGGTATAGCCATTCAATCCATTCTCATCTATCTCTTTCCATCGATCCATTCATCCTTTCACCATCTCACTCCATTTCGCCAAGTTCTTTGATTCCATTCATTCCATCATCATCATCCAACCTCCACTTGCTTCAAAGTGCCGATTCTCTACAAGGGATTTACCAAGTGGTATCAGAGCCACTTTGAAGCTAAGTACCTTTGTCCCCAGAATTTCGATTTTTATTTTTGTGCATCTTTGACAATTGTGACTGTTCATCTTCTGATCTAGATCTGGCCAGTTTCATTTGTTTGCCTAATTTTAAAATTGTTGAAATAATTAATCCTGATCATCCTGCCATAGATCTATCTATTCACAAGTGTTTCACTATTTTTAGAAATTGTTTACATAATTTCTAGAATTTTTCTGTGTTTGTTTCCTTAGAACTATTAACTGCCGAGAGTTTCTTTTCATTTTTCAGGTACTATGGTGTCTGAGAAAGAAGATGAAGAGGATTCGAACAAGAGTCTCAGTGAATCCCTTCTGGATCAAATCAAGAACTCATGAGGGAAGAGTTTGAATGGAGGGAACAAGTTAAAGCAGGAAAGCGCAAAGAGTCTAGAGATCACATCCATATCTCGGATGAGGAGAGGAGGAACGACCCTATGCCTCAAGAAGGATGGCCGATGAGCAAGCCAATGCTTACTACAACAGTGGCCACTCCTCTCAAGGCAGTCGGCGCCGCTCAAGGAGGCATCGCGATGATCCAGACCGCTTGGTCGAAAATCTTGGAGGATACAAGATCCGGATTCCCCCTTTCCATGGCAACAACAATCCTGATGAGTACATGGACTGGGAGAAGAAGTGTGAGTTCAACTTCAACTTACACAACATATCCAACATCAACAGAGTCAAACTGGCGGTCTCTGAGTTCAATGACTATGCCCTAAGGTGGTGGGAACAAGTCGTGACCGCGAGAGAGATTGGTGGAGCTCTTGAAGTATCTACCTGGGAAGAGATGACAAGGATCATGAGGCAGAGGTTCATTCCTAGCTATTATCAGAGAGAGCTACATTCTAAGCTCAGGAGGCTCACTCAAGGATCCAAAACTGTTGAGGAATAATTCCAGGAGATGGAGGTTATGATAATGAGGGCTAATGTTATTGAAGACAGAGAGGCCACTATGTATCAGTTCATTGGAGGATTAAACCGCGAGATCCAAGATGTGGTGGAGATGCAAAACTGTGTGGGCTTAGAGTCTATGCTCCACAAGGCCGTCCTTGTGAGCAACAGCTTAAGAGAAAGACACCCTCACGCTTTGGAGCTGATCAGCGCAGGCCGATGAATCCAAGAGACTCCAGACCGGCTTTCACACCAAAACCTGAGCCACGAGGAGGTGTTGTATCAACCATTTTAGAGGTGGTGTTGGAGATTCCTTTCCATTGGATCTCTGGTATAGCCATTCAATCCATTCTCATCTATCTCTTTCCATCGATCCATTCATCCTTTCACCATCTCACTCCATTTCGCCAAGTTCTTTGATTCCATTCATTCCATCATCATCATCCAACCTCTACTTGCTTCAAAGTGCCGATTCTCTACAAGGGATTTACCAAGTGGTATCAGAGCCACTTTGAAGCTAAGTACCTTTGTCCCCAGAATTTCGATTTTTATTTTTGTGCATCTTTGACAATTGTAACTGTTCATCTTCTGATCTAGATCTGGCCAGTTTCATTTGTTTGCCTAATTTTAAAATTGTTGAAATAATTAATCGTGATCATCCTGCCATAGATCTATCTATTCACAAGTGTTTCACTATTTTTAGAAATTGTTTACATAATTTCTAGAATTTTTCTGTGTTTGTTTCCTTAGAACTATTAACTGCCGAGAGTTTCTTTTCATTTTTCAGGTACTATGGTGTCTGAGAAAGAAGATGAAGAGGATTCGAACAAGAGTCTCAGTGAATCCCTTCTGGATCAAATCAAGAAACTCATGAGGGAAGAGTTTGAATGGAGGGAACAAGTTAAAGCAGGAAAGCGCAAAGAGTCTAGAGATCACATCCATATCTCGGATGAGGAGAGGAGGAACGACGCTATGACCTCAAGAAGGATGGCCGATGAGCAAGCCAATTCTTACTACAACAGTGGCCACTCCTCTCAAGGCAGTCGGCGCTGCTCAAGGAGGCATCGCGATGATCCAGACCGCTTGGTCGAAAATCTTGGAGGATACAAGATCCGGATTCCCCCTTTCCATGGCAACAACAATCCTGATGAGTACATGGACTGGGAGAAGAAGTGTGAGTTCAACTTCAACTTACACAACATATCCAACATCAACAGAGTCAAACTGGCGGTCTCTGAGTTCAATGACTATGCCCTAAGGTGGTGGGAACAAGTCGTGACCGCGAGAGAGATTGGTGGAGCTCTTGAAGTATCTACCTGGGAAGAGATGACAAGGATCATGAGGCAGAGGTTCATTCCTAGCTATTATCAGAGAGAGCTACATTCTAAGCTCAGGAGGCTCACTCAAGGATCCAAAACTGTTGAGGAATAATTCCAGGAGATGGAGGTTATGATAATGAGGGCTAATGTTATTGAAGACAGAGAGGCCACTATGTATCAGTTCATTGGAGGATTAAACCGCGAGATCCAAGATGTGGTGGAGATGCAAAACTGTGTGGGCTTAGAGTCTATGCTCCACAAGGCCGTCCTTGTGAGCAACAGCTTAAGAGAAAGACACCCTCACGCTTTGGAGCTGATCAGCGCAGGCCGATGAATCCAAGAGACTCCAGACCGGCTTTCACACCAAAACCTGAGCCACGAGGAGGTGTTGTATCAACCATTTTAGAGGTGGTGTTGGAGATTCCTTTCCATTGGATCTCTGGTATAGCCATTCAATCCATTCTCATCTATCTCTTTCCATCGATCCATTCATCCTTTCACCATCTCACTCCATTTCGCCAAGTTCTTTGATTCCATTCATTCCATCATCATCATCCAACCTCTACTTGCTTCAAAGTGCCGATTCTCTACAAGGGATTTCAAGTGGTATCAGAGCCACTTTGAAGCTAAGTACCTTTGTCCTTTCGATTTTTATTTTTGTGCATCTTTGACAATTGTAACTGTTCATCTTCTGATCTAGATCTGGCCAGTTTCATTTGTTTGCTAATTTTAAAATTGTTGAAATAATTAATCCTGATCATCCTCCATAGATCTATCCATCTACAATTTTTCCCATATTTTTAGAAATTGTTTACATAATTTCTAAAATTATTTCTTGATCTTTTCCTTTGAACTATTAACTGCCGAGTTCTTTTCATTTTTCAGGTACTATGGCGGATGGAAAGGAAGATGAAGAGGATTCGAACAAGAGTCTCAGTGAATCCCTTCTGGACAAATCAAGAAGCTCATGAGGGAAGAGTTTGAACGGAGGGAACAAATTAAAGCAGGAAAGCGCAAAGAGTCTAGAGATCACATCCATATCTCGGATGAGGAGGGAGGAACGACCCTATGGCCTCAAGAAGGATGGCCGATGAGCAAGCCAATGCTTACTACAACAGTGGCCACTTCCTCTCAAGGAAGTCGGCGCCGCTCTAGAAGGCATCGCGATGATCCAGACCGCTTGGTCGAAAATCTTGGAGGATACAAGATCCGGATTCCCCCTTTCCATGGCAACAACAATCCTGATGAGTACATGGACTGGGAGAAGAAGTGTGAGTTCAACTTCAACTTACACAACATATCCAACATCAACAGAGTCAAACTGGCGGTCTCTGAGTTCAATGACTATGCCCTAAGGTGGTGGGAACAAGTCGTGACCGCAAGAGAGATTGGTGGAGCTCTTGAGGTCTCTACCTGGGAAGAGATGACAAGGATCATGAGGCAGAGGTTCATTCCTAGCTATTATCAGAGAGAGCTACATTCTAAGCTCAGGAGGCTCACTCAAGGGTCCAAAACTGTTGAAGGAATACTTCCAGGAGATGGAAGTGATGTTGATAAGGGCTAATGTGATTGAGGACAGAGAAGCCACTATGTCCAGGTTCCTTGGAGGGCTCAACCGCGAGATCCAAGATTGTGGAGATGCAAAACTGTGTGGGCTTAGAGTCTATGCTCACAAGGCCGTCCTCTGAGCAACAGCTCAAGAGAAAGACACCCTCACGCTGGAGCTGATCAGCGCAGGCCGATGTCCAAGAGACTCCAAACCGGCTTTCACACCAAAATGAGCCAGAGGAGCCCTTACTCAAGACAAGGACAAGAACAAACCAGTTCAACTCCTGGTCCTAGAGCTCGCGAGCTTAAGTGCTTCAAGTGTCAAGGCTTTGGACACTATGCCTATGAATGCCGCAACAAGAAGATATGATTCATAAGAGACAATGGAGAAGTGGAGTCTGAAGAGAGATCATTGTCTAGAAGCCAGAGCAAGAGCCAGAGCCAGAAGAGTATGAGGCCGTTCCTGTCATGGGAAAGCTCTGGTAGCCAGAAGGATCTTAAGCGCTCAAGTCCAAACCCAAAGGAAGCCCAGAGAGAGAATCTCTTCCATTCACGCTGTCTTGTCCAGGAGAAGGTGTGCAGTCTCATTATTGATGGAGGCAGTTGCACTAATGTGGCTAGTGAGGCCATGGTTGAGAAAAACTTGGTCTTGTGACTCAGAAACATCCCAAGCCATATCAGTTACAATGGATCAATGAGACTGGAGATATGAGCGTGAAGGAACAGGTGCTTGTGCCATATCCATTGGAAGCTATGAAGATGAGATTTTGTGTGATGTCCTGCCTATGGATGCTGGACACATCATTTTGGGAAGGCCTTGGCAATCTGATAGGCGAGTGATGCATGATGGTTTCACAAACAAGTATACTTTTCTGCACAAGGGGCGCAAGACCACTCTTATTCCCTTAACCCCTCAAGGTGTATGAAGATCAAGTCCAGTCCCAAGTCAGAGAACCAAACCTCAAGCCAAGAAGGAGCCACCAATCCAATCAAGTCCTTGAACTATCTGGTCAAGTCCAAACAGGTTAAAAGTTCCATGTCTTCTGATAAGCCTTTTCTCTTGTTTATCTTTAAAGGATCACTTAACCTTCTTGTTGATAATGCACCGGAGATTCCGAGTGAGATGTCTAAGCTTTTACAGGATTTCCAAGATGTGTTTCCAGATGATTGCCCAAAAGGATTGCCACCAGTCAGAGGCATTGAGCATCAAATAGATTTTGTTCCTGGATCCACACTTCCAAACCGTCCAGCATACAGAACCAATCCTGTTGAAACCAAAGAACTCCAGCGCCAAATTGATGAGCTTATGGATAAGGGTCACATCCGGGAAAGCATGAGCCTTGTGCTGTTCCTGTTCTTCTTGTGCCCAAGAAAGATGGGAGTTGGCGCATGTGTGTGGATTGCAGAGCCATCAACAATATCACTGTAAAGTATCGACATCCTATCCCTAGACTTGATGATATGCTTGATGAGTTGCATGGTTCTAGCATTTTCTCTAAAATTGATTTAAAAAGTGGTTATCATCAGATTAGGATGAAAGAAGGTGATGAATGGAAAACTGCATTTAAAACTAAACATGGTCTTTATGAATGGCTTGTCATGCCATTTGGTCTCACTAATGCACCTAGTACATTCATGCGCCTTAATGAACCATATCTGAGAAACTTCATTGGTCATTTTGTTGTGGTTTACTTTGATGACATTTTGATTTACAGCAAGAACCTTGAAGAGCATCTAGATCACCTTGCATCTGTTATGTCTGTGCTAGAAAAGAAAATTGTTTGCCAATCTTAAGAAATGTACTTTTTGCACAGATAATGTGGTTTTTCTAGGCTTTGTTGTGAGTGCAGATGGAGTCAAGGTGGATGAAGAGAAAGTTGCTGCCATCAGAGAATGGCCAGCCCTAAGACAGTGAGTGAAGTCAGAAGCTTCCATGGCCTAGCTGGGTTCTATAGGCGGTTTGTCCGTGATTTTAGTACCTTGGCCGCACCTCTGACTGAAGTCATCAAGAAAGAAGTTGGATTCAAGTGGGAGAAAGCACAGGAGGATGCTTTCCAAGCTCTCAAGGATCGCTTGACTAATGCCCCTGTTCTTATTTTACCTGACTTCTTGAAAACTTTTGAGATTGAATGTGATGCTTCAGGTATTGGCATTGGAGCTGTCTTGATGCAGGACAAGAAGCCAATTGCTTTCTTTAGTGAAAAGCTTGGAGGAGCCACTCTCAACTATCCAACCTATGACAAGGAACTCTATGCCTTGGTCCGCGCCTGCAAACTTGGCAACACTTACCTCTGGCCAAAGGAGTTTGTCATCCACACAGACCATGAATCTCTCAAACATCTCAAGGGCCAACAAAAGCTCAACAAAAGGCATGCCAGGTGGGTTGAATTCATTGAGACATTCCCATATGTCATCAAGTACAAAAAAGGTAAGGACAATGTTGTAGCCGACGCATTGTCCAGGAGGTACACTCTTCTCTCAACTCTTGATGCTAAACTCTTGGGCTTTGAACAGATAAAAGACTTGTATGATTCTGATTCTGATTTTGCTGAGATTTACAAGTCTTGTTCTAAATTTGCTTTTGGCCGATATTTAGACAAGATGGGTTTCTCTTCTATGAGAACCGTCCTTTGTGTGCCTAATTGTTCTTTGAGGGATTGTTTGTCAGGGAAGGCACATGGAGGAGGCTTGATGG